ATCGATGGTTTCAGAGCTAAAGATAAAAAGCCTAATGGTGATCTGTACATTATTTCAAATGGCTCGGAACATTTTCGATGTGTAATAAAAAGTGGAATTGATCTTAAAAAAGTGATAAGAATAGTCTTGGAAGATCTAGGTCTTCCATGTTTAAATCACTGATGCTAAGTCATTGGGTAATGATTACGTAAATCACTGTCTGTTTTGAAGGCAGAACTAAAGTCAGTTAGCTGCCTTCTAACAGCTTACAGGAAGAACCTATATACTTCAAGAAATAACTTTAGCTTTCAGCAATCAATCTGTCTTATTTAATTTGTTGTGAAGTTTACATATACAAAAATCAATCTAATATCAGTTATGATGACATTTCATCACAACGTTATATAACTTATTTTCGTGAACTTTCCTTTTGAAATGGTTATCGAAATCAATCTTTATTAGATGTCATTTCGCACAAGTACGATGTTAAGGGTATTTAGCTTGATTCATATTATTATAAAAACTTTCATCGTGGTTATTTCAACTTCCTCTGTAAGTGCTTGCGGTGTAGTACATTGCTACTCGAGGATTCAAGAATGGTTTTATTTTATAAGTTAGATACCATTTCTCGTGCACGGGGCACTACAATTTCTTTGCCTATAACTTAATAACCAAAAAATTGCAGTAATTCTCTCACCTTACTGAGCAGCAATGAAAGCTTATAGCTACGAGACATACTGTTTGTAGACTTAAAAGCGAAAGTTTTTTGTGTTATAAGGTCCGGTTTTATCGATTGTCGGAAACAGCTGTATTTCTGTGAGAGAATAAATTTTTTAGGACCAATCATGGGTTTCTAGTGTTCCAATCAGTATATATTGTGTGGGGATTGCGTGACTCATCTCGATCAGATAAGTGACTGGCTTTCTCGGAAACATTGCGCAAGCAGTCGTCTTCCTCTCTAGGCGATTTTGAAAATTCAGACTTATTCTTCAACGACTATAGAACTACTACGTTCAAAGCGACAAAAAAAACCATAGATAGAAGATGTCGCAATTGAGAAAGCGAGTTCACCTTTTTAACTGTGATAATACGTACAAGCTAGAGCCTGTCGAGAAATTGCTTGACCAATTCAGCATCCATGTTGAGAAGCACTCGTTCAGACTCCCCGAAATGTCTGAAATGATAGAAAAAATTCCAACCTTAGAGATGGATATGGCCTTTTTCGTGGTTCATGCGCATGAATCTCGACTCTCGATCAACGAAGACAACGCTGGAATTGGTTACGCCAAGATATACAGAGCTTTACTAATGGCGACGGGTAAGAAGCGGAAGTATTTTACTCAGTCATCTTTTCGAACGCATTTCATTGCTCTTAATCGCGGATTTTTGGGCAAGCTGGGCTATTTTTGAGAAAGGTAGTGGGGACTTAGTGCAAACCTTTTCTATATTTCCTAAACAATAGCTCGTTAGACATCAGACGTGAAAGCGAAAGTAAATAATCATAGATTAAGGTCGACGGTTGCTCCTCGAAGTGGCAAAATGTGAAGACTTGTTTTATGCAGCTGAGTCAGAGTCTTGAACACTCAGAGTGAGTTTGCTATCTGAATTTTCTGTTTTGTTCTCTAAGGCGAAGGCTTTTCGGCTAAAGGGGGTTGATCTTGCCTTTTGAAATTTCAGTAGCTTTAAGTCTATAAATAGGTAAATTATTTGCATTTTTTATCTGGATACAACACGTTCAAGTTGAGTAAATACTGATGAAGATATACGTACATGTTGCTGCCGGATTAAACATATTATCTAAACTCACATTAACTTTCCTCGTTTAAAACACATTTAATATTGCTCGATAACGCTTCGTCTGGCACCTAAAGTTCTCTTTAGGAAAGGCAGTGGTAACTTTGTAAAATTTTAGTAAAAAAGCGATGTACTATAGTGTTCCACAACAAAAGCCCATTAGACACCCAATCTTGAAAGCGAAAGTAGATTATCATAAATTGATAGCTTCTGTTAAATCACGTTCGACGGCAACCCTGTAGAGTGGCTAACAGCGAACAATTGTTTTATGTAACAGCGTCAGGGCAATAATCAAGTTTGTTTTTATTAGCTGTCCGACCTTTCTGATCCAGGCGGTGTGCGCACTCTGATTGCGTTGCATCATGATCGTAAAACGAAAAGTGAGTCATTTGCATCCTGTCGCGGTCGAGCGAGCATCTTTGGTGGCAGCAAGATAGCGTGAATAATCGTGGAATGTAACGAGGATTCACTTTCTGTTGCAGTTCCTTCGAAAGTTAAAAAGTGTTTGCAGGCCTGCGCGACTCCTGTTACTCCTCCGTGACAAATTCGTTGCTGGGAGGCAACTGAAGAGATTCAGAAAGAATCGAAACTGCAGCCTTGCCCACTAATCTATTCATTTGGTAGCAGTCACACTCACAGCCGATGGCTGGGTGAACAATATCAAATTCGCGAGTTATTTAACAGGGAATCGACGCTTGACATGCAAACGAATTACAGAGATAGCGACCTTCTAGTACACGAACTATTTTTCATGTCATGTACTTAAGGCGTAAATATGGAATTCGCGAAAGGAGAAGCCAAAATTCGTCACGCTTAACGTTTAATAAAAAACGCGCAGATTTTCAAATATGCTTAAAAGAATAGAGAATACTCAGAATAAGGTTATGAAAACCGTATCTCTGAAGTTATCTTCTGTGGGAGAGACAGTATGAAAATATTACCTTTTGTAACACGATCTCATCCGGCTTTGCCAAACCTCAAGAACATACAGACAGGGAAATGACAGGAAACTAACCCTTATCATCACATCGCAAAGGAAAGTCATTAAAAGCTATCTTTATAACAGCTAAGTTTTCAGGTCAGAAGATTTAAAAGCGCAAGCGAATGGCAGGAGTCGCAGAAGCCTATCAACACCTTTTAACGATCGACTGCCTTATGCTTTCCGGCTTACCCGGCGTGTCGCCGTGTGTAATATAGAGTTTTTCAGTGATGAAATGACATTGTTCCAATTCAACTGTCCTTCGTTCAATGATCCAGAAAGTAGATTTACCATACAACACTCGCGACTAGCTAATTTGCTTCTACTTTGGAAAGTAGATTTACAACACAATTGAGTATACAATAGTAACGCTGTGTAACGCAACAATAGGCCTTTTCTCGGGCTTAGGGTAAAATATAGACTGAACTATTTTTTTGAAGCATTTTTTGGACCATTTTTTGGACCATTTTATAAGGGGGGAGCACATTATTAGTACTCAGAGATGCAGTCTATCAGCTCTGAGGGAGGGGTGGGAGGCACGGTGTTACTGAGGGAGGGGTGAGAGACGGACTATTACTACGCAGGGAACAGTGTAAACACTACTGGTTAATGGAGCTTTCACTCGATCGTACAAATTATTTTAATCGGTTTTTCGACTGACTTTTTGTGCGTGTGCCCATTAGGTTGACTTGTGCCAGTGCTAAATGATACTCACGGGTTAGCATGACTACGTTTTGCCGACGGAGAACATCTGCATGCAACAGTAGCCACCATAGTTCCACTTCGCAGGTTTTGTGGGTTTTTACCCAAGAAGTGATTAGCAGCGTCCAGGGCAAATTGGAAAACAAGCCTAGGGGAGACGCGAGCAATACTTAGTCGCGATTTCCGGTGCCGGTGATTAACTCCTTTGTTTGCGAAACAGATAAAATCGAGATTTGCGCTTTCTCATATTGCAAGTACAGCAGTGTTTTTGCTCGATTCGAGAATATGGATTCCTCTTCGAAATCGTTTGTTGAGGCTTTTATAAAGTAAAGTTCTAAACGTTAAAATTGCGATAGTGCCTGTGAATTCTATATGCCGCCAAGTCAAGGGCTAAGGACCGGAAATTCCGTGATCTCGTCTGATAAGAGCAATGACAAAAGGATGATAGATAAATTTAGTAATTAAATACTGTGCACACAAAGGGAAACTTGAAGGAACTGATGGTGCACAAGTCGACTCAAAAGGCACACGCATAACTCAACAGTGGAGGATCGTAAACCATAGGCGGCCCAAGCTCACGTCGCGAGAAAAAGCCAACGAGGAATTCATGAACGCGTCACGCGTTGTGTGACTCGGTGTTAAGTTACGGGAGGAACCGTTGAAAATTTGAACACGTTATAAAGAATAGTATGGGGAACGAAATATGGTCGATTTACAACGATAAATATTTCGAAATATGAATATTTTACACGTAAAATCAATAAAAACTTACTCGTGCCCTGTGTATCCGTCGTAGTTTCTGGCGATTTCTGCCGTTTTAAGCTTGCTTTACCATCACTGTTATCCATGTCAAAAGACGAAGTCTTTTGACATGGATAACAGTGATGGTAAAGCAAGCTTAAAACAGCAGAAATCGCTAGAAACTTCGACGGATACACAGGGCATGAGTAAGTTTTTATTGATTTTACGTGTAAAATATTCAGATTTCGAAATATTTATCGTTATAAATCGACCATATTTCGTTCCCCATACTATGCCTTATAACGTGTTCAAATTTTCAACGGTTCCTCCCGTAACTTAACACCGAGTCACACAACGCGTGACGCGTTCATGAATTCATCGTTGGCTTTTTCTCGAGACGTGAGCTTGGGCCGCCTATGCGTAAACGCGATATTTTCAACAAAAATTGAAGTCCAGTGTTTACGAGGCAGTTTCGCTTTCGCGTGACAGAAAAATGAAGAAACGCCGCGGCCCAACGCATACAGAAAGTCAGTTGAAAAACCTATTAAAGTAATTTGTATGATCGAGTAAAAGCTCCATTAACCAGTAGTGTTTACTAGTACCATCACCTCCCAGCCCTCCCTGCATAGTAATAGTCTGTCTCTCACCCCTCCCTAAGTAATAACACCCTACCTCCCACTCCTCCCTCAGTACTGATAGACTTCATCCTACCTCTCCCTGAGTGCCAATGGTGTGCTTCCCCCCTTGTAAATTTCTCCAAATAATTGTCCAAAAACTGGTCCAAAAAATGGTCCAAAAAAAAAATACAGTCCATTTTTTACCCTATGCCCTTTTCTCGGTCATAATCGGTCTCACTTAAAATGCGAGAAACGCATGTACCGTTAGAGAGCGTTTGAGAGCGTTTGGTCAGTGCTGTTGAAGCGGCCATCCAAATCTTCGAAAGGCTCCAAACTTCGAAATACATCAAATTTGATATTCTCGAAAACTGGTCTCATATTACATACTAAAAAACTGTGCTTACGTTTGTCCTTGAGAACCATAGAATACGCGACAAATACGCACAAAAAATACTTTATACATTCTCAATAAATAAAATTATATTTACCAATGGTGAAAGGGAAAAGGAACGGCCTAACTTCTACGAAGTATTCAGTCAAAATCTGCCGATTTCTCTCGCTTTCATCGTCATATTGAAAATGGAGCTACCACAATGCAACGCAATCGGCGTGCGCACACCGCCTGATTCTGATCCTTCTTCGACTCTTAGGGTTGAGACTACTCCTTATGACAGAGAAGAACCTTTGCCTTTTTCTAAGCTCAGTTTAGAGGGATAATCATGCATACATGTTTTGTAATTTCAGAAGCTGAAACTCAAAGAGCATAGTCCCTTTCCCGGCTCCGCCCGAAAGTTTATGAAAAAGCCATAGGGCCCGGGAATCGGGATGCCGCTCGTTCAAGTTAGGTATATCCCATAAGTATATTGAAAATTTCTATTACACGTTACTCTCGGCGAGAACATGAAAATGATCCGACACTAACCGTCAGGAAAGTATGAGACGAATTGAAACGAGAAACGTATCTAAGAATTATTTTGCTGAGGCTGAGGTAATATTGAATATATTATCTAACAAGACTGGATGATATTCAAAGAGAAAAAAAAATTCAACCATAACAATCAAATCAGCAAGAGTTCTCATTGGATATTTTGAGCTTTCAAAGCATATTTCTTCAGAAAATGTGCTTTTGACAGGATGAAACAGTCAATTGTTTACCTTTGCAAATGATACTAATTACCAGCAGTTATCTATAACAACCAAAATGGGGTCAAATGCGTCGTTTTTAAACATATGAAATCCATTTGAACAAACACTTGATGACAGGTAAATTGAAATCAGTTATATGTATTTACTGTTCCAGGAAAACATGATATGCTCTTGACTTTATGTTAAATTTTATCTTCCTTTTAGTAAATAAGTGATGTTTAGCTTTATGTTCACGAGTGCAAGAAAATGTACGAAAATCGATTCCGAAAAGGTCTGCAAGGCCCTGGCGTGACGCAAACTGATCGAACGTTTCATGTATGCACATTCTACGCAGGTAGCAGCTTCCTGTCGACATGTTGATTGCGCCTAGTCAATCAAGGATATTCTTCCATATGTAAAATCTGGTCACCAGAAGTGTGTAATAATGCTGCACTTATTTACATTTTCATCTGCTCGATCCACAGGAGGAGATGTTATCACCGTCATCGGGGGAGATGATAACTACAAAGACGACAAGGAAGAGAATGGAGAGGTTATTTCAAGTTGGGCGAAGAGGAAAGTCTCTTCACAGTTCGGCAGTGAGTATCTTGATGGTAGGAAGAGCTTTATCTTCTCCTGGAACAAACAACATCGAGCGGTTCACGAACAAGCTTTACTGCATCACTTTGATACAAACAAGAAAGGAAAAAAGTTTGAATATCGGCCGCCTACTCCCAACCAACAATCAAACTCACAACCTCAATTGCAGGACACATCTACAGAATTAGAAAATCCATACACGTCCAAGAGTTGCTCACATAACGGTAAAGACACCTCTTTACTGTCAGCTGACAACGAGGAAAATCCGACTGATTCACACCCTAGTGGCGTCAGTAGTGCCGCGGGCGGCAGCAGAGACTCGGCGGGGATGGAACCTTTTTGCAGTAATCAGGGAGACAGTACTTACACACCAAACACACATGTGATCCGCCCAAGAAGTTCTGAAGAACCGGATATTGACGCTGACTCGTCTTCTAACGTTACCGAAGATCAATTACAAACTCAATATTTAGAAGTAAAAAGCTGTCATGGGGAGAGTTCCCAAAATACCCCGCAGCCTGTTCTGGCGACACAACTCCCTGGAAACCCTCCTCCCGTTGTTGTGCTGAGAAGTATCGCTCGTTATGGAAAGATATCTCATCAATTAGGTGACCTTCAAGTTTGGGACCCTGAATTTATAATTCCAGAGGACATTCAAGAAAGGTTGATTAGAAAACACCGTCATACCCATGATATTGGAGTAAGAATTATTAGGAATAGTGATGGCACACTTGAGTGTCATGATTATCAAGATTTTACGAAGTTTTTCCTAAATGACGATATAGAGCTTGCTAAAGATGAGTTACTCTTAATTAAAACTCGTATCCGCCACGGAAAGGTGTCTTTTAACGACGTTGATGTACAGTTTAAGTTTGGAAATGTTCATATTCCTCAAGACATTATCTATGGTTTCAGAGAAAACGTTAGTGCTGACCTGTACATCATTTCAGGAACTGAAAGGAAATTTCGACTCATAGTAAAAAGGAAAAGTGCTTCTAAGGGAGTAGCAGAATTTATGAATAGAGAGTTTCATTTTTTGTCTCGTTCCTTTCGTTCCTAACCTTTAGCACTGGAGAAAATGTATTTTATGTTTGTATGTCAGAGCGAGTTGAAGTGCCTATGGCACGAAGTACTTTTTGCGTAATTATTCAGTTTATCATTTGTACAATCCATAGGGAAAATTCCAAAAAATTGCGGCTCTTTTTTTTTCCTGGCCTAAGGTGCTCTTTTGTCTAAAATGGTTCTGTAGAATGGTGACGGGTTAGCGGGTGATGAAGTAGAAAACTGTAAAAACTTTCGATTGACACTTGCAAAATCTCATATTTCTCTTGTAATTTTGTATTAGTTAACGTTGAAATACTCTAGAGATAATGTTTGATGGCGATGTATACCTACCTTCAACAAACTCTGCTGAGAGCTGTGATACATCATACTTGAGTAATAAAGAAAAAATTGAAGTTGCGAGTACGGTTTAGCCCTACGAAGGAGAACAGCGTGAATCAAGCGAATATTTCACTGACAACGATGGTTTCTCACTTGCGGTGTTCAGGTCAAGATCAGAGCAAAAATCTCCCGCACTAAGTGTAGAGAATGTTCCACTGATGCCGTGGTCAGTGCTCTGAAGTTTCATTGCCGTAGAGAAATTCCCTTAGCAACATAAAAAGCTAACTTTTGATGGCAGCATCGAAAGAATCAGCTTTATCACGAGGTGCGATTATTTTCGCCGAGTAGTTATTGGGCAGTTTTACCGTGCAAGTTGCTCCTTTCCTCAAAGGTTGCAGAGGTAGAGACTATCGTCGTTTAGCCGGTCAAACGGAAAACAAGTGAGTTTATAGTTATCTGATTCAAGTTTATCTCAGAAAGAGATTTTAATAGAGAGAAACTTGTTTAGTTTGCAACTTTTGTGGTAAGCGCACCCGTGTCTGGTCTCTTTATTAACCAAAGTAAGATGGAACCTTGACACACAAAGGTCTACAGAGCTTTCCTGGAGGCAGCTAGCTTTTTGTCTTTCTCGAGTTAAATTGAAAATTCGATAGTATCTGTGTTGATCTCTATGGAAAAAAAAATTTACATGAATAAAACTTGTATTTAAGTACAGGTATCGAACGTTTGAAACCTACGCGTTTTATATTTCTAATAGAGCGAACGGACGGTGAAAGCGGAAACTATATCAACTGTTTCTGAGAATCTGTTAATTTTTTTATTCCTAACGACAAAATTTCTTCTGGTGACCTTTTAAATGATTTTACTTCTTTAAGTGACGACCTTGAAAAAAGTCGAGCTCGGAGCCCTGATCAAGATTCCTGCATTTCTGAAGCACAATTTATTTTTTTCCACCCTCAAATTGAGGCAGATTTAAATTTTAAGAATGCTTTTGAAACGAAGAATGAGACAAATGGAACTGTTTCCAAGAATTTAGAACTAATTTTAATTCGTTTAATGAGGTTACGCTCTAGTCATATGTGTGGTTCTATCGTAAGGTAAACTGGGGAAGAAAAGTAAAATTTAGGAGTGCTTTTCATTGAGTATACGGTTTAAGATTGGCCGCTAGATTGGTGCATATGCATCATGCAGAATACGGAGAGCTCTTGTAAAAAATTTCGTTGGGCTATTGTCTCTCGTTGAATTAATAACTTATTCGTATCTGCACCAGGAGAGAGTGTTATCGTTGTGGTTGGAGGGTGAAAGCGAAGTAAACGAGTCGGTCATTTCGCATTGGGCCAAGGGAAGAATTTAATTTAAATTACTTTCAAATTCTCATAACCGTTGCGTTACATACCCTTCGTCACGAATTCTCCTGACAGCCACACAGCTTTACCCATCATGCATTTGCTGCCCAAGTTCCTATTTTTCCTAGAAATCGTTACAACAAAATCGTCTTTGTATATCGAGACAACTTCTTCCATGATACGTTATTGTTACAAGCTCTGAGTGATCACTGCAAAAGGAATACTTTATTTCATGTGGAAGGTATGGAATGTTATTTATGAATATAATGCCAATCGCCATTAACAAGTTTCATACGCGCTTCAATGACATCCTGAAATTATTGCAATTCAGCTTTAAGTGAAGGGACATCTCAGTTTTCAAAAGTATCTCCATGATAAAAGAAATATCATGGCATCGCCTAGAAAATTCCATCTCTTCAACTGTGACAGTGTTTATAAGCTTGACTCCATCGAAGATTTGTTGTTGACAACGACAAGGAATCTTGGCATTGAGATATCTGTGAAGCAACACTATTTCACAGTTTCCGAGATAACTGAGTTCAGCGATCAGACGATTCCCACGCTAGAGATGGATGCTGCCATTTTAGCTGTCAATGCAAACGAATCTCGACTCTCCATCAACGAAAACACAGAGGGAGGCTACACGAAGGTTTACAGAGCTTTGCTTCAAGCGACAGGTAAAGCGAAACCGGAAGTTGAGCACGATAAGAGTTTCATTCTTAGAATTATTTTTTCAAAAAGTCTTCTGCAAATCATATTGGAGTAGTTCCTGTAAAATACACACACTAGGGTTTCCTAAATTTTTATACCAGATATTTTTCAGGTACCATTTCGTTCTTCACCTTTTTAATGTGGCACATTGATTTGTCGATGAATATCAATGTTAAGTGTTTTGAAATTTAGACGGTCCACGCCACGAAATTTATGTTATTGACAAACAGAACATAGCGTTATCTTCAACCTTTCCTAAATTGTTTTACGCACATGCTTTTCAACGACAATATTGGCCACACTATGTCTTTGACAGGATTCGCTTGTGTTTCATGATACGAACACTGCGGTATACATATAGTATTCTAAATGTAGATTTCAATTAAACATTTTGAAAGCTTTGATTTAAATAATTGGAGGAAGCCGTGACGGCTGTGTTCGCAAGTTACCGTAAGTAAGTTTTAGCGATTAAAATATTGACAAATAAAAGATACAAAAAAAAGTTTTGTCGTGTCAGATATTATGAAAGTTGTGCAACAAATGCAGAATCATTTGACCTTACTTTCGATATTTGTGATTCCTACCTATTTCTTATCCTAATGGTTCGTGATCTACATGCAAATTTTTTCATTATTCATGTTTTTGCTATATCTCGCCATTTACGATTCCTAAGTTTTAAACACATCATAAATTTACCAGTGTCTCTAATTTGATCGCGTTGACTCATGATTCCGCTTCCGAACACGCAGATTTTAAAAACAGGGCCGGATTGGAACAGTAGCGTGACCACGAAAGTCACGTTTCTGACGAGCGAGCAAGACTTAATTTATTACAAGGCCATTTTAATATAATTATGTGATTTGTTCAATTTTTTTCTTGTCAAGTAGACGGAAACGTGATTGTTGTTATCGGTGGGGATGACAATTACAGGAACGAAGAGGAAGAGGAAAGAGCCGTAGTCTCGCGTTGGGCAAGAATGAAGGTACGTTCCCAGTTAAAGGAGGAATTCCTCGACGGACGAAGAAGTTTCATCTTTTCATGGGACGGGAAACACAGAGAAATTCACGAGCAAGCATTGAAACACTTCTTTGATCAAAGCAAGAAAGGAAAAAAGTTTGAGTATGAACCACCAGGGCGTTCCGAGCTTTCTTTAAGAGATCAAACAGCTCCGCCAGCACGAGATACAGAACCAGCACACCAGCTCAAGCTTCAACGCTCCGCCACCCTTCCCGAAGGGAGAAGTAGACAAGAAATAAAAGACCGGTGGGATCAGCCAAGTTTCTTGCAAAAAGATTACACAGTGACAAGGCAAAGAAGTGTGGATTTTCACGCTAGTCAGCAACCTAAGCTGAACGTACACCTCGATCCTCTTGCGGCAACCGCTGTTTTGGCTTCGGATTATGGATGCTCATCACTAGGGGACCGATCTGAACAGAGCAGAGTGCAAAGGGATACTACCACGAAGGAAACACGTCTGGTCAAAGGTGAGAACTACTACGACAGATTACATTTAAGAAAAACATGAACGAGAATCATGATCAAGACAGTAACATTAGCCACAAAAATAAGTATTAATACCAGAACAAAGATAACAAAAACGAAGCTGTCAAAAGAAACAACAATTATAACAACAACGCAAGCATCACGAGACATTGACGATAATAACCACAACAGAGGAAATTCCACCTGAGTCAAAAATGACTGATGGCGATGTCAGCAATGGCATCTAAAACCATGTTCAAGAAAAACCAAAAAAGATTGCGAAAATAATTTGAACTATTGAAATCTATTATGACATGAACATCAGTAAAGCTTTGTAAGATAGTGGTGGCAATTTCTTAGATACCTCCTGGAGGTTTACAACCTTTTCTCCTTTTAATTCTTGACCCTAAAAATAACGTCAAACACAAAAAGATATGGCTGCATATTCTGAATTGACACTATTACACAACAAACCGCAACAGCTCTCAGTACGAAGAGATACCGCAATATAAGGGGAACGTGAAGTACAAGGTAAGGACAACGGGACTCTCTGAAAAAAGACAACACTGGACACCAATGAACGACCACTACGAGAGCAATATGTACCTTTACAACGACTTCAACAAAAGCAACAATAAGTCCTAAAGACGCTGTTTCATTGGTGTCTCGTAGTCTTTATATCACGATTTTTAACCTTATCAATCAATTTTTAATCCTGACTCGATAGCAGCTTTTTTTGTGAACTTCATATATTTTTACATATAAGTAAAAGAGTCGTACATGCATGGTTACAGCAAGTGCCAGAAACCCAAACAACGCACTTTGTGGTGGAAGTGCGAACAATGAAATGAAGCATTTAGGCAAGTATTTGAAAGTTTAGCATTTATTTAAGTGCTGAAGTGCGAACAACGAAGTGAAGCTTATAGGCAAGTACTAATTTAACGTTCAAGTTAACATAATTAGACAAGTGGAAATGCAAACGCGGAATTGAGGCTTTTTTTCAAGTATTTCAAGTTTAGCATTTATTTGACTAAAACTGATTGATCTTTTAAAAATAAGTGTTGTAAAATGGTTTTGGGTTGTGCAAAACGAAGTTTTAATTACTGTTTGCTTTTATTCTCTAGACTTAGTAGTCCTCGGCTGTGATGTGTCACCGGCAACAATCCAGGTTGTGAAATCAGTACTCGATGACCTTTATCGTAGGATAAGGCTGCCAGAATGTCCCCAAGTGGAACGTTATTCATTAGCTGACATCAAATCATACTTAACGAGATGCACTCCTAGGTTTTGTATTCTAGTGGTGGATACAGATACGTCTCATAAATACCAGCAGCCTGAGTTGGAAGAAATTCTCAGGACAGCAGCTGATGTTGTTGGTAAGAGGATCTGTTGCGGTAGCCTGTTTATAAAAGTTCAGAGAATCATTTCTTTGTAGTTGAAATATTTTTGTGTAGCAAATACTCGTAATAGTAAATACTCACAATAGCAAATGTGTAGATGAAATAAACTACTTGAGAACATCATCCAATAATTAAAAAAGGCCAATAGACACGCTTAGTGAGCTGTCAGTCTCTAACTTTCGTCATGCTTTTACACTTAACTAGCGAATCACGCTAAACTACGCAGAGCGGAGTTCGCATACTAAGTAGATACCTTGACGATGTTTACGCTTCACAAAATGACTTTCTACCTTAAGTTTCTTAGTCTTACGGTCAAGGTCGAGCGAAACAAAAACAAGATTGAAAATATAAAAATTATAATAAACTTACGAACAGAATTGAAATGATACTTGAAGAGATATCTTAAGAGAAAATAGCCCTTGAAGACTGCTACATATCGGCAGAATAAACAGAAAAATTCGGAGAAGAAAGGGCGTACCTAAGGTACCGCCCCTAAAAGAGCTACGTGCTAGCCGTATAAGTTATCTGATTACAAATTCAGCGCGGAAGATGAAAAGCACTGTATGTTTACACCTTAAGTCACCTCTAAGAAAAAGAGTTGTCGAACGTGCTAAATTCAAGTTTAAACACTATTTTCCGAATCGGGAATTCGACATGGATTTAGCCTAAAAACGAGAGTATTAAAGAGGTAAAGGTATAAAGGAGGGTTGTTTCCAGGAAATTCCTGCACGGGATCAATTTTTATGGGGTCACCTTTATAAGCGGTGACCCACACTTTCCGAGGGAGATCAGAGCTAGTATCCGTTGCAATAACTTGCGTAATAAAAGAGAGAATAAAAGAAATAGTCAACTGAGCTACGAGTGAAAATAACTTATAACAAATTTTAAAGCAGGGATCATAGTGAGCTACAATATTTAAAAATAACTTTTCAATAGCAGATAAGGTGGAGTCATTTTCTTAGTAATTAATAATCTTTAAACAACATAATGGAAATATACTGATATCTGGCCGCAAACCGCAATTAACGCAAAAACATCTGTCTCCATGTCAAATTCACGATCATAATAAGGAAAAGGTGACCAAACTCTACTGTAAGGTGAGACCGCCAAAAGGAATAAGAAATGATCAACTGGCTTATTACATGTTTACTGAATAGCTTATGCTAATATATTAGCATTTATTTTCACGTTCAAATAAGTCAAAAATCATTCATAATGAAAATTCTTACTAGATGCCAATTTTGTCTTTTAATAAAATTTGTGGCCATATCTGAAACGAAAACGAAAATAACTTACAAATCACGGCATCCGCACATTGGTCATGTACTACACCTAGTCTTAAATACTATTTCTTCGGGCAATTAACAAGAAGATGGTAATAAAATATAACTATTTGTTTCAATTTGCAGTTGAAAAGGTTATCTTCACGATTTGCAATCGAAGTCCTGCTCCAACTGGAGAGGAAGATAAATTTGTAAAAAACGTTGAGCGAATGCTTAAAGCGAAAAGAAAGGGCCTTGTCGTTTGGTTGGAGGATGGAAAACTGAATGTGGAACCCGATGTCTTGATACAATTAATGCTTGGAGCCCCAATAGCGGCGAAGAACAGACAAGGACAGCTGAGCCACTCAGAAGAATCCCTCAGACCAACCAATGCTGCTTCAGGTTTTACATCTGACAGGAGACTGCTTCAAGAGACACCAAAGCACATGGGGGAGTTTCCATCACAAGAAGTGCGTCATAATCCTACATCTTATGGAGGAGAATGTACGGATTCCAGCGATGTTCTCGTGCTCAAAACACGAATCCGTCAAGGGATAATATCGTATGCTACCGAGGATCTTGTGTCTCGTTCTCCTGGTTTTGTAATTCCCAAACATATAGAGGAAAGTTTGAGGTGCAAATATTCAACGACAGCAAACGGAGTGCTAAGCATCTATTCCAACACGGAAGGCAAATTACGAACCACCGTACAAACTGATAGAGCGGCCACTTGTTTGATTATTTAATGGACAGATCAACACAACCTCTTCATCATACTTAAACAAAGTGAATATTATGGAGGCCTTTTCTCTTATTAGTAAATCATAGAACGTAAACAGTCTTTAAATTCACGTGTCACGCAACATGCGGACATTTCAACTTGAGATTTTGTATGGTAGAATAGAACAAGGTTATGTACATAACTCTGCAGAACAGTACAAAACACGGACGGAAAGCAAAAGCAAAGCGGATCAATAAATTGCCGCACCTTATGATTCAAATTCTTACTATCTTAGGTTCTTTAAGCTTGATAATACGAACTTAGAAGCCAAAATACTAGAAAACTAAACAAAAGCGAAATGATAACTTCCCAATTCGATGGGTTACCTTATGAAACGAGCGAACATTTTTCTCTTCGCTCGTATTTTCCTCGACCTTACGTACATTTCTCGGAAAAAGTACCAGTCAATTTGCGCAATGTCCGGGTTAAACCATCGAAAAAGGTGTGATTATTATTTTAGATATGTTTGCTGTAAATGAAATGAAGTGAATTATGCAAAGTTCCCTGTTTGCTAGTCATAATTACAGAGCATTGCAACCTCCGTGAGCTAGAACATTCGGGTGAGTTGAAACAGATTACGTTCGAGATCTTAAAATGACTATGTGAATCTATAAAACCCATTAATATGTTTAATCGTCTTTTAAAGAGAGTTTAAAACACTTTGAAAATCAAATATGACACAATAGATTTCAAAGAATGGTCGTGGGATGACATTCAATGATTGTCAGAACCATTCGCATTAAAAGCTATTAATTAACTTACAATGTGAATTAAATAAAAGTGGTGGGCAGTCGCTAGATCTCTAGGAAAGAGTGACTTTTTTGGTGTAGTAAATTGAACATCAAAACATAGGTTTTTGAGGACATTTTTGGTACAGCCATTGATGCAAGGCATCACGGAAGCCAAATCACCTTTTTCCAACCGTTGCAAGCTTTTCTCACGGCCTTACTCGAAATTAATGATAGTATTATATCAATAATGTCATTAAAATGATTTCAATTTCCACAAGCTTTGAAACTCAGTACTAAAGTAAACTTTGCCATGCATCAAAAACGCAGTTAAAGATTATCTATTTTTTGACGAGTGGTCAACCTTCTGCCCGAAAAAAGAATATATGTATATAGATTACTTCTGGGTTGCTAACGAAAATTTGTTGAAAAATTTAGCCTTTGTTAAGGCTCAGAGTATTGTGCAACATCCCCCCAAAAGCGGTCCAAACCAGTTTCGGATTATAATTGTGGTTAGTTGGTTTTGGCGAACTACAAACTTTACTCTAAGGTTGGTTTCTGCCGCGTGCATACTTCTTAGATGGTCCCTGTAGCCTTCCGGTACTTGCCATCCGTCCTCTCTATGCACCACATCTCTCGTGTCGTCTGAGACTTCCCCATGGCGAAGCCGAGTATCTAGAAGCACTGAACCTTCTGGATAATTCAGGGACAACCCTGGTAGAGAAAGAAAAAGAACACACGACAAAATTGGGATGATATAGTAGATCAGACAATGTAAACACGGGACGAACACGCTCTACGGACTGAACATCCGTACGAAATTCTCTTGCATGTAATTCTGTAGCCTTAGGAGCACGAGTAGGTCTAGTATTCAAGTAAAGTGAAGGGGAAGCTGACTCTGACGCCTTATCTCCATTTCGGAGCCTTCTAGGATTAAATATTGTTTTAAGTAATTACACGTTTTGAAAAAGAGGGGGGTCACAGTGTCATTGGGATCCTTCCTTCTCATCTCTGTGCCTTAAAGCTACACCATCTCATGAGGTATCCACGATGAGTCAGGGAATGAGTTGTCTTGGATAAGGGAATGAAATTATTTGTTTCGAACATTCTATGCTTGAAAAAATGATTGGGTCAAAATGATATTGAATTTATCTCGCCATACGTAATAGGGAAGCGTTCGACGACGTAATCAAGAGAATTGATTACTAGGATCTCTACATCCGATCACTAACCAAAGTATTTTAAAATAACTTAAATATTAATTAAATGTAGCCTTACCTGACGGAATCTTATCACGAGGACCCACAACAACTATTACTTCCTCCTTGTTCTTTTTGTAAGATGCTTCAAATTCATTTACATACTCGACCTATATTTTCAAAGTCATATATTCAATTAAAACGTTGCAACCTTACAACGTTTCTTTCCCGTTTTGCAACGAATACCATTTCCTTGAGTTGTGTAACATGCACCCATAGATAATATGTAAACTGATTTTATCAAAAATGATTCAGTATCTCTATTGGTAAACATGAAATAAATGTTTTATGGCAGCTCTCTCTCTATGAATCGTTTTATTTTCGGTTGCATTAAGGACCCCTGGATCGCCAATTTACGCAAGCAGTTCAGGGGATAGTCTGGTTGGGATTTTGAACCAAAATTTGCTAGAGATTGTAAGCACATACAACTCCAGCTAATTTATTTTTCGTCATAGAATTATGCCTGGAAATAGATTAACCCCACAACCTAGCTAATGTGGCATACGGTTTGACCAAATTCTTCACGGAGGCTTGTCTCACTAATTCCATGCCCCCACCCCCCTCCCCCTCACAACGCTTTTTTTCCTATTAATGGGATAAATAAGATATTTCTCACAATTTCGCTGCATAGCAACAGAATACTTTTGTAAAAAGTTTAACCAGGAATAACGTCAACTGTATTCTTCAAATAGAAAAAAGCCGCGATTGTAGAAGAGCCATTCACAAATAACTTAGCCATCATCAACAGAAGAGAGCATCAGCAACAGTAATGAAGCATAATTGATAAGCTACGTCACCACAAACGCAGTGTTGATTCAAATGCGTCGATTCACCAAGAATGCCGAGTATAATGTGTAAAAGAACAGAATTTCAGTTAAACACTCACCTCATCCGTTGGATACACTGAAATATTCTCTGGAACGTTGGACGGCGTCGATTGTGTGATCTCTGGTTGAGGATTCAGCCCTTGGATATTTTCCTCAGCTGTTGCGTTAGAAGTGTCGGCTGATAGACTCATTTCTGGCTCATGATAATCAAACTTTTCACCCATCTTACTTGGTTCAAAAAAGTGTAGAAGAGCTTTCTCGTGAATCTCTCGGTGGTTTTTGTGCCAAGAAAAAATGAAACTTTTTCGTCCGTCAAGATATTCCTCCTCGAATTGTGACGAAACTTTCCTCCGAGCCCAACGTGACATGACAGCTTCGTTTTCCTCTTCTCTCCCCACATAGTTGTCGTCACCGCCTATAATTATTAAAACTTTTTCGCCTAATGGTAACAAGCAGAATAAAAAATAGTAAAACTCAACGATCGAACGTTGAACATTCGTTGATATGAATTCTCGCGCGAAACCGAAACAGCACTAGTATTCGTAACAATGTAAAGTGGGCAACTATATTTCATTTCGCAACTGTGGTGGGGGGATGGGGAGGGGATTTGGGTTAACCGGGTTAGAGTTAGGGGGGTTCTACCATAGTTGTGAAGAGAATTTAATAATTTTTTTTAAGTTAATGCTAAATTAATGGCTACATAAACAAATGAAACTAAAAGCTTAAAATTGAAAAATAAAAAGACGATAGAAACTATTGCGGTTTGAACGGGCTAAGAAATTTGACCTTAGGACAGTCCAGCAATGTGAGCCGAAACTCACATAACGATTATCTATGACATAACCCGATCGATCAAGTGGCTGATCATAATCTTTCCGTACGTACAGGTTCTCTATCAAAAAACAACGTTCACACTTCAGTCCGAATAATCTAACGCAAGACTCACCGGTCGCTCTCAGTAAAGCTTTGTAGATCTTCGCGTAACCAATGCCAGCGTTGTCTTCGTTGATAGAGAGTCGAGATTCATTGGCATGAACGACAAATACGGCAAAATCCATATTTAGAGTGGGAACTATGCTATCACTTACAGAGGACATCTCTGAAAGTTTGAAACAATGCTTCTTGATCGATATTTCGAATTCAACTTTGTCTTTCACTGTAGTCAAGAGTGCTTCTATTGAGTCCAGTTTGAAAGTATTGTCACAGTTAAAAAGGTGAACAGTCTTACAGTTTGGAACTTGTAGCTCCATGTTTTATGAAACCAGGAAATAGGAAAGATCCACAGATAAATGAAATAGTTATTTTTGTGAAATGGCTTTGTAAGCTTCGGTTTCGCAAAAGACATCCATAATTCATTATGGGCCAGCTTAGTCACGCAAGGAAATCTTTTTTGATGTGTGCTTCAATGCAATCTGTGAAATAGGACATGGACATGGTATGGATGAGTCGATTAAGGTTTACTAAAACTGTTTCTTTTGTCAAAATTTACATATCTTTACCTTTCAAATGAAGCCTTGCAGCTTATTTAAGCATTAGCGTGCAAATTGTTTAGTAGGAGGACACTTTCGCAGCCTGATATCATTTGAACCGTCGGTTATAAACGATCAGCTGTTGCAACATCGTGGATTTAGGAGCAATTTTTCATTGTCTTTAGAAAATTTGCATAATTATTCAAATTATGTACGCCGTGATGTTATGTGATTTCATATATCCCACAACATTTGCATCTTATGTGAACAAGAATTTAATGGTCTTTATGAATATATAAGGTTTTGTGAGGTTTCCATGTAGTGCAATTGCTTGGCAAGCATTGTAAAGCATAGGGCTTGTATTCTCTAAAAATAACCCCGCCCCACCCTGCATAGTATGTTGAGGCAATACAATATATACATCGTTGCGCTGAGATGAAGTACAGCCACTTCTCATGAATACAAATTTAGTAGTGCAGCTTAGGGAAACCTGAAGTCACATGATGCCTTGTCAAGTTATTTTCACGAGTACTTTTTATCTTACCCTACAGCATTACTGTTTACCTCCCCGTCCCGACCCCCAAGACAAAAAGGGGTTTTCGCAATCTTGCCTTGCAGCTAGAGTTCAACACAATTAGGTAACTGGTTGGGCATGAGATGGGGCTCTTAAGGTTACTTCCCATCTGCGCGCGTGTCCTTAAGGAAAAAATTCGTAAGAGCGCTAGTTTCACTAACATCTTAGAAAACTTTATATCAGAAGTAAGATTAATAACTGCAGTTTACGATACAAATATAATTTAAGCGACTTTTCATTTAAGGAAGAGTCAAAAGCCGGTAAGGCGTGAAACGACCTAAGGTTCTTCTATAAAATTTATTGGGTATCGGTTGCCGCAGCACGAGCAAAATGGCTCCACAGTCTTATTCACAAGGCATCAATCAGCAAATGTGTGACGGGCTTTTTCAATATTCTGATTGGTTGTCTAGATATCGGCATCTAAAGTTGGAGTAGCAAAAAATATGCGAGGCGTGTTGCGTAAATGGACAGCACGGGACAAATTTTTCAAATTACAAAATTTACCGACACGCTTTCGTTTATCATTATTCCGAGAACGTTTGGGCGAAATTTGAAGAAAATCGGTCAAACCTATAAATTCGCTCAAAGTGGTTGTATTCCTCTCAAAATCAAATGCGAGATTTTAGCTCCTAAAGGTTCGCAAACAACCCGCGCTACACCAGGAGATTTTCTCGCCTCCTGAAACCGCAAACCAATAGGACAACGGGACCTCCTGGCGTCAATGACGATGGATCAAGATTTCCCGGGAAAAGTTTCAGACACGTTTTTTTTCTTTTTATCTCGATTGCTCAGTAGAGCGATGAGGTGGACGACGTAATATTGAGCAAAACTGCAAAAGGCAAGGGCAAAACCCACGACAGAAGTGGAAAAACCGGAAAACGTTCTGAGGAGCAAGACAGGGAATCGACTTACAGCTTTCAAAACTACGATTCGAGGCGATTGTTAATGTTTTTTTATCAAGGCTGGTACTTGCATGAAGAAAAGGAAACTTCGTTTTTAATATCACGTATGGCAAATTTTGGTTTGCCGGCTACATCTTTGTTCGAAATATGAATGCCAGCGTAGAGCTCCGCTAATACCATTCGCTTTTACAAAGGATGTGTTTTCTTTTCTTGACAGAATGGTACTCTTTGTTTCCTTTTAGGCCTGTTTTTTGTATCTTTTCTTTTTACCAAAGACTTTCTTCCGCTTTTGATTTTTTCCATGAGCAAAGGCTTTTCTATAAACAAAGAGCTTCTACGCGTGAATTTTGTTAAGTGCGCGATGTAAACGAAACATGGAAATAACATGAAAATCGAGCCCCAACATTAGCGGTTGCCTCGAAAATTCCCCGGGGGATTCGTCCTGGTTCGAGATTATGACACCTTCCTTATTCATTAACTTTTATTTGAAATTACGTTTCTCCAAATAACTCGGATGTTTTTAAAGATTGCAGAAATTGGAAACTTTAGGTTAAATGTTTGAATTCAGTTTAGTCAAATAAAACAGGAGCCCGTTATCTCCCGAATAAAAGAAAAATCGATTTTATCGGCCTCTGAAGGTGGGAGGTAATCTTGAATTAATTTAAAACGTTTAAAATAAAAGGACTTCTTCTAGTCAAGCAAGAAACCATCCATAACTCCAAGGAACATTCTTTTATTCCATGCAAACAGTTTGCATTTCTGATAAAACACTCGTAGATTCAAAGTATTCATAGGTTATGTGCAATTGCAAGTATCCAGCACCTAAATTAGACTCACGCAGAGTAGGTGACTGCTTACTCCAAACTTTCGGGGTCATCAGGAAGGCCAACAATAGTCCCAGAGGGAAGATCTTGGTATCACTTCAGCACGACACATTGTGCCATTTTCATCAGCAAAGATCTTCAAATACGCTTCCGGTGTTGACCCCCATTCTCTCTCTAACTTCACTACCTCGCTGTGAGGAGGACGCCAGGTTTGGTCCCAGATCTCTACGTCTGCGCTATCGTATGAAATTTTCCCACGGCGCAGGCGTGTTTGTAGTTTTAAAATAGGCCGTGAATCACCCCTTCCTGAATTCTCGCTAGAAACTTGTAACAAATGAATATGAGTTAACCGAGTGAAAGAAAGACAAAATACAAGCTTTAAATCCAAACTAAGCGTGGATAAGAACACCTCCAGGGTGGAATGCACTGCGGACTAAAGCAACCCCAAGAATGTTCTTAGCTCTTAATAAATTCGATAAGGAAATCACTTTCACTCCATTTTTTAGCGATCATTTCAGTCTCGCGAGCCTCAAAAACTAGCATCCCTGAACTTATAGAAGAATGTGATATCCTTCTACATTACCTGTTGATTCAGATTCAGTCGCATCTGAAGTTTGTCGTCCGCCGTCTTCTTCTGATCGACTCCACGACTTCTGGCCCCGTCTCTGACTCTGCCCTCGCTTCCCATTCTGTTTCAGTAAAGACCTCTCCTGATCAGCTGATTCAGGTTCAGATCTTTCTAAATCCTTCGTCAAAAAATTGGTAAAAAAACAATCACATACTTAATTACCTGTAAATGAGCGTTCAAGGATATTTTTTTCAAGGGGGGGTTAGTCGGTACAGGCCCCCGAAGGATCCCCACCTTGTCGTGGTCGGCGAGCTTGAGTGCCTCGGAGATCCCTAGAGCTATGCCGGCGGGAGCTTAGTCTCGTGGTAGGGCCACCCAAGACGGACAGGTTGAAGGGTAGAGGTCCGACGAAGCGCGATCCACCGGTCCTCCAGGCTAGGGGTTTGGGCACAGGGCTAACAACCCGGTTCCGTAAAACACCCACGTTACGGAAACGGCAACGAAGAAAATCAACACTACTGAGCGAGACGGGCTTTCAGAGTTGTCGAAAGATACTAATATGAATGACAATAGTAAAAGCCGAAAGGAAACCGCTGACAGGAAGATGGAAGTCTTGAGCGCCAAATGCAATGTAAGAATTATGTACGAGACAGGAAAGCTGGCACAAGCCACAGCTGAGATGAGACGTTACAACCTACACATCCTTGGAATCAGTGAGAGAAAATGGACAGGTTCAGGCTGACACAAAACCAACACAGGAGAGACAGTGCTATATTCTGGAAGAGAAGATGACGAGCACCATGAGGGAGTAGCCATCATCCTCAAGAAAGGTCTCGAGAAGTGCCTGATGGAATGGAATCCAATCAACAGCAGGCTCAGAAAAGTGAGATTGAAAGGGGGACACATCAACATAACTATCATCCAATGTTACGCACCAAACATAGACAGTGAGGAAGACAGCAAGGTCACCTTTTACGAACAGCTTCAAGCAGAACTGGAGAACACACCACGTTCACGAGATGAAGATTGTGATGGGAGATCTCAATGCAAAGGTTGGAAATGACAACAGGAACTGCGAAAGGGCCATGGGGAGAGAAGAATGTGGCACCATGAATGACAATGGAGAGAGACTACTGGAAACCTGCACCACCTATGAATTTGTCATCGGAAGGACGCTTTTTCCACACCGAGACGTCCACAAGCTGACCTGGTACTCCCCCAATGGAAGAGACAAGAACTATATTGACCACCTGATGATCAACGGGATGTGTAGGCAATCACTGCCAAACGTCCGAGTAAGAAGATGAGCTGCTGTGGGAAGTGACCATCACCTTGTGACCACTACACTGAAGCTGAAGCTAAGGAAGACCAGATCCAGTCCGAGAGGGCGACGACACTTTGATGTGGAGAAGCTGCGAGACCTTAAAGTAAAGACTGCCTTCATACTACAGTTGAATAATTAGTTCCAGGTACTAGCAGATGCTGAAGACCAGACGCAGGAAGGCTTGGGAGACATCAATGCAAAGTGGCAACAGCTTAAGATAGCCTACGAGCAGACCCGCAAAGCCTGCCTTGGAACAAAGCAGAAGGAAGGAGTGGATTACAGAGGATACCTGGCAAGCCATTGCGAACAGAAGAACTCTCAAGAAGAAAGTCGTGGAAGTCAAATCAGAGCGCCTGAAAGAGAGATACAAGCAACAACGTAGGGAAGCGAATCTAACAGTGAAGAGGATGACAAGAACAGAAAAGTGAAGCCACATAAACCACCTTGCAAGCCAGGCAGAAGATGCAGCAAGCAGGGGAGAGCGAGGCAGAGTCTGCAAGATCACCAAGCTGGTGTGTGGCAGGTACAGAGGAGGCACTGACGCTCCGATCATGGACAAGCAGGGGCGACTACTCACGACAGAAGCCGAGCAAGACGCACGATGGGACAGAACACTTCAGTGAAGTTCTGAACAGACCACCACCACCAACAGAGGCAGATATACAAGAGGCAGAGACAGACCTGGATGTCAACACCGATCCCCCAGGAAAAGAAGAGATCATAGCAGTCATCAAGTCCCTCAAGAACGGAAAATCCCCTGGACAAGATAATCTCATTGCAGAAGTATTTAAAGCAAATCCATAGTTAGTAGCAGACGTACTCCAGCCGCTCTTTACATACATCTGGGGGGGGGAGAAGTTACTTGAAGAGGGAGTCATTGTGAAGATTCCGAAGAAAGGTGCCCTTAACAACCGCAACAACTGGCGAGGAATCACCTTACTATCTGTGCTTAGCGAGATCCTGCCCAAGATCATCATCCAGCGAATAACCAACACGGTGGTCCAACAACTGAGAAGAGAGCAGGCAGGGTTTCGGAAAGGAAAGTGATGCACAGACCAGATCTTCACCCTACGTAACATCCTATAGCAGTGCACAGAGTGGCAGAGACAACTCTACATCAACTTTGTGGACTTTGAGAAGGCTTTTGACAGTGTACACCGGTAAAGTCTGTGGCGCAACCTTCGGGCCTATGAGATACCACAGCAGATAATCGACATCATCAAAAGCTTCTACAACAACTTTTCATAGGGAGTAGGCAACAGCGAAATCAGCTTTAAAGTGAAGACTGCCGTCAGACAAGGCTGTACAATGTCGGCGATGTTTTTCAACATGACCATTGACTGGGTAATGAGGCGCACAACAAAAGATCAGTCACGGGGCATCAGATGGACCCTCTTCTCAACGCTGGAGGACCTAGATTTTGCAGATGATCAAGCCTTGGTCTCCCATACTCATCAACACATGTAGGAAAAGACGACCCGACTTGGCACTTACGCACAGCAAGTTGGCCTGAAGATTAGGCAAAAGAAGACAGAAGTGATGCTGCCAAAGTTGTCCAACCCTAAATCAATTCAAGTGAACGGAGTAGACCTGCCAACGACTGGAGAATTAATTTACCTGGGCAGCGCAGTAAGGCATGATGGAGGAGCAGGGAGTGACACCAAGAACCGTCTCAACAAGGCCAGAAACGCCTTCAGCATGCTCAACAACATGTACTCGTCCTCTCAGTACAGCACCAAGACTAAGCTGTAGATCTACCAAAGCTGTGTGATGTCCACCCTACTATACGGCTATGAATGCTGGAGGATGACAGAGAGCGACATCACCAAGCTGTCAGTCTTCCACATAAAGAGCCTCAAGAGAATCTTGCAAATCTTTTGACTTGACACCATCTCCAACCAACAGCCACCTGCCCGCTGCAATCAAGACAGCATGGAGACCATCATTATGCGAAGGCGATGGAGATGGATTGAGCACGTCATGAGGAGAGAGCAGGATAACATCACTCGCACAGCCCTTCACTGGAAACCTGAAGGGAAGCGCAAGAGGGGAAGACCAAGAAACTCCTGGCGCCGAAATGTGGAGGCATCATCGATCCAGAAGCTGGCCCAGAACCGACAGACGTGGCGATCCTTCGTTGCCGTCCTACGCGCCACACGGCATAATGGGCATGAGTGAGTGAGTCGGTACAGGATTAGCAACAGTAAACATAACTTATTACTTCACACTACAACTTAGAGAATTCGCGGAAGGCAAGGGATGGGTACATATTTATGAAAAGGACTGGGCTCTGGTAGAGTCCTTTATTAGGTTTAATCCATATATGGTCCCGTAAAAAAGAAAGAATAGAACAAAACAATAAAAAACCCCTCAATTCGTCTGTAAGACGCCAACAGTAGAACTTTTCCAAATTAAACCACTGTAATGAATCGATTTAGCCCCAGGAGCACCCATTCATTTTTGGAATCTCATTCGCTCATTCGAAAAAGGACGCTTATTTCTCTTCTGAGAAACAGCATAATGTTAAAGCATAATGTTAAAGAAAGAAACGGCCTCTTTTTCCTTGGATTCTTCATGATCCTTCCTGGCTACAACAACCAGCCAAGCAATCGTCGAAAAATTGTAAGACAAGATCGTTTGTTTGAAGGATCTTTGAGGTCACGTGGATATAATAGCTGAGAGACTGAGACAAAGAGCACTGTCTCTGTAATGAGATGTGAAATTAAAGGATTATGAACTAAGGTTGATCTCAATGTACATGTACTCTAACAGTGCTATCCCTGAAACAGAACAGAGATGCTAATTGAAATAGGGGCGCTTGCTGTGATAGGTGCGCTTATTGGAATGGGGTTGGTTAATCAACAGGGGCACTTATTAGAATAGGGACGCTTATCAACAAAGACAAATAAAGGGGGCGCTTATTAGAGAGTAAGTGGTTATTGGAATGAGGAGCACTAAATCGAATCATTACGGTACTCCCTTTCTTTCCACTCTTGCATTCTATGACAATTCTCTGTTCACACGTTTACAGCAAACACACCAACTTTATCAGAATAACCGTCATTTAAGCAGCGTAAACCGCTAGGGTCTACTAAATCTGCGAAAGAAAAAAATCATGTCTTACCTCTTGCTGTAAGTCGAAGTGGTGTGACAGAGAAACAGAAGGTCCTCTCGGGGGTGTTGACGTTGCCGCTGGATCCGTTTGAGAGACCGCGAACTTCTGACCATTCTTGTTGGGATCAAAGTAATGCAGAAGCGCTTTTTCATGGATTGGCCTGTGTTTCTGGTTCCAAGAGAAGATGAAACTCTTTCTCCCATCGACGAGTTCAGTACGAAACTGAGGAGATATATTATCCTTTGCCCACTGGGAGAGGAAAAACTGATCTTCTTCACTCTTACTTTTGTAATTTTTGTCCCCACTGATGACGATCAAAACTTTTTCACCTCGAAAAACAAAACAAAACAAAGACAAAATTACATGTGAGTTCGGGGTGAGTTAATGTAGAAATGGATACGAAGGTCAACTCTCCATTCTAAAGATGGCGGTCATTTGCGTTTTGTACGGTTTTCAATTTCATCTTTCTCTTATGCCAGGCTGCACTTTTGATGTCGTTCCCGATCTCACTATTTATGCCATAATTGCAGTGATTTCTTAACTTTAAGACGACAAAGAATAAAGGCAATGACACTTTATTTGACCCATACATTATCAGTTCGTTGTTTATGGGTATAGTGACACGATAGCCACGGCCATTACTATATTATGTTTGCTGAAAAGAAAAAAAGAGAAAAAATAATAGTACAGTATGGCTCTATTAATTAATAAATGCTCTTTGGGGAGCATTCTGTAGTCCGTAGTCCTCAGTCTACGGCGTTTTGATCATTGTCGTAACAATTCTTAAATGGAAACGCGGACATGAGAACATATCTCAAATAAAAGGCGCCAATGTCCTCATTGATTCGAGGAATTAAGGAATAGACCCGTAGATACTGTAGTTTGACCTCGACATGCTGATCATTATGATAAGTCATTTAACGAAAAACGAATGGTCAAAATTTTGGAATCTTCTTGACAATTAAGCCTCTTATATTTTATGTCAAACTGATAAACAAAGCGGGAAACTTCCCTCACATATGGATTAAACACTGCAATGAGGTTAGAACTATGAAGTGTTATTACTGTTGCGTCAGCCTCAATCTTACCTGAGCCAGTTTGTTCCTTCAGAGCCCCATAAATCTTTCCGTAGCCACTATCATCGCTAAAGGAGAGGCAGGCCTCAGCTGCATGAACAACGAACACAGCGTAATCCATTTTCCCTAAGTTTGTAATCTTTGACACAAAGATTTCCTCGATTTGTTCTCGCCTAAACTCGTGTGTCTTGATATGTAAAATCTTGAAGGGAATCTTGCCTTTAACGGCTTTGAGCAAAGCTTCCACCTCACTTAACTTACACAAGTTATCGCAGTTGAAGAGGTGAAAGCTCCTTGGCGTATTACTCGCCATGTTTGTTGCTTTCGGTTTTAAGCGGAAGTCCTTTTTTCCGAGAAAAAACAAACCGTCACGCAACAAGGTGATTGGCGACGTGAAATAAACTGAAGAGTATTTTGTGAATACTTCCCACTTGTGCACATAATAAATTCCATTGATGAAATTTACGACAAATATATGAGGCGAAATGAAGCGATCTGCTTACTTTTGTTTTATTTCGTCGTATTAGAGGCCATCAGTCTCTTAGATCAGTCTTGGCAAAACCATGCCGCAGTTTTTATTTTAAGTTTTTTGGTTGAACTGCTGACTCTACCTTAGGGGCATAAAACTTGCATTTACCCAACAACACCAGGCATTGTTATCGCCCGGTGTATTTCCTAACCTGTGGTTATTACGAGTCAAACAATTTTTAGGAGTAGGAGTGCTTTGTAACACAAGTACAATTCGAACACAGCCCAGGCTAAGACCAACGCATTGTTCAAGCTAACGTTACAGTTAATGTTGATGATAAAAATAGGAAAAGAGCTGCTTCTTGAATTCACATGGCGATGCACAGATTTGTAAGGGTAACCGTTGGAAACATCGCTGGCCTATCCTCAGAACAAAGATAGGACAATTAACGAAGGGTAATTGCGTCCATCTCAGTTTTGTTTTATGCGAGCTCCTACTTCTAACAATTTCTAATCTTCCTACGAAATGCCCTTTTTGTATGGAGTTCTATCCCCGCCAAAAATCAACTTTACCACTCAACATCGAACTTAAGCTTTCAACAGCACACTATTACACCCAGCATCCAACAATGTAATTTCAACATCTATATTGGCGATGGTGTCGACAGTTTGGTAAGATGAACATCCAACTAAAAATACGATATGTCGGTATGTATACTTCAACTTCTAACATTTCAACGCAATGTCAAAATGTAAGATTGGACTGTCGAGCTCATTTCCGGATCATTTATGTTGGTAATCAAACTCAATACCGTAGCGGTAAAGTTAGATTCGTTACACTCGACATTGTTCCGAAATGTCCACTTTGTCAGACAATGTTGATAGATGGATGCGATAAAATCAACATTGCGACAAAAAGTCGTCTTCGTAATGCACAACGTGTAAGAGCCGCCAGAGAGATCAAATGTCAAATTACGCTGCATCAGGCTATCTGGGTCGTATTTGTAGGCTTGTTTGTCAAAATAACCCAGCTATAGAGTGTCCTGCGGGGTATCAGTGATCTTTTTGTAAGAATTGAAAGATTGAACAATCCATGCGAAATCGGATCAGTAGTTCTAAAGTTAGACTACATCAACAGGATGCTGTTAAATCTCGATGTGGCGGACGACATTGTGAATACAATGAGTTGCTTGCACGAGACTGTCCTGGCGATCGAGGCAGAAGGCAACTCTTCAGTTGGCCAAGGATATCAGACGCAATTAAATCATACTGGACGTTGAGGGCGATCCTCGTTTGATATAACAAGGGAAAAGTTATCGTTTTTATTGGAGCAAGGCTTCAAAGTGAAAGAATGCAGTAATTTGTTGGGAGTTGGACAATGAAATATCGAAAAGAGGATGTCCTCGTTCGGTCTAAGTGTCTCTGGTGAGAGATATTCTGTTCTGTTTTATAGTTCTGATTGCATATTGCTTCACAACCCGGTTTTAACAATCTCGTTCTCAGACTCGACCGAGAATTCCTGTTACCTTTATCCAGCAGACAAAGATAAATGAGTACAGTAGCCTGTTTCTGTCACTTTAACGGACTTTGAGGATCAGATTGTAGATTTAAAGCCCCTCCCCAGAGAGCGTGCTTCCCAGGCTATAGCTACATGCTTCATTGCAGGCTTATCAACTTTATCCATCTTATATCATTACAGAAGTATTGACAAGTATATAAGCCTCCTCACAAACTTTCTTTTGGCCATCACACTAGTCTAGTGTGTCAGGAGGCTGTACCTCTTGATACTCCAGTAATCACTTATGACACCCAATTGATAAATGGTATAAATAGTATAAATAGTATAATATTATGATTATAGTTATATAATTATTAGTCCCATCAAAACAACGAATAATCAAAATTGTGAGTCAGTTTGGGTTAACTTTTCCTATCCTGTTTCTGCACTGAAGAACCTATGAATAACATCTAATTCAATGGCCTAGGAGGTAATCTTTCTGTAGAGGACTATATCCCACCTCATTCCTGCTTGTTACTTATTAGCACACTGGATTTTATTTTGTTCTGTTAGGTATGTTTAGTCAGATTAGTGGATGAGAACTGGATGATTTTGTGACATCTGCACAACAATCTCACCCAAATATTGTTATAAGAATGGTGAAAGGATTACTGCAAAGTAAAGGACATTGTGTGCAGCAGGAGAGAATCAGGCAGTCTCTTTTGAGGGCTGATCCCATTAGAGTAATGCAGCATTGGAGTGTTGCAGTCAGAAGAAGACAGCACAATGTCCAATCTCCCCTCGTTCTTTGGCATATTGATGGCCACCATAAATTAATAAGGTAAATAACTGAATTATCTTCTACCCTGGCATGACCAATGGATCATAGAAAAATCATCAAATTAATCAATAATAATTTTATGAATTGAATATAATTAAGTGATTGATATTGATTTTTATTAGTATTTTGAATGAAAATTGATACTTGCAAAACAAGCTTCCTTGATTATCAGAATTCTTAAGCGGCAATTTTTTTGCATTTGAGCATGCTTGAGGTGACATGGTGGACTAAAGTCCTGTAATAATGTTATTTTTTAAACTCTCCACAACCTTACATTTTCTAAATGTTAACAAGTGGTGAATAGTTTTGCATGATTGTGGAATTGGTAGATATTCCAGAATTCCTGTGTATCTATGTGCATCAGATAACAACAAGGCAGAAACTGTTCTTGGTTTGTTCGTTGACGCAGTTGGTGAATATGGGTTACCATCATGTGTACGATCAGATAAGGGTGGAGAGAATGTAGACATTTCATGGTAAATGCTGACACATCCACAAAGAGGTCCTGGAAGAGGGAGTATGATAACAGGCAATAAAGAAGGATTCTCAAATTGATTAAGGGATTCCACACCTTTTGTGTATATTATGAATATGTTTTAATAATGTTTATATTTTAATAGGGAAAAGCACACATAATCAATGCATCGAGGGGATGTGTTTGCTGGCTGCATAAGTTTGTTCTACAATTTGTTTTATGAGTTAGTTAATGATGACATTCATCTGTGGTGCTTGCATTACACATTCTTACTAGTTATTATTTTTCAGACAAACTGGAAGAATGCATGGGTTCATCATCGTTTAAGATGTGAGAGAAATTCCACTCTCATGCAGTTGTGGATCAGGGGACTCAATAGCATTTGGGGAAGCGACTCAACTACTGATAGAGAGGTCTTTCAGGTGAATGTACGTACATGTAGATGTATTTGGTGTAATTTTACCACATCAAGCAATTAGTGTGAAATAGATCTGAAAAACTAAGTTGGAGTGGACTAATGAACGTACTATACTGCACTGTAATGTACTTAAATGTAGTTATCCCACATTAAAAAAAGTCTACATAATACTCATGGGTAGACATATCCTTTCTTCTATAAAAATTAAGCATACATATTAGCCGTTGATATATGATGTACTTTTATCTGCAAAATGATTTTTCTGATTATGGCATTGATTGGGGTGGATCAGTACCATCACCAACCAATGAAGATGTTGACTTACCTGAAACCTGATCTCCCATTGACCCAGAAAGAATGCAATCTTTATCAAGATTTTATCTGCCACAAGGTGTATCAATCAATCATGTCATCAACTTATTTATATGTATTGTTGAACACATTAATGAGCTGTTGACTCTTCAGCTTCCCATGTAGAAACACAGAATATTGATAATATAAAATTCTTATTATAGTAACAACAAGTACAACATCTGTCATAGTTCATGGACAACCTTTGTTATTTATGGTTTATGCAAGTATTTGTAAGCATTTAATTAATCTTTTTTTCTTTTTTAAACCTTTGCTTTTATTACAAAACACAATTCTACAAAACATTACTTACAATGCAAGACTCATTATGCTACTCTACTTACAGAACAATGCTTAATGCTACCAATACAGTACTGAATATGGTTACTTACAAAAAATATAATTACTTGCAATACAGGCTACTTCCTCTACTAATAATACTTATATTACTAATATTACTTCTGAATATACAGCTACTTACAATACATTATATGGTATATTGACTTTGAGGAGGCAGGAGTACTTCTCAATAACACATATAATTAAGACAAATTTTCAAGATTGTATATAATGAGTAGCTTACTGATAAAATCCTGAAAGGAGATGGCCAGGCTATTTAACTTGGTTGAATAAATATAATGGCGCATAAACAAGGCAGTGTAGTTGAATATCTGTATTATTGTTGTGTTGTGGGAGCTTGCAGTAATACCGAACAAGGTCTCCTCTGTGGTAGGAGAGATTTGGCAGGCATTCACTTGGTTGAAAAAGTTCAAGACCTTTTGGGTAAACAATCTGGTAAACATACATTCAATAAAAAAGTGCTAATTCTCACAAAATACCATAGTAGTATTCATTTATTAATTAACTGAATGGAAGCCTTGTAGTAGCTTGTATAAGGTAGTCAGTTAGAGGCAAATAAAAAGTTAATTATTGCAAATGCTCACTTTTGGAATCACAATTTTCTTTAATTTTTCCAACTGCCTAATATTGGCGTGCACAAGTTGGGAGTTGACTGGTAACACAACAAATGACTGTTTCATTATTTGAACTGCAACAAAAGTTAGTAATAATCAACTAAATATTTCTAAAACATCATCAATATTATAGTTAGATTGAAGTACTAATTGCATTCTAACAATTTAAATAACCAAATTTAAGGCTCACTCAACAATCTGGCTAGCACTTGCTGATTATTGACTGTTAAGAAAAGTCAGAAAACAATGGGTTTAAAAACTTCCAACAAGTTCCAGGGGCACCCAACAGAGGTATTCTGCCTAATATGTGTTCCGTAAGGGGTTTCTTGCCTGGTGGGAAATATGGAAAAGCTCCACTTTATGTGAAGCTTAACCCTAGGGCACCATACTTGAGAGCCATGTCACAGTATTTCGTAAATTCTTCAAAACAATGATAGTTTGTTGGAATAGTATGACTCAGGAAACATGTTTCTGCTATTGGAAAGTCGGTGTTTGCGTCAAATTTGACTAACAGGACGTCGCTTGCGGGCAGGATGTTAGTTCCTGTCCAGAAACTTCGCAGATCGATGAGTCCTGCTCCATCTGAAAAGAAAAATCAGTAAAAAACTACTCATTTTTCTTTGACCAGAAAGGCAATCTAGTGCTTAACTTTCCAAGACAATGGGATGAGGAGGGTTGTTTCTAGGTCGTTATTACATTTTTTTAAAAAATTGTTATTGTTTTCATACAAATGGTGAGTTCTCATACTGAGGAGATGATAGTTGTCAAGATGGTTTACGTAATTTTTTACACCTTCATCATTGACATCAACGAACCTTCTTTTCTTGATTCTATTAGGGTGATGTAATCTGTGAAGAAGTCTGCTGCCCTCGAATTGTTATAGGTAGCATCTTTTTCCTCGAAAGTAATCTTCCCTTTGAACTTATCTCCTCATATCATTCAATCTTTTTCTTCTGGAAAAATGACATCCAGAAGACAGGGCCGGCCACTTAACCAGGGCAGTGTGTAGACCAACCTCCTCCATTCCTAATAAGTCAAAACACAAGGCTTCGTTGAGATGTCCAGTTGTCCATAGTTGGTAATGATCAGTTTTTCTAGGTAATGTTATTCTCCTAACTTTGGCAATGTCATCTAGCTCAAACCTACGCTTAAGGGTGATGTTGTAGAGCATGAGTCCCTAGGTTATTTGTCCCGGTTCTTCAATCAGCCTATCGATATCAAGGTCAGCTTCACTTAAGTAAGGTTCAATTTTTTGCCTTAGCTCCATTGTTGGATGGCCATCTTTCCACAAAGCATCAACTTGAAAGTGAAAAAGAGACCTGTTTTTGTAGGTGGTTAGGGACAGGGTAACTCTCCTTCTGTGAAAATACTACTAAATTTAAACTAAAGTGAGAAATACAATAGAGACGGTTAACTTAGGCCCCTTTTAAGGGGGTGACCCTTCTAGGAGGGTCACCCTCTATTGATTTGAACAGGGCTTTTATCTCTAAATGAAAGACAATGCCACACCTATAATTTCTCTTTAATTATTGATCATCATTTATCTCATTTTTAAAAACAAATTTTGGAATCTTCTTGACAATGAAGCCTCTAATGTTTTGTGTCAAACTGATCAACAAAGCGGGAAACTTCATGCAGATATGGATCAAACACTTCAACGGGGTTAGGACTATCAAGAAGTGTTTCTTTCCAGTTGTGTCAGCTTCAGTCCTACCTCAGCCAGTTCGCTTCTTCAAAGCCTCATAAATCTTTCCGTAGCCACTATCGTCGCTAAAGGAGAGGCAGGCCTCAGCTGCATGAACAACGAACACAGCGTAATCTACTGTCTTTAAGTTTGGAACCGTTAGGAAAACGATTTCCTCGATTTGTTCTCGCCTAAACTCGTGTCTCTTGAGTTGTAAAATCTTGAAGGGAACCTTCCCTTTAACGGCTTTGAGCAAAGCTTCCACCTCACTTAACTTACACAAGTTATCGCAATTGAAGAGGTGAAAGCTTCTTGGCGTATTACTCGCCATGTTTGTTGCTTTTGGTTGTAAGCGGATGTCCTTGTTTCCGAGAAAAAAACAAACTGTTACGCAACAAGGTGATTGGCGACGCGAAATGAACTGAAGTCTATTTTGTGAATACTGCCCACTTGCGCACGTAATAAATTCCATTAATAAAATTTATGACAAATATATGCGGCGAAATGAAGCAATCTGCTTACTTTTGTTTTTTTTTCGTCATATCTCATTAAATAATTTTTATTACACTTTTTATCATCTAATAGAGGTTTATGATATTCTGATGACTAGACGATTAGGGGCAATCAGTCTCTCAGTCATGGCAAAGCCACATCGCATTTTTGTCAAGTTTTTTGGTTGAACTGCTGACTATACCTTGGGGAAATAAAACTTTTATTTACATAACAACTCCAGGGATCGATATCATCCGCACTTCCTAACCTGTGCTTATTACTAGTCAAATAATATTTAAAAATGGGAGTGCTTTGTAGCACAAGTACAAGTCGAACATAGCCCAGGCTAAGACCAACGCATTCTTGGAGGATGTACATGCTAACGTTACAGTTAATGTTGATGATTGAAATAGGAAAAGAGCTACCTCTAGAATTTCCTTTGGAATTCACATAACGATGCACAGATTTGTAAAGGTGACAGTCGGAAACATCGCTGGCCTATCCTCAGAACAAAGGGGGTACAATTAACGAAGGGAAGTTGTGTTCACCTCAGTTTTGTTTTATGAGAACTCCTGTTTCTACTAATTTCTAATCTCCCTACGAAATTGAACACCATGCCTTCTTTGGTGTGACAACGACATTGTGAATTTCTCCACTTTTGTTGCCAAACACCTTCAATTTGGCAAATGGTGTTGACTTCCATTTTTGTTCCAAATCTTTTGCATCTTCTTCAGATGGTTGCCAGCTTTCTACCCGGGTCACCACGTCCTTGCTTTCAAACGAAATTTTTCCATAACGCATGCGTGTTTCGAGCAGTAAAAATCCAGATTGTTCGTGATCGGTGCTGAAGTGTGAATCGGAAACTGGAAAAATAGTAACATGAAAATGCATTTAGTAGCTAGTGACATGTAATGTTTCGGTATCTTGCAAATATGTTTACACGGTGGGTATTTTATCAATGGTCACCCAATAGCCCAAAATGACTTAGCTATCCAGGTGATGACGGGAGAGAACACTTGCTTAGAAGATGTTTTTTGGGGATGGTGCCATTGGTCCTACCTATTTTCAGTATGCTTACAAATGTTTTAATAGTTTCCAAAACTTGTGGTTGTCATTGGATGATTGAATCCTGCATGGTGTTCACCACAGTCATCATCCTTCAGTTACCTTTTGATTTGTTATGAGTTAAGGGACCTTTTAATGGCATCTTATGTACGTAAGTGGGTTATATGAAATGCACAACAAAGCTGTACTCGTAGTTGCTCGAGACCCAAATTAAGAAGGACCGACGCAAGGGTTTTGAGAAAGGACACAGCTCAGCCAAGCTTAACCCTTTAACTCCCGAGAACTGAATGTTAATTCTCCCCTCTGGTTGCTAGACATTTCCTCGTATATAAGTTACGAGAATTTCGTGTTAGATCAAGATAACAACTTCTATCTGATACATTTGAGTATTCTCATTACCTGTTTGCTAGATAGAGCATGGATATTGTAGGGAGAAGTTACTGGTCGGTCACTTCTGGGAGTTAAAAGGTTAAACGCGTAAGGGACATCTGGCTTCTGTTTCCTGGGGTCAATACCCATGTCATAGTATTACTACCGTTTTTTATACCTGGAAGAACACATGGTTCATTCTCTTCTTCAATTTTCTCCTCTGTCTGTTGTTCATCAAGAGAGTTTTCGGTATCAGAAGGTACTTGTTGAGAGATCTCAGGCGACTGAGTGGTTTATACAGAAAAGCAAAAAATAAAACGAACATTTACTCAGGGTATGAATCAATATTTATGGCTCTGTCTTAAACTTTATCGTAAAATGAAGCTTATTTGTGTATGCGTTGTGTATGCGTTGTGTATTATTGTGTAAGGATTTACATTGGTTTGATTTGAGGACTTATAAATCCTTTAAACCTTAGAGAGACTAGCATCCTATTTCTCCGTACAATATCACCCCTGAATCAAACAGTAAGGTCATGAGAATAAAGGAAATGATCCCTGGGAAATAACTTTTTGATTGGAAAACAAATTCTCCTTGTCAGCACCTTAGGAAATGTATAAAGAACAGTGTGAAGAATTTGCATACTGATGTTATGGTGTAAAGGGTTAACTAGCTTATCAAACAGTACAATCATGCATGTCCAGATCAAAAAAACAACAAAAACATCAACAGTAGCTATAACTGTCTAACCAATTTCACCTCACCATGAATTCAAAGATTGCTAAAAATATTACTTTGAGTTACTAAATGGGGCTCGAAGTCCCCTCAAGAGAGTATAGCAACAACAAAAAAACGTTCCAATGAACAGTTTAGTGACATAAAAAATTGATTCAAGCAAGCTTAGTGCAACAGCAAAGGTCATCGAACATTTTAGCAAACAATGCAAACCATAGGCCTCGCTTGAGTTTTTCTCAAAGTTTATAATCATGACGCTGTCCATGACAGAAATATCGGATAAAGATGTCGTACTTCAGTTCCTGCTGTAAATATCCCTAAATAAAATCCTCCCTCCCCTTCAGCGTTATCTTTAAAGGGGAGGGGGTTGGATCCTACGTCTGATCAAAGGAGGCACTGTAACATTTTTCCTCCTAAGGAACAGGCTTTTGGTCGCAAATAAATCGAGAAAGATGGTAAATTTACAGTTTGCTTATCAACTTAAGGACGACGTTACGCTCTGTGACGGGTATAAAAGGAAACTAGCCTCAAACCGTCAGACTTCCCGCCCTGGTGCTCTACCACAAAGCTATAGGAAACTTGTTCGGTTAGCCCGAAAGCGGTGGAAAATCTTCAGATCTACCATGCGATGATCAGTGAAATCGCGGCTACATAGTCCCTTAGCTCACTGGACCGCATTAGACCTGGGAATACGTAAATCGATAATTGGACATGTCATAATCACCTGACTCTGTGTGGCTACTGGGGATGTTATCCAGGTTTCTTCAGGTCTGGGTTCAATTCTAACGGGCTCTGCCACCAATTGACTCGTAAACTTCTGTCCCTTTTTGGTGGAATCAAAGTAATGTATTAGTGCTTCTTCGTGAATAGCTCTGTGTTTCCTGTTCCACGAAAATATAAAGCTTTTTCTACCATCAATGAATTGTGGACGAAGTTGGCGGGATAATGCTGTGTTCCTGGCCCGACGAGAAAGCATAGAACGGTTTTCTTCGTCATCGTCGCTGTAATTGTCATCCCCTCCTATGACAATCAATACTTTTTCATCTTGAAATGAAAAAAAAAGAGGGATATAATAATGTATGATACATGATGCAATAAAGCTGTAGATGTATTGGGAGTTCCGTCACATTGTAGCCATAACTCCATATGCGAATATATTAAAGTTCACACGGCAACCAGGTGGACAATCAGACATAGTTTGATGCACACTGGTTTGAATATATTAAAGTTACAATTCACAACGGTCTAGTGCCTTCATCAGGGGTGATCTAAACGCTGCAACAAGAGGTCCTTTTATATGATCACTAATTAGCGGCCTTTTTTCTGACGAGGTGTAAATAAGCGTCAGGAGCGTGGGCGGAGTTAATGTGCCAAGCCTCCAAACAAAGGCGCTGGTGGTAACGCCGATTAGTGGTGATAATTTTAGAATTATCCCACCCAATTGTATGGTTGGTTAGGCAAGTATGCCCCGATAAAGCTGAATTTTCCATTTTGCAAAGAAAAACCGCTTTTTGGTGCTCTTTTAACCGTGTACCAAACTGGCGTTTGCTCCTTTAAATCGTGACGATGGCGGTCTGCTTCGTTCCTGACGCTTATTTACACCTCGTCAGAAAAAAGGCCGCTAATTAGTGATCATATAAAAGGACCTCTTGTTGCAGCGTTTAGATCACCCCTGATGAAGGCACTAGACAGGAGTGTCGAAACGTTGGGTCTATGAATTGTAACTTCTTCGGTTACATTCATTAAATCTGCAAACCAGTGTAGCATCAAACTATGTCCATATGCGAATTGGGTAAAGTGATATTATTTGAGATAAAATTAGAGTCTTTAGGAGCCCTATCTCTAAAAGAAGTCTCTTTTATCTTATATATTGCACCACTTTGGCGACAACCTTTCGCGCAGGTCGAGAAACTCACTCTTTCATTTTTCCCCATATATCGAGTCACTTTTCTATTTTTAAAATTTTAAGATAATCAGTACTGATTTTTATTCATTGGTTGTACAGAACATCTATGTTTTTGAGCGTAGTAAAATATTTCTGACTATCTTGGACAGGAAGAATTACCCGGCAAAGGTTCTTAGAAACAACACACGACGAATAACTTGACGAATTAGGAATCCCGCACTCCATGACTTTGTTCAAGGTAAATTTGTAACCTACCAGAGCCTGTTCGCTTCTTGAGAGCCTCATAAATCTTTCCATGACCACTGTCTTCGCTGAAAGAGAGGCAGCATTCACCGGCATGCACAACAAACACTGCATAATCCATCTTCAAGTTGGGGATAGTTTCGTTGACCATATCCGAGATTTGTCCGCCGCTGAAGTAGCCTTTTACGATCTTAAAAGAAGTTTTCACTACAAGCTTCTTTTCGACAGCTTTCAAAAGCTCTTCCACCTCGTTTAAATCACATAAATTGTCGCAATTACAAAGATAAATGTATGTCTCCTTCGTGGGCGCCATATTTAGCGTTAATAGTTCGATTGTTTTCAGTTTTCAAGAAGAGCTGTTTCTTAGAAATAGCCTCTCTGTCACGCAACGAGACATTTGGTATGGAAAATAACGCAATTTCTCTTCTCTGCCAAAGAAATAAGGATGGAATTCATATTCTGTTCTCAGTTACTGACAATGATTCTGAAATGGTTTGGGGTAGAGAGTTCGACAAAACTGCAAAGGGAATGAAATATATGAAGCATTTTTCACGTCCTCAAGAGAGAACATTTTCTTTAAGCTGTTCCTATTGTTTTGCTACTATTTTGTCTTAAGAGCCCTGCCGAACATTTTACTACCCTATTCCTTTAAACAACGGAAGTCAGAGCAGATTACACAGCTGCATATTAGTACCAATCTTCAAGGAGCTAAACCAAGGTTTGTTGATCCTCAAAACGTTTATTACCTAAGTATTGTCTTGGTTGATCTTTCGAAATATGCCCATTTTGCTGTTTTGAACATTAGATGAACCTCCCTTCAGTTTCTCCTATTTTGGTGTTTTTCTATCCAAAATAACTTTTTTGTGGTTTCCGTCCGTCAACAACGTCAAAGATTATTTTTCATGTCACACAAAACGGGTGAATTTATTGTGCATAACGTAACTCTTTAAAGTTATCACTAGTTCGTCGATGAAACTGTCTAAAAGAGCACATTCCACAAAGAATCATGTCAGCTTGAGTGAATCAAATGTAGATAAACATCAAGAAAACGGGATGGAAAATGGAAAAGGTTCCAATAATGACGGAGGTCATTACACTCTGATGATGTACTACCTTTCTGTTTCCTTTTATTTTCGAAAATTCATCATCCGGAATCTGATCATTACTTCTGTCCAAGCTGGCTGTAGTATCAACGAAAGTCTTTTAATAGTACTAATCTCAGGTAAAAGATCAACTCCTAGCTTCAAACCATTTATTGTATAAGGTCTCATGTGTCAGTCTAGTCCTCTAGGAAATAATAATCCTCTTATCGCTTTATGCATAGCCTAGGCCTGCAATTGACGATAATCTGGTGGAACTTTACTGATGAAACAGAGGTGAGAATGACAACGGTATTTTTTCAGAAAAAGTCAGATTCCTCTGACCAGTCCCAAAACATTTATACATTTCTTTGAGCATCATTATATATTGTATATGCTTAAGTCACTTTTTACTCTCTTTTTGGTTGTTTAGCCATAGAAAAAAGCAAACTCGCGGCCGCAGTGCTCTGATACAACGACTTATGCCCCAGAAACCACAGATGAAAAATATGCAATAAAGATACGGCCTAAGAGAATACCAAAACCTGCTCCAAACAGGCGTCACGTCCTTAACAACGCATCTAACTGCTGCATTTCCATCACTAATAAACCTAACTGTAGCCTTCGGTGTCTGCTTATGGCGTTCCATGACGTCTGATTCGTGTTGGGTCGAAGGCCGCCAACTTTTCTTCCACTGCACAACGTCCAGAGGCTGATAAGAAATCTTTCCATAACGCATGCAAGTTTCCAAGAGCACCATTCCAGCTGGGTAGTCACAGGTAGCTTTATCTGGTTCTGTGATAAAAATTAAGAAAATTAAAAAAAGGAAAAAAAAGAAAACAAGAGACATTGATTTTGCGACGCAAAGCTCTGTTGCGTTTTAGAGAGACAGAAGAGATGTGCCATTTGCGATAACAGCTACCCCACAGACTAAAACACTTCTAGAAAGAATTCTTGAGTTGAAGATGAGAATCCTGTTTTCGATCCTTACCTCTCCCACCAGATACTTCATTTTGACTTGTCCCTTTCTGATAATTTTGTCCATAGGATCCATTTCGTTCATCATGCTCAGGCTTTTTCGGAGAATCTTCTCTCTGGGGTGCGAATGAACAATCCTTTTATTTTCTAAATATTATTCAAAGGAAAGGGATAAAGAGTTTTAATTACGAAGACAAAAAATTATGATTTCCTTCCCGGAATCAATGTTTCACACAGCCTGTTTTCCTCCAAACTAGAAAATGGTTTTGGAGAGGAGGTAAAGCAAAAAGGAAAAAGGAAAGTGAAGGAAAAGAGAAACATTCACAGCTTTACTTTCAAGAAAAATAAATATGCAATACTTCTCTCTCAACAGTCGTCTCTGAAGCCGAAGTAACAGGTTCTGATGTTGGTATATATTCAAACTTCTGCCCACTCTTGGTGGTATCCAAAAAATGCAACAGTGCTTCCACGTGAATTGCTCGGTGTCTATCGCTCCATGAGAAAATGAAGCTTTTCCTGCCATTAAGATACTCCTCACGGAACTGCGAAGCTACTTTTCTAAGCGCCCAACGTGAGATCACAGACTTGGCTTTTTCTTCTTCATCTTTGTAGTTGTCATCGCCACCAATGACTATTAATACTTTATCCCCTAATTTTGAATTTAAGAATTTTTAGACAACTGATAGTTATAAATACAGAATTCTAACAACTATTTGGGCAAAGTTTGACTTTGAAATTGACCGTTATGCAATGGAAAGTTGCCAACTTGATATGATTGACCTCAACTCGTGTAAATAATATGCTCTAATTATTCAACAAGAGCTGAAAGGATATATTCGCGTATAAAACAGTTTGATTTTTACGGCATGTGCGAGCGTAACGCATTTTTTAGGCTATTGTTTTAAAAAAGATAGCAAATATCCTCTGATTCCTTGTCTTTAAAAGTGACTCATGGGGATGACATTCTCTAGTGCGACAAACTTCCGTTTGCTCCTGCGTGACATGTACATTGAATACAAATGTCATGTGACCAATGGCCGAATGCATGAAAGCGAAAGTTGGTTTGTTATTGTCTTTCAGCAATGTTGGAAAATCTAGTTTTCGTCTCCCGAATCAAATCCATCTCTTTGCAACTTTCAAAAACATAATCTGTAATGAATTATCAATTTTTTAGCGTCAGATAAATCTTCTACTCTAAAGAAACTGTTTTCTTGTTGAACTCACCAGTGGCGCCTAACAAAGCCCTGTAAATCTTCGCGTAACCAATTCCGGCGTTGTCCTCGTTGATCGACAAACGAGATTCATGTGCATGAACCACAAAAACCGCAAAATCCATTTGTAAACGAGGAATAGTGGTTTTACAAAGTTCCCCCATTTGATTCAGACGAAAATGTAACTTTTCAACCTTGAAATTGCATTTACCGTTCACTTCGAGTAAAAGCGTTTCCACTGAATCCAGTTTAAACGTTTTATCGCAGTTAAAAAGATAAACGGTTTGAGTCGTGCTTTTCGCCATGATGTGATTCAGTCAGCTTTTTCTGACCAAACACGTCCTTTTCGATCACTGTGTACGCTTGTTCCTTTGCTCGCGATTTGCTCTTACTGTGGTAATTCAGGGAATTAAGTTGCAACGGCCCGTTACAACTTTTCCGAGAATGCTTCTGCGTGATAGTCACGCAACTTACTTTACTGTTCTCAATGCAAGAAAATTCTGACCGCGCTAGAATAACAAGACATTTGACGAAAATCGGGATAACACGAAGAAAAAAAATTAATAAAGAAATAGAGATATATGAATAGTATTAGGTTAATTCGTATATGAATCTGTAAATAAAGAAAAACTTCATCAAAGAGAACAGTTCTCTCAGCTCCCTCAGCTGTCTTTCAATCATTCACTTGTGACCAAATAGGAACTCATTTTATGAACCGCAATTTAGAACGGCGCGTCCGTTTTCAAACTGAACATACGCAGTAAAGAACAGGGATAAAATATACTGGCCTTTCTCTTCTGTGGGTGATGATTACCAAAATTAAAATTTGTTTTTAGCAAAAATTATATTTATAACTTTAGGAACTACAAAATAGAGCCGAGGTATTTGATTTTATGGCCACACAACTTATAAAAAGCTTTTCATAGCTATCAAGACCAGAATCCAATAAGGAGAGGAAAAATGGACTTTTAATGAGTAATTTTTTTTCTACTTGAGATTTACATAAATTGCTCATGCAAAAACATTCTCTTGCGACTTTTAAGTTTCCGTCAGGAAATATGACTTCTGAAGTGTTGTTCAACACTTTTTTGATTGTTTCTGTATTCAAATATAATGTAAGTATACATTTTCCGATCAAAAAGTGACGTCAAATGAAATGGGATTTCGTAACTTTTTCTTCTTGAAGGACTTTGCTCAGCCTCGTCATGTTTAGTAAATCGCACATAGTTCCTAATTCATTTTTTCAGCTATAGAAAAAAAAATCGTGCTCTTTATAATAGAGCAAAGTAACTGCAAAGTAAATAAGCAAAAGAAACTTTCAGCACTCTTGAAAACAAGACCTCGGTTTAAGATTGTAAGTTATTTTGTCTCTCTGATTTTCGTCTCTCAGTTCTGATGGCTTATTACATTTTCATTGCTAGCCTGTAATCTGACAGCGCGCGAAACATGGCTGACTCGAGCTCTTTGACGACAGCGCGAACGCCTCCCGAACTCTCTTCATAATAGATCTCTAGTTCTGCCCGTGGAACACGACCGTATTTCTCGAGAAAATCAGAGACCAAGTGCTCCGGTGGCTTATAGCCCTCTTTCATTTCTACCACATCCCTTTCTGCGAATGAGATCCTACCAAAGCGAATAGACGTCTTCAACACTAGCATTTCGTTAAGGACTCCGTCACACTTGCGAGGGCGTCCTCTCCACCAAAGGACAATGCCTTTCTCGCCAAGCAGCAACTCCACTTTTTCAGTAACTTTGACTTCTTCGCTCTGTGATAGTGGCAACGTCTCCGCAATTATGTCTGAGTGCATTATTACGACTACCACTCTGTCTGGATATAGAAATGGTAAAAATACGTCAGAAAGAAACCTGCTGTTATAACATTCAATAAACGTAACTTTACTCGAAATTATCACTCTTCAATATTCCCGTATCTTTTAAGAAAATAGATTTTAAATGTTTCGTCGAACTAAATTCATAGTTAAAATTACAAAAAATGGTATTGCAAAGTAGATTTTATTTAAACAGGGCCCACTAGTGACCTGATGAAGATATTGTTTATCATTAGCTAAGACGAAAAATTGATTATCCGGCCATCATCGTCGGCTATCAAACTGAAATCGAACTAAAACCCTCCCTTAAAAAATCAGGATTGAGTTTAATTGGGTATTTAGCAGACCACAGCTAGCAGCTACATCTTCAGTTTTTGAAATTGAGCCTTTGACAGAGGCCCAACTATTTGGTATTAAATCTACCATAGCAGGAGGGTCTCAATAGGGTTAACCGTTAGTTTTAAAATGGCCATTAGGCGTAAAAATCAACAAATTTTAACCGTTAGTCGTAACAAACATTAACCGTGAAAATTTTCCTGTGACCACTTAGAAAGATATCAACCGTTAGCCTTAAATTGGTCAAGATTTTAACCGATAGCCATTTTGACCCTATAAAGGGTCAGACCGTGTCCTCAAACACTAAGTTTACATTTTCTGTGACTTTTCTTACCAGCTGCTTTTTGAACAGTCCTCAACAGTTCTCCGAGGTCAGATCTCTTCCATTCGTTTGACAATGCAATCTGTTTTAAAGCACTCGCCTGTAGCCCAATGGCACATAACGACACAGAGGTACCCTCCTGCAGATGAGATTTCAGCTCTTTGGGGCTGCCAACATGTATGTCAGAGTGAGTACGCATGCCTGACAAGGGGTACATTTTGCAAATAACTGTCACAGCTGATTGGTCACTGCAGAGAACCATGAAATCCACAACGCCTGAGAAGAAGACAGATAGTCGATATTGGACACTTAGTGGACATGTGATTGAAGTCCAGCATGAAATGCAAATAATTAAAACCATTAAAGAGGATTTCCTTCCGAACATCATGCACATATTGCTTATGGACAAAAAAAATGCCAAAGTATTGGTGACTTCTCTACTGTCAGTCGTTTAATATCTAATTCATTTCACCTATATTTAAGGCATGATCCAACTTTCAACTCACTAGTTAATGTCATGAAAATGTTGACATTTTTAAAACATGTTGATATTGAGTTTTATGCCTGTTTAATAAATGATTCTTTTGGCCTGGATCTTGTTGCTAAAGTGGTTTGGGAATATTTCTTGAATTTGACGGTCCTGCTCCCCAAAAAAGGAAAAACAATTTTTCTTAATTCATAAGATACTCACTCCCGACAAAAGGCAGGCAGTGAAAATATTAATCACCCAAGCCTAGCTAACAGAGCAGTGTCGATCCCAGACTGACTGATTGTGAGATCTGAATCTACTCATGGCATCCAAGTCATCAGCAGGGCCAAGTTGTTCAAAACACGACTAACCTTACACGGGATTAGTATAATATTAGTATAATTTTCAAAAGAGTTTAATAGCTTTGCAAATTAATTTTTTCTTTTGTATTTTTTTCCAGCTAGTCTCAAGTCATATCGAGATAAAATCGGCAACAAAACCTTAACTCTTATACGCGCTCTTCAACACGAGAAATAAGAGCCAAGGTTAACTTGCTAGATTAACGCTAACCCCCTTTCGAACAACCTGGCTCAGCTGCAGGGTCACTAACTGACCGTTATGCTAATTATACCTTTTCTGTTTTCCTTGGTCGAGGAATCCACAACATCGCAAGTTACTTTGTCAAGTGCGGAAATTGACTGCGGAAGAAAAAAAATTAATGTCCTAAATTACTAAAAGCGAGCCAGCCTCTAACTTTCCCTTGACTTTCGCCATGTAAATGAAAATAGGAAGCACACACTGTTCAATCTAATTTTCTCGCCTGAGGCCACCGTAATTATAGGGATTTTCAGTGTCTTTGTTTTAGGCAATCCTTTGACCATCGAGTGACCTAACCTATTTTTCCTGGCCGGTATACCTTGGTAACTCTTAAACAGAGTAGACATTTGCCACTGTTATACAGTGCCGTCTCCTAGTAAGCATATTTAGACCTGTGGCAGGAAAACTGGGTTATTTGTATCGAGTCGAGGCTTGCTGCTCAAATTCCAGGGAAGTAAAGTCCAAAACTTTTCTCTCCTGGTTTGGTTTGTACATTTGGTTGTGCCATGGATCTTTGTAAAACAACATCTTAGCTACATTTGACTTTCCACATTAGTCTTTCTGAAGTTTACCAACACACCTCGGCTTTGTAGGCCAGTCCTAGGTTTTAGCTCTCGCCCGAAATTGAATCTGCTTATATAAACTGCGCATGAACAATGTGTGTACCTTCTCAACAACACTAGCTGCATCCGTTTTGGCGGGCATCTCTGATTGACAGTCAAATTTGACTCCTGCTTTCTTCGGATCAAGGAAATGCAGCAGTGCCTGCTCGTGGATTGCTCGGTGTTTTTCATTCCAAGAAAATACGAAGCTTTTTCTCCCATCACGAAACTCTTCCTTGAGCTGTGAGCCGACAATCCGATGTGCCCAGCGTGATAAGACATTTTTGTGTTCTTCTGCTTGGTTTTTGTAATGGCTGTCTCCACCAATAACCACACCGACTTTCTCACCTTAAAAATTATCAGGAACCAAACCTTTAGTCCACTCGTAAACGTCTTATGATGTATTCAGGGCTTATCACAAATACACTACACTGTTGAAATTATTGCTTTCTTTTGCGAACAACCTTATCCCTCCGATCTCGAGGTTAGACGCGGCCTACCTCGATTTTTCTCTTGCTCACATTAAGTATTTGTCTTCTGGAATTGCAAGTTGCCCCTGTCTCCTTAAAAATATAAAGATCCAGCCTCCGATTAGATGTCTCGACAATAGATTTGATTGCGCTGAGAACGGAATTGAAGAATTGAATTAGAAGAAGATATAATTCCGTATACTATGTAATTGGAGCGCACTCAATTATCCTCCAAATAATGAAATACAACCTTTCGTGCAAGTTGCTAACTGAATGAAGTTTAGCGTTTGTTTTCAAAGAAACTTGTGGCAAGTAGAATGGACGACACTTGAACTTACTTTCAAAGGTTTCTTGCTTGACTCATATAATGTATTCAAAGCTGGCAATGATTACTCAACTAGGTTGGACTCGTATATAATTTATGTACAGCGTCTCTCGACGTTTCACTCACAATGGCGATGTCGTATTACCCTGATTACAAAAGAAAGCTAGTCTCCAGATGGCGAAGACAACTGCACTAAAATTTCATTCTGGTTTTGAGTGTTTGTAAATCTTCAAGCCAAAAAATCTAGGTATGAAAGCGAAACAGTTTTGCTTGGTTAGCCTTTATTATAAATAATAGTTAAAATCAGCCTGTTTAACCAATTTTTCGAACGATGGCACCAATTTACAATCGCACAGGTAGGCTTATGGAACAAACTCCCTAAAACATGTATAAAGATGAGAGCAAGAAAATGTCAACAAAATATACTTCCGCCATGACAGTAGAGAAGACTTACCAGTAGCGTCCAGCAGTGCTCTGTAAACTTTGGTGTAACCGCTTTCTACTTTACTATCGTTGAATGATAGACAAGATTCATCGGCATGTACCACAAGAAAAGCGAAATCAATGTGAAGTTTAGAAATGGTGTTTTCGCATAATTTAGACATGTCACGGAGACTGAAATAATGTTTCGATACCGTAAAAGTGAAAGGTATTTTCTCTTGGACGGATCGAATCCAAGCGTCAACGACGGTAAGATCGTAAGTGTTATCGCAGTTGAAAAGATACACGCGCTTCTTCTCGGACATTGGTTATGTTTCGAGGCGAAATTTTAGACTACTGTATGAACTGAGCTGCTTTCCGACTTGTTTGTTTGTCTTCGAGTTTGTTGGACGCGTTCTTAGAAATGACCTTTACGGTTTTGTTTCGATTCCTAGAATAAACGTCACTATTAAAAGAGTCACGCAATTTCTATGGTACTACCCAAGAGTGCAAGTTGGTTGTTCCAACGAAAACAGAGTTTATATGATATTGTAAAGACATAGTTGCGTTAAACTGCACTTCAAGTATACAGTCACTTACAAGAACTATCTGTGAATGCATTAACGACCCGTTACTTAACCTTTTAAACCCAAAGAGTGACCAGCATCTAATTTCTCCTTAAAATATCACCACTGAATCACACATTAGAGTCATGAGAATAAAGGAAATGATTATCAACGAGAGAAGCTTTTGATTAGAAAACAAATTCTCTTTGTCAGCACCTCAGAGAATTGATTTTAGGGTGTAAAGGGTTAAACGTTTATCTTTGATGCTGCGGTTATGAAACGAAGGATTAATTTGACTGAGGTAAGACTTTTCACCTAATCGAGTTCGTCGTAACCAATAACAAGTAAATACTCAAGGGAAATAGATAATGTTCCTTTACTACTTCTGCGGCATAAAAATTTTGACCTTTTCAAACGGTACCGCTCTCGAACATATCAAAGTATGAATGCTTTTCCTTAGATAACAGTTAATTAGGAAATCAAAACATTCGACAAATGGTTCATTCCCTCATGTCAATCGTCTAAATTATCCGGTGACATAGAATAGAGCAAACAGATGAAATGAGATCAACCAAGCCATAATGGTCCTATTGGCTCACATTTCAGTTTTATTATGTTCGTAACAACTTATTGTTCAAGTCTGAACTTACTGATAAGAGACAGATTCGCTTCTGCAGGGGAGACATCTTGTTTTAATTACATAACTTTTTCTTTTATGTTGTACCCTAGATAAACTTTTACGCTTCATTTTGACCTTCAAAAAAATGGCTCTGTACTGCTGTAATCAAAGATGACCGCCAGTTAAGAATTTTTAAATAAACTGGGTGGAAATTCCTGAAGAATTAAAGAGAAAATGTAGATATTGCTCGACATTATGCAATTTACAATCTCAACAACAGTCATATTTCTGGTAGCAAAACTGAACTAATTAAGATGTACCAATGATAACATCCAACCAAAAGACTTAGTGACTGACAGCAATGGATGCTACTCTTTTACACATTATCCAAATACACTCATATCGCATGATCAGTTGTATTTTCAGGTTTATTTTTTATAGCCGACGAAAGAGATTTATTCAAGTTGTGAAGAACATCTCGTACACCTTACTTACTGGGGAAATTGCAGTGGGATTAACAATAGTTCGATAGTCACCAGTTATTTTTTCCCGAAAAACTAGCAATTCTGCATCGGCAGTCGATTGCCATTTTGTCCTCAAGTTTTCCTTGATCTCTGAGGGAAGCATATCTTCATCGAACTTCTCATTTTCATCTTGAAGAGAAATCTCACCATAGCGTAGGCGGGCCTTAAAAAGGAGGGTAAAGTCATCGGGGCACAGATGACGTTCCTTAGTTTCCGATACTGTGGCTGCTGCACCATCATTATCTTTTTGAGCTCTTTTCCGTCTAAGTGACCACGAGCGTTTTGGAGTTTGCTTTTGCGGGTTGTTCCCCTTCCACCAAAAAATAACGCCCTTGTCGTCAAGAAGTTCCTTGATTCTTGATGTAATTAAGTTTTCCTCATTCGGTGACATGTTACTGTTACGGTCGCTGATAATTACGACAATTTTTCCGCCTGAAATCAAAATTGAACAAATTTTCACAACAGCACATAAAATTATCTTAAACAGACAAACGCTCGATTTTTGTAAACTAAGTGTTGATGGTCAAAATGACTGTTGCATAGCATAATTCTGTCCAGCAAACCATATAATCTAATGTTTAACAGTTATGAAGTGTTTTTAATTATGGGTGTTATGTATCTTAGTCTGTATGCACCACTTCTCCTTCCATGGTATATGAGGTCTCCGCACAGCGAGGGTTAAGTTTCACCAAAGAAAAGCTAATGACAATGTTGTGTATGAATGTATTGGCGATATTTTGACAGGCTGGCCTAATACAGCTCAAAGCTGGTTTAAATAGGGCCTGTATAAACAATAACAAAGCCAGACCAAAACACCGAGAGCTAGGTTCAATTGAAGCCAATACGAATGCATACTTTAAGAAGATGTTCTTACCTACATTTCTTTTCGCCGATTCCAACATGCATTTATATGATTTTGTTTGTGATTTGAATTGAAGTTCATCCTTTAGGATTCTGGCTTCTACCACAATGAAACAGGATTTTAGAGGGCCAGTGAAGATTGATGAATCGCTCCCGAGATCATCAGGAGACCCGCTGAAGATAAAAACCTTGCTAAGAACATCATCAGCAAACAATTCTTTCACCAAACGTATATCAGACTGGTTCCAACCAAGGATCAGTACCTTTTTCATTGGTGATAATGGTTTTGTGTTCATGGAATCAAAGGATTCCCGACAAGCTGCTCCCATCCTTTTTTCTGACTCTATATCTGACATACAAAAAGGAAATATTAGCTTCTCTCTATTGACCAAGCTCAATTTAGATTAGTGAACGGGCCTGAATTATTTCAAATACTAGTTCAGTAGTGTTCATAACTGCGAGGATCGCTTCTATACTCGTTTCTTCAACTGCAGTGCACATATATGGCTCTCATATATTTACAGTCATTACCAATAGTAATAGTTATGATGGTAAAGGAAAAGGATGTTAATCTGTGCAATGTTGATGATTTATATGATAATGATGATGATGTTGATGATTTTTATGATAATGATGATGATGTTGATGATTTTTATGATAATGATGATGATGTTGATGATTTTTATGATAATGATGATGATGTTGATGACTTTTATGATAATGATGATGATGTTGATGATTTTTATGATAATGATGATGATAACGAAGATCATCATGATAACGATGAGGTCGAAAAGAAAAAAAGGGGGGGTGGGTGAGGGATCATTTTTCCTTACAGATCTCTCTATTTCAAATAGGAAACAACTAAAACTGGACCAACGTACTGCTCATATCTGTAGGTTTCTCGTCAAAGTCACGCGTATCAGCGTCAGTAGATGCACAAGACTGAAGTAAAGAGTCCTGCTTGGGCCTGGGCCTAGCGTCGAGTGGAAATCCCTCAGGGGGTTTCTCATTTTCCATTTCCAAGAAGTTCCCTTGTGTATTGTTTGATGCAGTGGTATTCCTGCTCATTTGATCATGAGATTCAGCTTTCTGTAACAGACGAAACGGTACACACGTACTAAAGCAAACGATACTTGAAAATATTTTTATCCAAATATAAACGTATCAGTTTAAAATTTCTTATGGTTGATCGATCTAGGCAACTTACAGTCTCCATTTGAAATTTCATACGCAAACATGATGTTTATGCATCAAAACTTGGCAAGGGTTCCCACGTCAATCCAATTTTTTTCATTCACAAAAGCAGAGACAACTTTGTTTACTACGCTTTTCAGTATTTTTTGCGAGGTGAGTAACAGTTGTAAATAGACCTCTGAGAATACCCACTTTCCAAAAAAATGTTAAAGGGTTTGGGATCAAAAAATACCTTCCCTCTTATCAAAAATTACCCCTTAGCTCTAACAGCGATTATTAAATGAGGTTCTACCTCAGAGACAACTGTTACAGTTCCACTCGTTACCCTCTCTTTCCGATCAGAGGACTTGAAATACGTTACTGATTCATCTTTTTTCTGTAAGACAAATTTGTGATCCTTCTTGCTAGGATCGAGGAAATGTTTCAGAGCCTCTTCGTGAATCACTCTGTGAGCTTTGTTCCAAGAAAAAATGAAGCCCTTGCTTCCATCCATGAATTCTTCGTTGAACTGGGATGAAACCTTTCTTCGCGCCCAGCGTGAAAGGAGAGATGTGTCTTCTGCAGCAGCATCTCTATAATTATCGTCTCCACCAATAACCACAATCACTCGTTCACCTATTGGTTAAGATAAGAATTGAGCTACGACTTAACGTAAAATTTGTATCCTTAGAGAAACAACCTGGGGTTGAATGTGGCGGACTGAAAGTACATAAAAACTGAAACGATCAAATGTGGAAAAGTAAATTTCATTTGCTGATAAAAAGGGTGTGTAGAGATACTCCCTGTGAATGGAATGCTAATTCATCACCGCATTTCGCCACGTTAGTACCCACTTTTACTAACTGAGTGAAGAGAGAGGCGCTATTTTGTATGAGAGTGAAAATTTCCGCCTTAAAACGCAATTCCATACACTGGCCAGGTCTCAAGCCGAGATCTCTCGAATTGGAGCCAGTGCACTAACTTTCAGTTAACCACGTCTCCTACTAATGAATATCTATGCCTAGTGGTGGAAAATTATAATCACAGGTCGAATCCTTCGACGTTAAGATATCTGTGAAGCATTTTTTAAATATTATATAATGTATTGCCTTTAAGATATATTATCAGCGGAAAAGGTTCGAATTCAATGACAACGTTAACAACCTAGAGGGTCTCAATGGGGTTATCCGAAAACCGTAAAACGGCCGAACAATAAACCAATAGTTTTTTAAAAAGTTAACCCTTAAACAAAAAAAAAATAAAAATAAATAAATTTCTGGTGACAGCAATGGAATGAGCTTAAAAAATGGCCGTAAAGTGGCCGAAATTTTAACCATTAGCCGTAAAATTTATAACCCCATTGAGACCCCCAGTTTATAATTATTAATGTTCAAAACAAAATATTAAAATTCTTAAGAGAGGATGGCAGCATCCATCGAACAAATTTGAAATATTGTGGCAAGTCACCCAAAATTCGTTTTCTTCCTACTTTCGTATTTTGTAGCCCAATATGTCCTAATTATTGTGGTTTAGTTTTTTTGTGAAAATATATTTTAGTTTTCGAGAAATGATTTTTTCGTTCGACCGCTCAAATATACACATTTTCACCGTGAATATTACCCGAGTTGTGTGACCTCATGTAACGAATTTACTTGACCTCCGATATTTCTGTCAACATAATGTTTTGTTTTATCATCTAAACTTAATCCCCTGTCATTATTGAAGCTGGCAAATAAAAACTTATTTTTTGGTGAAAATTTTTGTCCGACATACTTTTTCTATGTCGAAAAGTGGCATCAAAACAAAGACAGTTTTAACAATGACCGATATGACAGAATCTACTGAGCTTCTAGCTTTTAAAAGACAAAATTTCCTTGTGTGTTTATGTTGTTCTAACATGAGATGAACTCAAAGTCCGGCAAAATTTACTTGCGAGCGACTATGAAATATACATCTTGTGCCTATTTGTCGCCACCGTTTACTGGCATTAATCACTACAATTCGTAAAAAAATCTAGCATAATACTCTTACCTCATTTATTTACGATTTTATGAGCTGTTTCGATGATCAAGTTATGCTCTACCACAGTTTAGCCAGATTTAACTTGCAGTTTATAAAACTTCTCCCCATCATTATATCAGTTGCATGACAAGCGTGACGCATAAATTCAAAGATGGATCAACCTCCAAGTTACCAAGAGATGGGTTTTTTCCCCCTCTTTGCATATCTATAAAAACCTACCAAGAATTACTGTATTCAGAAAACTACATATCCAGATCCATCAAAGATTCCTTTACCGGCGGAAGTCAAAGAATGTTCTCAAAAGTCAATTCGATTGACAAGCTACATACTGATTTAGTTAATTGATCTGTTGTATAAGCGTTTCATCTTATATACTAACAAGGAGATTTGCTGACAAAACTTTTTTCTCTTCGCCGAAAATCACATAAAAATTTGTCATTGCTAAATTTCAAGTGTGCCGCACGTATCAGCACCCCCCGAGGAACCCCTACACATAAGAGGGCGAGGATGCGTTCATTTGTGTTGGTATCAATTATTGCGTGACATACATGGGGTAGGAGGAAACAACGTAAAACCTGGGCTCCTGGCAAAAAGTTATTATCGTAATCTAATACGCTTGGGTATTACTTTTTGCGTAATCAAATAACCGAAACAGCTTACTGGTCTTATAAAATCATAAATAAACAAGGTAAGAGTGTTAGTTTTTTTGACAAATTGTAGTGATTTATGCCAATAAACGGTGGCGACAAGTAGGCACACCATGTACATTTCGTAGTCGCTAGCAAGTAAAATTTGCCGGACTTTGAGTTCGTCTCACGAAAGGACAACACAAATACACATGGAAATTTTTACAGTAACTTTATAACCGTCCTTTTGTCTCTTAAAAGCTAGAAGCTCAGTAGATTCTGTCATATCGGTCATTGTTAAAACTGTCTTTGTTTCGATGCTACTTTTCGACATAGAAAAAGTATGTCGGACAAAAATATTCACCAAAAAAATAAATATTTCTTTGCCAGCTTCAATAATGACAGGGCATTAAAAAGTTTAGATGATAAAACAAAGGATTATGTTGACAGAAGTACCGGAGGTCAAGTAAATTCGTTACAAGAGGTCACACAACTCGGGTAAAATTCATGATGAAAATTTGCATATTGAGCGGTCGAGTGAAAAAAACCATTTCTCGAAAACTAAAATATATTTTCACCAAAAAACTGCACCACAATAATTAGGACATATTGGGCTACAAAATATGAAAGTAGGAGAGAAAACGAATTTTGGGGGACTTGCCGCCGTTTGTCTGATGCATGTTGATATTGGCTCTTAAGGTTACTAAAAAGATATTCCAAATTGGAAAATGATATCTTTCATTTTTTTAGAAAATGAAAAGCAAAATTTCAAAAGATCGTCCTATTGTATTTGATGCACATAATTCGCGCCATCACGCAATAATGTATTAAACACAAGTTTTTTTTTTCTTATCAGTTCATCATTATATTCAGTTACAAGCAATCGCGGCTCTTTCCCATGTCGTATTTCCCTTAACTCACCCTTTACAGTTTTACCTTGCCTTCCCTTCCTATAAACTTCATGCCTAATTTCGTTTTCATTATTATACATGTTAAAGAAAAAACTTTAAAGCCTTGAAAAAAAATCATCTTCATTACTGACCTGTTGCCTTTAATAGAGCCTTGAAAAACTTTCCGTAACCTATTCCGGCGTTCTGTTCATTAATGGACAGCCGTGATTCGTTCGCATTGACGGCAAAGATGGCAAAATCCATGGCCGGCCCGGACCTTATAGTATCGCACAGGTTGGACATTTCGGGGAGACGAAAGTACTTCTGTTTCGAGTCTATGTCAAGGCCAGTGGATTTCTCATTGACAGCGCTCAGTAAGTTACTAACGACATCTAGATTATACGTTTTGTCACAATTAAAAAGATGAAAACATATAGGATTCTTTGACTCCGATCGCTCCACAGACATACTTGAGGTTGTGTTTCACACCCCCTAATTTTCTCGAAACTATCTGCGCAGGACCGTTTAGTTTCAAAATTTCAGAGGATAATTTGCATATTGTCATCACGTGGAAATCTCATGACACTTAAGTCACGATTTTCTCATTATTGGTTTGAGAACCCCATGGCTAAGATTTTCAACAGCGCTGGCTTAAATTTAAAAAAAAAATTAAATCAATCCCTATTCTTTGAAAACTGTCCAGTGTCTTTCGATGGCCAAGTGCTAGAAGAATGCGAGTATAATTTTGAGCTTTCTCGGAAAACATTTGTGACGTCACATGATTATGTTTTGCATCTTAGCTTACTTCATGTCAAGCGAAGGAAAACCGAACGTGCAGAGGTCTTCAATTAGTCGTTCCCAAAGTCAAAGAAAGCCATAGTTGATGTGGTTACTTTCTTTGAATAAGTTATGGCTGAGCTAGAAGACGAAATTTCCTCGCTTTGCAGCGAAATACACGAGTTCAAGATCGGAACGTTTGAGAAGTTCTATGATGCCATGGAAGGCGAAATGGAAGGTTGCTGTGTGAATATTGTTTTCTTTGGCATGGCTGGGTCTGGGAAATCAGCTTTGATTAACTCCATATTCCAGTCTTTAGGATATAAAGAAATGACTCCAGCTGTAACTCAAAACACTGGGAAGGAAGGAACAAAGGTTTTGGATAGATTCTTTCTTCCCGGAAACCCAATCGCGCTTATCGACACGCGAGGATTTTTCTCGATGGATATCATTGAAGAGGGTAGGTCCTTTTTAACTCATGAATTTCAATGTAGCCGATGCTGAAAAGGATTTGAAGATTCCCCCTGTGTTGAGCGTTCAGGTTTTAAGAAAATTTATTTACTTGTTTGAGAAAAAGGAAAAAAAACTGGGAAAGCGTGACAAACATGTCTGGCGAAAAAGTGACAACAAACCGCACTACGCTGCCTGCCGGATAGGGATGCATTAAGTGGATGGTGTCATCCAACCTTCGAACAAAGCAGGCCTAACTTTTAACTAGGATGTTTTGGTTAACTTCTAAATCCATTTCTTATCTCCTTAAGTATTCTATACCGCTTAGATAGCAATAAGATCTTTCTTCTTGAATAAGGAGACATTGCTGTATCTTTTCAGAACTGCTTTGGTTAATTCTCCCCACATCGATTCCAGTACCTCATAAAACTGCAAAAAAAAAATTGCAAATCTTAAAATCACGGAATATATATCCCTTTAAATATTGATTGGAACATCTAATTATCATATAGTCGAACTGTTTCGCATCCTGTTTGGAATTGATCGGCCGGGAGATGATTTGACACGGGGTGACGAGAGCGCTCTAAAGGCAACAGCCGCTGGCCAGGGAGCCCACAGACTTGAGAAGCCTCCACTAGCCGACCAAATGCACGTCGTGATTTGGGTCATAAAAGCTAATGACATCAGATTTGAAAAGGGTCAGTATAGAGAAATCATCAAGTATGTTCAAGACCAACTACGGGAGGCAAGTAAGTAGGACTTTTCCAGTGAAGCATTTTACAACTTACTCCTTGACGCCCGCTGCAACATTCAAATTTAGGGTGTGACGCTCAAAAGAGTCTGTGAAAAATAACAGAACGATTCAAAAATGCCAAACATTTTTTACCGTATCAAGTATTTTAAATTGCATCACTATGATCAGGCGCTATATAAATGTCCGACCGTCTGACAGTCCCACGACTAGTTGACCCCCAGTTAGTTATTCAAATAACTAACTGGTGGACTGAATTCTTGACTGTCTGACTGCTAGACTGCTTGATACATGACTGACTTTCTGGCCGGTTAATTTTTAGTGATTCACTTTCATCATCATTGATATTGAAGATGTGCTTCATTTGAAATCTCTCTTCATCCTGTTGAAGCAATCACCATCTTAACTGTAATAACATTCGATGATGAAGTCCAGAGAGAGCCAAACGCCGATGAAAAAAGGAAAAGATTGAAAGAGGCAGCCGTTGAAGTCACTGGTAGTGACATGAGAAATGTGTTTATGATTGCCAACTCGTTACGAGAACAAGATCTTGATCCAGTTTACAAGAAACGTGTCTTGAAGCTGGTGGAAAAAGCATTAAAGTGCGGAGAGCGTTCCATTAAGATGCGGCAAACTAAAAGGGAGAGTCCAAAAAAGGAAATCCGGCATTCAGAGTCTGCAGCCAGTGAACTCAAGTATCCAACCCCAGTGGAGCACGAATATGAACCTTTAACTGATCGTAAATGCAAAAGCTTACCGTAAGTTACCCATTATTATCAGTAGAGCCTTATCAACTTAGTAGTTAAGGGCAACCAGACGGGAATTGGATGAGAGAGAACTCAAATCACTAACTAAGCTGAGAGCCTATCACATTGTTCGCTTCTTCTTCTTCAGTATCTATTATTTGAGCCTGAAACTTTCCTGAAGAATTCGTGCTTCTTCAAAAAAATTAACTCGAATTAGGTAAAACGCTTTCTTTCGAAGAATATAATAAAGGGGACATGCTACTGAATAATATCATCGGATGACCAAATGATCTCCGCAGTTTTAGAGAAACTTACAATGACCATGCCTTACAATTGAGCGTTGAGTAAACGAAATCGTCTGTTATACCCGAGCTCACATTTGGCCTCATTATAAATGTATACTTCGTTATTTTGATGAAAATTGACTCAGCTTTCGCATCTGTTCTCAACTAACCTGTTTGATTGTGGCTTGAAAAAACTGCCTCGCAAATACATTCCACGCGCTTTTATCCATTTCCTTATCATTTCCGACGGACAAAGACTAGGGAAAGTATAAACAACGACGCCACGTCCCACTCATTAACTCATTTTGTTGTTTCCTAATAGGCCAGACTTTAAATCACCTGAATTGAACCAGTCTACAACGTTCACCCGAAACCTTCGAGATGGTGCGAAATAACAATGAACACTGCCAAGCATGTTCCAAATCCTAGATGTTTTTTTTGTTCATTTTAACTTATCACTAGCCTTAGTGACATCGAAAATTTTCCAAAAACGTTTTGCACACATTCTTTATTTGTTTGTTATATATTATGTGACGGTATAATCATGAAAGGAGCGGACTTATGAAGATGTATTTGTTCGTCGAGGTTATGGTGAATTGATGTCCAAACGTATGTCTCAGGAGTTAATATCAATTTTACAGTCAGGCTATTAATTGGAGATCGCTACAACACGGCTCGCGATAATAATTGACAGCTTGAATCAACCATTCATATAGATCAGAGGCCCAAAATTCTGAGACAAACGTTCGGATCTTAACTTATCATTCATTCATTATCATAACTTTATCATTATCATATCATTAACTTATCAAGACTCCTTCTAAATGAAATAAAAATACGAAAGTAGCAGGAATTTTGATATCCGAGCATGCTCGAAGTAGCCTCCAAAATCTACGATATTCTTGTGGACACATCACTTATTTTATAAACTTTTTTAGACAGATATGGGACGAAACTGAAGCCTTAAGGTATTAAACAACGAAGAGCACTTTTATTCAATGATTTGGATAAAAATTAAAGAGAGTTCCTCTCACGTCACACTCTTACCCCAGTTATATTAATAAATGCTTTTGAAAGTGCTGCATTCGTCCTAAAATTTGAATACTACATGCATATTATACGTCAGTAAAAAATTCTACTGCTAGTCTGAAGGACAAAAATTGAAGTGTCTGTTCTTAAATAGAGTCAGTCAGGAGGCGGAGGGGATGGTGCTATGCGAAATGGAAGACAAATAGACCCCGTTGCGGCAATGTCGTTAAAAAACCGTTCAATCATTGTGGGTATGTTCCGATTATCGTTCACAATAACCCGCAGTTTTGTTTTTTCATTTTCCCTGTGTTCATATATCAGTAATTCTACGTTGGGAGCAGACTGCCATGCTTTGAATAAGCTGTCCTCTATCTCTTTAGGAGGAGTCCATTCTCCGGATCTCTTTTCTACCTCGTCATATGAAATCTTACCATTGCGAAGTCGGGTCTTCAAAACCAGTGTTGACTCTTCGACACACTTTGGTAACGTGCGGTGATCTGCCTCAGGATCAAGAAGAGATTGTGATCGACTGAATGGAGCACTACGCCTGGAAGATTGCTCTTGAGGGGAAAAGGGTTCTCTCCACCAAATAATACATGCCTTTTCTCCAAGAGTTTCAGTAATTTTGTCTTCGTGAATCAGACGATTATCAGAGCAGATGATAGCAACGACTTTTTTGTCTGAATGCAAAAAAATTATTTCAGTTAAGAATGATAGAAACCTTAAGCAACAGCTGCAAAGCAGAGAAAAAGGCGGCGTTAGTCACCAGCATGGGGACAATTTTCATCTTTAGTTTACCTCACCAATTTTTTTAAGGAAAACCCTAACGAAAATCAAAATAACAATCTATGCATGCAAAGGATACGGAGTTTTACTAAATTGCATGAAAACTTTACAACCAATTGTAAGCGTAAAGTCTTGTTGCATTTAAAAAATGATAGCAAATGAGGCAGTACCAAACTGAGATCTTTTCTGTATTGTCCTCTTAAATTCATATGGATTAGCGTCTATGATAAGCGGGATTACTCACAAAGACTAAGACGCACAGAAGACCATGACAACTATACAAGCACGTGGCTATGCACGCCACAAAAAAAATAAGCTATCAACATAACTGCAGAGCGCTGCTTTATTGTTCCCCTTAACAATAATTCAAAGATATACTCTTACCAACTTTATCTCTGACGTATAGAAGCAGGTCTTTGTAATGCGATGCGAACTCTTCCAAGATGGCTGCTCCATCCAAAAAGATGAAACAAGATCTTATGGAATTTATTGAATGTGACTTTAGGACATCTTTTAATCCCGCAGGGTTGCCGGAGATATATAGAACCTTTTCAGAGAATTCATAACCGAAAAGGTTCTGAATTAGAGCTAAATCAGACTGATTCCGGCCAAGTACTACCAACTGGTTCGCCTCAGATTTCGATTGTGGCGTGTTCGTATCCATTTCGTCCTGAGAGTGGCCGTAGACAGTTTCAGATTTTATAAACGAACACCGTTCTATCAAATTAATTGAAAACAAGGGGTCAGAAAGAGCTTGCAAGACTTTTCTTCAAGTTTGCGTTATAAGGTTAGGCAAAGTATCCAACGTCGAATTGTACACCCGACTCGGTACTTTTCGAAAGCTATGATACTGGAACTATTAGCCCATGCGTGTGTGCAGAGACTGGCAGTGGTCTTCATACACCATTAAAACCAAAATAATGCGCTAAAATAATACTGTAATATAAGGCTAACATTTTTCTGTCTTAAAAATTATATTCTCAGAGCGTGAAATTAACTTTTTTTTCTGATAGCCACTTGGCACCTAAATTCTTCAAAGTGGTAGCCAATTCAAAAAAAGTTGGTCGCCATTTTCAGAGACAAACAAAATCTTTCTTTTACGCTGTCAGCGTTCTAGATAGACCCTCCAAAATTAAGTTAGGGAAAAGATCTTTAATGTGCTATAAAGTGGACACTAGGATGGATGATATACAACGTTCAGGCTCATCTAAATTCAAGATGGCGACTAGTTATCGATCGAGATGCATATGCTACGTTTTGGAAACAAACCAAACGAGGAAGTTTGCCGCGGATTTATCTTTGCAAATCTTTTTAATTCACTATATCTCTTGGTAAGGTTATGATGAAACGTTCTAGTCGCCAATTTGGCGACTAACTTTCAGGATTTGGTCGCCAAAGTGAAAAATTTAGGCGCATTGGCGCCTGTATTAGGCGCAATTTCACGCCCTGATTCTTGACGAAGCTGATAAGCTCCGAATTTATGATTCTTTTCAAAACGAGGAACAAATTCTCTCTGAATATGTCTAAAGGTTCGTCAAGAAGTAAAAAGCTACAATAAATTAATCATTGTGTTCTGCAAAAATAACCAAGTCAATGTGGATTGACGAGTCCTCTCTTTGAATGCAAAAGTACTTATAAAAAAGAGATACCAATACAGACTGAAATAACATACCCATCTCCTCCTTGGATTTTACCCCAGAATCATCACAATCAGCCATTTCTTTTTGAAGATTGGGTGTAGGGACGTCCTTTTGCCCCTGATAGATTTCAGCTGCATGCTTTCCATGCGCTCCTCCCTCTTCCATCTGAATTTTTGCTTTGTGTAATTCAGTTTTCTAGGAAATGAGAACAGAGAAAATTTTTTCCTAAGAGTAGATATTACTCATGTAGGGGAAAAAGCTGTTGTCCATATCCCAAGGTATCTAATTTAACAATAGTTTGACTAAAAGTGTTGTCTTCTGCCCTTTGACAACCAAAAGAATTTACCCTTTGAAGGGTGATAGTTTAATATCTGATTACCTACAGTGGAGACTTGAAGTGTGAACACTACAAGTCAATCCAGAAATGGTAAGCAAGCAACTTCATCTTAAATATAATTGATTTCTAGCAAAAGCATAATAAGAGTCAGCAAACACAAAACCTGATGGGGAGTTGCATTGATATGATACTCAACTCTTCATATGGATATGAAGAGCAGCCAATGGCATAATTGTTAGAAAGTTGTTTAGAATCTATTAAGGTTTGCTGTAATTAATGAATGATTATTGCAGCATTTTTTTTAATTAGGAAGACACACCTGCTTTTGATCACCTAAAGTTTCACTCTGCATGGGCTCTGCCTGAGGTTTATTTTTGTAAAAAAATTTTTGACCCTTCTTCCTGGAATCAAGAAAATGTAACAGTGCCTCCTCATGAATTGCCCTGTGATTCTTGTCCCAAGAAAAAAGGAACCCCTTGGTTCCATCCATGAATTCTTCTTTGAACTGAGAGGAAACCTTCCTTCGGGCCCAGTGTGACAGGAGAGATCCATCTTCCTCAGAGGCATTTCTGTAGTTGTCATCTCCACCAATAACAACAATCACTCTTTCATCTGGGGTCATAACAAATGTGAAAAAAACAATACAATACAATTGGCCAAGTAGTGAGGATTTCCATTATCCTTCATGGGTCTCAGCAAGGAACAAACCATAATTTTGAGTGGCTTAAACCTGTTTCTAAATGGCAGGCCTAACTGCTGTCCTTTTCTATATCCATGTCAAAAGAACAGAGTCTTCATGCAAAAGCCAATCCAAAAAAGGTAACCTGCATGCACGTAAAAGAAAAAACAATCATGCCCTCCATTATGAAAGAGGCCTATACCAAGAAATCAAACAAAATGGATGAGTTAGAAATGCAAAACAAAACAAACAGATAGTTTGAGTGACATGTAGTTCCAAATGTTCCAATAAGACAGTAAATCAAGGCTTTACTTTGTTTGAATGTTTTTCCTCATTTCATATAAAATGTCACACCTTTGGATAAAGGCAAGAATGGTGAGATGCCCGGAAAGAATAACTAAGTGGCTTGTGACATACTGATAAATTCTTCTTTCAAATTGTCTTGTATTCTTTTGAAAAAGTGAAGGAGAAAAGTCAGTTTGTGCTTTATTCCAACTGTCTCTCCACTTGCCAAAAGACACACAAAACAAAAAAGAAATAAGTAGTAACACAATAAAAACAGTAACAGGCCAGCTACTTCTCCGAATTCGGCTGAAAGAAGTTGGACATCTTGGCATTCATTTCGTTACATCAGATTGAGCTCGTGCTTTCACGCACAGTTTGTCCACGAATTGCTTTCATTCTTATTTAACAATAGTAACGGATCTCACCCTTGCTTATTTGTCCCAAACACTTTACTGATACCGCAACGTTTTTTTTTTTCGTTTCGTCTGTGTAAGGTGAAACTTGAAAATCGCCTGAAGATTTGAATTTACCCTAATGAAGAAGGAACAAAATTTAAATACTCACCCGTTGCCCTTAATAAAGCTCTGTAGATCTTTGCGTAACCAATGCCAGCGTTATCCTCGTTAATCGACAGCCTAGATTCGTGTGCATGAACAGCAAAAATAGCATAATCCATCGTTTGTCCATCACTAGTCTGGTCATCAATAGTCTTAGTTAACTCGGGCATATGGTGGAGGCGAAAATATTTCTTCTTCGATTGTATATCGATCCCCGTCGTTTTCGTTTGAATGACGTCCAACAATTTCTCAACAACATCTAAATCGTACGTCTTATCGCAATTGAAGAGATAAAAGCACTTAGAACTGTTCATCTTTCTTTGTGATTGGATCTTTTCACTACTACTTTTGAGGCAGTATTTTCCTGCTCAGTCTGTTCCTTGAATTACGCAGGTTTGGTGACGCTGAGAATTTTCAATAATAATTTGCATAATAGTGAGCGAATATACTACACAGTCACGCAAGTCACCAATATTTTTAATCCATGTCACATCGATTCCACTGCAGGGTAACTAATTTCAACAATTATGACTGCAAACAAAAAAAATTTTAAAAAAAATACACCAATTTCAGTTTCATGAAGTCTCTTCGTTGCATTTCAAGGGACAGCTGTCCACAAGACTGAATGTAAATTGGGTTTTCTCGGAAATCAGTAGGTGAGGTCACATGATACGTCGGTCAAAGCCGTGTAATGATTGTGTAAAGATGTAAGGTGACGTAGCAACGATATCGCCTTCCAAAACAGAATTGTAACGATAGCTGGTTCGGTTAAGATCTGCGTATTTCGTGGAAATAAGTCATGGAGTTGCTAGAAGATGAGATTTCATAGCTACGTAGAGAAGTACTTGATTACAACATCGGAAAGTACGAGACGTTCCACGATGCTCTGGAGGGCGAAATGGAAGGATGCTTTATAAACATCGTGTTCTTTGGGATATTTGGCTCCGGAAAATCCGCTTTGATTAATTCTATTCACAAGGCTTTAGATCTCAATGAAGAGCCCGCCATAATTCAAACTGCCGGTAAGGATGGAACGAAGACTTTGGAGACTTTTGTTCTTCCGGGAATTCCAGTAAAGCTTTATGACAAGCGTGGATTTTTCGCCATGGACATTACAGAAGAGGGTAGGTTATGTTAAACTTTAAACTACTTGTCGAAATATTTTGAATAGTAAAGTGCACAACCTTGCGGGCTAATGAAAAACTCTCTCCTCTCGAAATCGGCAAATCGTTAGCAAACGAAAAATAGTCATACCGGAAGTGGACGGGCTGACGAGATTTGCTTAAATTACTTAGTCGCCGTTGCGTGATCGGCTCTCAAACGTGTGCTCGCAATTTTAATGAAATCTCATGCTTTATATTAGAAACTACCTTTTGGGGAAGCCCAACCTTATTTTGCAATCTGTTAATTACAAAGGCACTACCCCTTATTCGGCAGCCTGTATAAGTAGCAGGCGCAAATTGGTAAGTGAAGGAGAGATACTTTGAGCCTTGTGATTTTATAAAGAGAACGAAGTCGATTATGGTAACGGAACTTCAGCATATCTTTATATCTAAAAATCCTAGCCGGTCTCTTTGCTGATTTAGTTTCATTCAATCTACTTGTCACTTTCATCAAGGGTTGAAAAATATCACATAACCAATGACAAGGTTGTCATTTTTGATGGACAGGCGAGCTTAGCATGGTAATGTTACACACAAGGTGTAGAATATCGTTCTTCAACAAATATCTTAAAGCTGACGGTACCAGCCATAAACGGGGAGAGGAAGGGAAGCTAAAAAGAGGGGGCTGGGGATTTAAATACAGTCGACGAAAAAGCGAAACTCAACATTAAATTGAAGGAGAATAAATGAATGAATGGAGGACTTTATTTAAGTGTCAATAGTATTTAGCTTAAAGAAAACTAATTAGGGACACTGTTTTACACATTAAAATGTACCTAAGCTACAATTATAATACAACATTTCACGTCAAGCTGTACACTTGAAAAAACACGATTTTTGTGTCTGCGGATTGATACTAATAATTTATTGTCTGTATAAACCCATTAAATAATAAAATTAAAGCATTTTTCCTTGGTTATGTAGGAAAGGCCCCTTTATAAAATTCAGATCCCTTTAGAATCCAGTTAAGCCGAATACACTTCTGCCGCCCTGTAAATATCGATTCTATTAAGATCCAGCTACGGTTTAAATTCAACTGACCGTACTTGTTGTGGAAAAATTATTTAAATGGCTGCAGTGTCTTACTCAAGTTGTCCAAGAGAAAAGTTTGTCTTTGCAGCTAAGGTCTTTTAAACTCATTTCCTTAAGTTTTTCTGCCACCTGGTAGTGTCTCCCCTGTCCAAGTGAGATGCTTTGCTGTAAATTACACCCACTCTAAATACAGTTTTCCTCTGTTGTAATGCTTGGGACATTAAATGCTACTGATGATTGGTGCACGAAGAAGGTGGCTTTGAAGTCTCCTCCTTGTGATTTCCTTAGTAGATGATGCAGTTCGTAGAGACATCCAGGAAGAATTGGACCAGAAATCTAAAAGCTAAATTATTTACACTTCAACTCATTATGTATTGAATAGATAGATAAATGAATAAATGAATGACGTATAGGGACTAAAATAAGCTCAGAAGATATTAAATATATATAAAATGTAAAATTCAAAGCATCCTAGAAGCATACATCACAGTTTTTACAATTATTCATCAAGAGTGATAGGTCTTTGCCATTAATATTTTTTTTAAAACTCATTAAATTAGGATTCTCTTTATGACTTTCTTCCAATTTATTTCAAAGATGGGACCCAAAGTATCGTAGAGAATGTTTTCCATAGTGTACTATTCGAAAACGTGGAATATTGAAATCAGCGTTCCGCAGATTATATCGTTTCGGGGTAGTATTAAATATTTCTGTTATATAAGAGGGCATAAGTCCGTTTTTTACTTTGTACATGAAAATGGCGATGTTTTGTAACCTTAGTTGGTACAGACTTAGTAGACCTGCTCTTGTAAGCAGCTTGCTGTAGGTCTCCGATTTGGATCTAAAGACTGCCCTGAGTGCCCGCTCTTGAATTCTTTCCATTTTCTTCTTATCAGATGATTTGTAAAAGTGCTATACAATATCACAATATGTAAGGTGGGGACAAGTATTAGACTTGTACAGCTGTAACTTTGCAGTACATGGGATTAAATTACGTCTCAGTAAGACCCCAACCCCAACCTGATGGTCATCAGCATACAAAATAGATTAGTAGACTGCCTATGTAGTGGGAGATCATTTTGGAACACGTTCCAGAGTAAAGGCCCGAGGGAGGAGCCTTATGACACCCCCTTTTTTATTCTTTCCATCCGCTGAGCGCTTCCTGTAGTTTGACTCTGTTTCTTCAATGCTCAAGAAAGGATCGCATAAGATTCTGTGATGCTTCGGAAAAGCCGTATGCTTTGAGTTTCTGAATCATTAGTGCGGGGTGAAGCGAATCAAAAGCTTAGCTCATATCAGTGGATAGAACAGTCACGAACTCTTTATTGTCGGCAGCCATTTTCCAGTCAAAGGAGATAGGAGAAGGGAAGAGGAGAAGAAGTTAATAATATAGTATTATTGAAGTACGTATTCAAATCCAAAAATGAACCACGCTTACAAAATAATAAGTTTGTTCCATATTATACACAGGGGAGCTGTTTCGTATTCTGTATGGCATTCACCGACCTGGAGAAGACTTGTGTCGAGATCACGTGAGCGCACAACTAGCGGTAGCCGCTGGCCCTGCTGCCTATAGATTAGAAAAACGCCCCCTGGTCGAACAGATGCATGTTGTCTTTTGGGTCATACAAGGTGTCGACATCAGATTCGAGAGGGGAAAGTACAAAGAAATCATAAAATTTGTACAAGAACAGTTGCAAAGTGCAAGTGAGTTGATGATAATTGTAATTATGATATAATTTTGAGTATCATTATGAAAGGTAAGGTGCAAGCAGATATGTTTGTCATCCAATGCTATTATTTGGTTTTCCTTTGGAGGATATTCCTCGAAAGTAACCTCCCATTCCTTCCTTCGTCAAATCATAATGGTGGGTGATTGTTATGTCAAGAGCTTTTGGCAATGCCCACTTCATTTAATGAATGTGCGTTATACAATAAGTACTCTTGGACTTGTTTTTTTTACCATCTTCAGGTGTGGATCTTATTCCTCATTAGCATATCCAAGCTAGCCGTTGTTAATCAAATCGGAGATTTGTAGGAGCATCATATATAGAATTACATGTACGCTAATTCAGGAGATTAAAATCAGTAAATATGCAAATTGAACGACTGATCGAGGCGTGGTGATGTCATTCACTCAAACCAGTTTTATTTCGGGTCTTTTTACCTACCTTACCTCGACAACGAGTTTGAAAACAACAAAATTTTCCCTCAAAAGTGAGGAAAAGAAAACTAATTTGCATGCGCATAAAAAAGGGATAATCGTGTCCGTCTTTATGACAGAGGTCTGTTCAGACTGTCAAAAGAAAGGTATGACCCCAATTCAGTCGACTTAGAGCTCAGCAATGTTTGCAGTATGACTCATTCGTCATCGTCACTTTGCAGCAATAACGGTATTTACTGTCATAACATTTGATGACAAGATCCAAAAGAGGCCCAACGCTGATGACGAGAGAGAGAAGTTGACCAGTGAAGCTATTGAAGTCACCGGTGGTGACAAGAGAAAGGTATTTTTCATTGCCAACCCAGCACGAGGACAAGACCTTGATCCCTTTTACAAGAAAAGTGTCTTGGAAATGTTGGAACAGGCATTAAAATGCGGTGAGCGGTCAATCAGGATGCGCCAAACTAAAAGGGAGAGCCCTAAGAAGCAGGCACGGAATTCAAAGTCGGAAGTTGATGGCCTCAGGTTTCCAGTCCCAGTGGAGAATGACGACGAACCTCCACTCACGGCCTTGACGTACAAGCATAGCTACGATATTTAAGAGTTCGCCGATGCAGTGAAAAATGTGTATACATTGTATATTTTGTTGCGTTCATAGCCATAGAATTCGTTTTGTCTTTCTCAATATGTCATTGCATAAATTATTTTTGATTCTCCAAACAGAACATGCGTATCCCATTTTATAAAGCTGTAATCGTGACTGATAGGTCGAGTAAAGATAACCAGTAAACATCGCAGTAAACATTGGTTATTTAACTGACGAATAAAAAAGCTTACTCTGTTTTCTTATAAAGCACTCAGTAAGGGGCTAGAGCACTCAAGAGTAAGCGACTACGTTTCGTGTCCCCTCCCCCGCCCTCTACGCTTCCATGTTCAAGTAGGGGCGAGATTCATGTGGAATATTCGCGAAAGTTACACAGTAAGGACTAACAACTAATTTTAAAAAGCTGAAAGGCTATTTTGTAACTAGACTTCCACTTTACGATGCTTTAATTTCTTTTTTTTATTATCACACCTGAGAATATTTCACTACCATCAATGCGGCAGCTTCTAAAGAATAGGTAAGTTCGACAACTCAGAACATTATATCGCAGTCCATATGTTGGACTGCGCGCTCATTTTCAAAATGTTTTCATTTCTACGGAGCTGATTATTAACTTTTTCGAACACCAAGCTAGTGTAGTTCGACTACATTCATTGTATGATAATCAAGTATACATGGGAATACTTCACCTAAAAATTTAGCTCAAATCCATAGTAAAACCTGAGGCGATTACAAACATCCACACCGCGGATTTGCATGCCACTAGTTTCTGTAACTATTCCGTGCTACCCTCATGTAAAGTGTATTATTATTATTATCATTACTATTATGCATATGCATATGCATGTGCATATGCACGCGCACATGCGCATGTGTGCACTTGCGCGCATTTGTGCCCTCCACATATGATACTTAAAGTTTTGCCAATGATTCATTTTTACTGCACAGTTGTCTTGGCCGTCACCATCGGCGGTGAACAGTACTTTAGCATCCGGGACCAGCTTCCATTTTTCTTCAAGGTCCTGCATGACTATTTGAGATGGCTGCCACCCTTGTTGCCATTCCACAACGTCTTTATTCTCAGAAGAGATTTTTCCGTATCTCAGGTGCGTTTCAAGCAACACTGTTCCTTTTGGGTGGTTTACTAGAGTAGGTGTTGTGTCAGCGCCTAAGGAGAGTGCCAGATATTAACATACCAGCTAATTATAAAAATGATTGCAGTCACTGCCGCCTGTTAATGGTGGTTCAATCGTAATCAAATAATCGTTGGTTTTCAACGAACGTTAAATAGTATCTCGAGAAAGAGAAAAGTAAAAGGGATTACTCGAATTCAACAAAACAAAGAAATCATTGAGTTTTATTTTGTTGAATTGTGAAGCACATTGACCCGACTTGCCCTTTTTCTCGCAGAAAGATAGTGATAATTATATTTGTTAGGCAATATATTTGTTTATAATAAAAAAAACAAGAATCATTAACGGCAGATCTTGCATATTGCTACAATTTAGCCTATTCAAAAATAATCAGTTTAACTTAAGTTTGTAAACAATAAAATGATTAGTTACCTCCATATTCTTCTGACCTCTCGTCCTGGGTTGATTTTTCATGTTCAAGATTCAGTACATCATTATCCATAAGCTGATCAGAGGCACCTTCTTCTATAACCTGTTTAGGGAAATTAAGTAGACTCGTAAGAAATACTCTCCTTATTTCTTGCAAGTGATGATAACTTGTGAACAAAGGGAAGGGGAAGGAGAGGAACATACTTCAATCAGCCATCCGAAAAGCGATAAAAAGGAAGGTATTTGGCACCACCCTACCTTATCACCCTCTCCTGGGGTGGTTACTGACGAGGTGACCTGGAACTCAGGGAGAGGCTTTGGTTTTGGTTGATATTGAAACTTCTGTCCTTCCTTGTTTGGATCAAAGAAGTGCAGAAGTGCCTCCTCGTGGATCGTTCGGTGCTTTGAGTTCCAAGACAAAATAAAACTTTTCCTTCCATCAAGGTACTCGTCATCAAACTGCGAGGCCACTTTTCTCCGTGCCCAGCGTGAGATCACAAACTGTTCCTGTTCAGTTTCATCTTTGTAATCCTTGTCTCCAGCGATGACTATCAACACTTTGTCACCTGTATAATCAAACAACCATTATGACTTAATAATAATAATAGTAGTAATAATATTAATAGCAATGGTGTCATAAAAAATACTATGATGATGAATGATATTGACGACGACCATAATGATGACAATGACAATAGTAACGGCATGGGTAAAGGCAGTCGAAAGTGACAGGCACGGGGACAGGTACAGGTACAATAACAGTGACAGTGACAGAGACCGTGCTGGAGACAATAAAAGTGGTAGACACTGTAACAGAGAGAATAACAGTGACAGAAATTGTGACAGTGAAAATGAAATTGAGAGAGATTGTGACAGAGACAATGGCAGTGAAAATGACAGGGAAGGTGACTGAGACAGTAACATTAATGACGACAGCGTTGGCGACAATAACAACAACAGTGACAGTCTGTGACCGAGACGACATCAGTGACGATGCGAGTGACAGTGGCTGAGACAGTGACAGGGTGAGTGCAAAGAAAAAAACAGTAACAGCGACAGTGAAAATTTTTAAGACAGAGTCAGTGGCAGTGACAAAAACAGTGGCACTAACAGCGAAAGTAACAGTAAATTATAGTGACATTAACGGTGACAATGAAAGTGACAGTGACAGTAAAAGTAAGAGAGACGGTGACAGTGATCATAATGATAAAAAGGAAAACAATATATCAATGTGAGTGTCATGACTTTTGTAGCTTTGGGCTTGAAAATACCTCTGTTAAAATTGCCAAGGGCACCCTCCATTTGATTTTACACTTAAAATTAAAAAATAATGCTTTCATCGGTTGTGTAATTCCTAATTTTGTCGATACTCTAAATACTTTATTTCCTCAGTTCACCAGAATAACCCTTAAATACAAGATTCAAACTCATACTTTGTAGCAAACTAAGCATGGCCCGACTTGTTAGTCTAAGCGGCGGGACTCTGTTGGAGCCATTATCGAAAGTGAAAGTAACTGAATAATGATAAAACAATACGGTAAACCCGACTGGTAAAAGCTGTCATCGATGTTTCATAACAAAGTGGTACTTCAGACCCTTTTATGCTTGTTGTGTAACACCGGAACGGGTTTATTTACGAAAGTACGACTTTTCAAACGCTTCCGCCCTTGAAATACTCACCCGTGGCTCTTGACAATGCTTTATACAACTTGGCGTAACCAATTCCAGCGTTTTCTTCGTTGATCGAAAGCCGAGATTCATTTGCATGGACAGCGAAAACGGCAAAATCAATTTTTAAGTGAGGAATCTTACTGTCGCAAATTTCAGACATGCTTTTCAATCCAAAATATAGCTTTTCAACATCGATCTTCAGGTTGTGCTTCTCTTCCATTTCAAAGAGAAGTGCTTCGACTTCTTTTAGCTCGCATGTCTTGTCACAGTTGAACAGGTAACCTTTCATTGATTCTCTTTCCATTTTTCCACTAGCTTTTAGAACTCGCAAGCGCTATAGGAAGGATTACTGTGTTTTGGAAATTAATGTTAACCGCCGTTCCGTGAACTGTGGAATCGATTGTTACAGATCGATTTCTTAGAAACGAGATCAACCTTCGCCAATCATAGACAATAGCTGTGTTGTTGACTTCGTCACGTGGCTAAAAAAAATAATTTGCCCTTAAAATTAAATTTTATAAAAGTAAAATACAATTGAAATAACATGTACTAAAATGAGAAAGAGCTTAAGATATCTAGCGAAGCTATTGTAAAGTACAAAATCATCTCAGTCGCACTGTTATTACAATATCACGAAAAAAAGTTTGTATTGATTCATCGTGGTGATCACTCTGAAACAAATACGAAGTATAATCGTTTGTCTGTCAATAAAGTAATTAACATAAATCACTTCGGAAGTGAAACCAACGATTTTACATAATTTCTTGTCTTATTACAGTTGGATGTCATTATAATTTGTATAGGAGGAAATAGCTCTGAACATTCTTAGATGTGGCTTGAAGATTTCAGCACGAACCCAAAGTTTTCGAGGAAAACCAAATAAAAATAATCGACGATTTCTTCTCAGAAGCATGTCCTCGCAGAAATGGAACACAAGAAGTAACATAAGATACCGCCAACAGATTTGCTCTGAGACAATCCAAGATATCAGTATTGCTATATTCCATTCAGGGACAGAAGTCCCCGTTAGTGTCGAATCATTTCTCAACCTTACTTGGTTTTTCAACTGAGGGGTACCCAATGGCGAGATATTCGATAAAAAAAAAACCGGAAGTGGCGAATAAATAAAGAAATTATTGCGTGACAATTCCGAGAAAGGCAAATGAACTTTGTACTAGTAAAAAGAAAGCTATCCGTCTGTAAACGAAGTTTTGAGGCCAACGAACGAAGACGCATGCATTGAAAGCTCCCTGATAATAAGAATTGTTGAAAAATGGCCAGCCTAGGAAGGTCGATAAAGTTCCACCTTTTTAACTGTGATAACACGTATAGGTTGGACTCAGCAGAAACCTTGTTGCTCAAAATGGCAGACGATCTTAACCTTCGAATATCGATGGACAGGCGAAATTTTCGCCTTCATGAAATGCCGGATGTATCTGAAAACATCATTCCTCAGCTGCAGATGGATTATGCTGTCCTTGTTGTCCATGCTCATGAATCTCGTCTCTCTATCAACGAAGACAACGCTGGTATTGGCTACGCGAAGATCTACAGAGCTCTGCTGCAAGCGACTGGTAGGTCGAATGTAAACATTGAAATGATTGTTTAAAATTTGTGCACTGGTAACCTATCGCTACTTTCGTGAGATGAGTTATTTGCGCAACGTAAGAGGTTTTCTTACAAAAGTGGTAAATCGTTGTACTTCGAGAAGAAATTTAGATATCAATGGCATAACCGAGGTGCTTGATTAATGCAATTTGGCTTCGAAGGAAAGGAGAAAAGAACATAACTGGATCCGTTTGTAAATGCCGTTAATAGTGCTTATAATACAAAATGACCCAAGCATAAAATCTAACAACGTCTCGTCAATGTGGTCGACTTTTGAATCTTTCTTGGAATATATCTGCACTCAAACGTAAAGGGACCCATTAAGCCGAATTAGCCATCTCAGAGTGCTCTGAGTAACAACAATTTTAATTTTATTCAGCAGGGCAAAAATATTTTTAGAGAACTTTATTTAGCTTAGGTCGAGATACCTTACTTTCAGATCAGAGTCCATCATGATGGCGTAAGAACTTTTGTTTTCTAAAACACCACGTGCCATTCGTACCTTGCAAGCCTCTCACCTTTCCTGTATTATGATTCGCGAGAGGAACTGTTACGTTACTCATGTTAGTTGTAAAAAAGATTTTAATTATAATACTCTTCTCTGACCAAAATCAGTTCAACTGAAGCCAATAATGATAAACTTTCGGTTGTCATTCGTATTTTGTCCAGATTCCGCTCTTTATTGTTAGGAGGATGATATCATTTACGACTTATTTACATATCCCGGACTTTGTACTTTTTGTAGAAAAGATACCTTTTTATGAAATCGGAAGTAAAGTACAGCGATTGCTTTCGTTCGTGAATCTTATCCCTGCCGAAATAAAACATCACTTACACAAAATACGCCAGTTTTCTGAGCTTTGATTCATTGAGATGTTTGGTACGAAGAAAGATTGAAGCTGAGATGTAAGACATTTTCCAACATGTATGAGTGACGTAATGGTATTATGATATCCCTTTTGCGGGGTTTTGGTCTGTTGAACATGGTTGACATACAGTTGACAGAAGCACTCTGGAAAAAGCATGGAAAATTCTCCCCGTCAAGCTCTCTTTTAAAGAATCGTTTACTTCTCCTATATAATACTTTACTAGTAGTGGAGGTAACCGTGGACTCCAGGTAGCTTTCAAACCCTCTTTCAATTGGTCAAAACTAATAATTACAAATCAAAACGAACATTTCTGAGCGCCTGCATTCCCCTCACAACGAAGGCCCCTCCTCTGCACGTTGTGGGGTAGAAAGGGGCAAGTAAGAAATATGAGAGACACTGATGACTTTAAAATGAGCAACTTTTAACCAAGAGGTAAAGCCACCCTCAGTTGAACTATCACCTGTGTAAAGGTGTAATATAATACATTTTGTCCTGTACTTTAAGGAAACAAAGTCTTGATCGTCATCGGTGGCGATGATAATTACAGAGATCAAGACGAGAAAGAACAGGTTGTTATCTCACGCTGGGCACGAAGGCAAGTGGCGTCACAGTTTGATGCGGAGTATCTAGATGGAAGAAAAAGCTTCATTTTTTCTTGGAATAAAGCGCACAGAGAAATCCACGAGGAGGCACTAAAGCACTACCTCGATCCTAGTAAGAAAGAACAGAAGTTCCAGTATGTGCCAAAACCTAAACCAAAAACAACACAAGACGAGGTATGGCTTATGTTTATTTTCCACTCATTTGAAATCTACTTTTTCTGTCAAAGGGTAATTGGAAGTCATGGTAAAATACGGGAACAAGTATTCTGAGCTTGTTTCTGGAGATTTGGCTGTAAACGTTTCTTTATTGTTGTGAACTACTTTTCTACAGCCAAATTAGGCAACTGGGGGTGAAAGATTCCTCAGCTCATTAGGTCTTCCTTTCGAGAGGTGCATACACTAATACTGCGGCAATTAGTGACCCACATCCTAGAACTACCAGAAATGCGTCCTTCCCTTTTTGATAAAATTTAGTCAGGAAATGAGGGTAGGACTGAAACTGGAATTTCCGTTCATCAAACCTCAGACTCCCTAATACCCTGACTACTTAAATCTCCAATTTTTAAATTACTTCCAACATCATTTGTTTTCTTTTTGTTAATATTTTGCCGTTTTCTTTCTTATCTTTTTACCTTCCTGTTTACTGTTCCTTTTGAACCGAAGGAATCTGAAGATGACAAGGAATTTCCACGAATAAGAGGAAGTGGTGAGTTCAAAGCATTCCCAGTAGAATCCAATTCTAAATGCGAAATTTTGTTTGTGTGGATTGGCCCTCGGTTCAGAGGTAATCTTGCTATTTAAGCTTACTAGATGAATGACAAGATTCTTTGTAACTGTCACGGAGATGTTGGCATCTTTCACAAATTTCCTCTCAAAGCCTTTCCTCACCCAGCTTGACAATTACAGAAGAAGGCCTTGAGCCCATAAAGACAAATTGCGCTAGATTAAAGAACAAGTTCATGGTACAGATATGATTCATATCCTTTGCTATTTTCTTAAAACAGTTGATACCTGAACGTATTTGCAGCGCTTTTGCTTCTGTGACGCACCTTGCCTCTCAGAATATTACTATTAAGTTAATGCAAGTTATTCATTAGCCATGTTTTGTCGTGAAGATCAGAACAAAACTTTTCTAATTCCGTTTGCTGAGCTTCTAGTTTGGATCCAAGTCAAGACTTTCAAATCTCAAGTCATACTTCAATTATCAATATCAAACTATTTATACACAAAATCCTAAACTATCCCTAAGCGTCTCTTAACACCCCAAGACTCCCACTCCATAGATCATAGGTCTCATAGCTATTCACCGAGTCCCGAATCTGCAAGTCCCTGGCTTCACTGAATTTGAAAGCCTCAGATTCTTTAGCTCCCACTGCGCTTTCCAAAACCCATTTTCATGCTAGCTGATGCCTCTTCTTAATTGTTATTAACAAGTTTATTCAACCAAACTTTAGGGTCGCCACAAGAAGAACCTGTCGATCCCAGACCATACTATCTTGAAGGTACCGTTCTGCTGGACACTGTCATGCGCTTTGGAAGAATATCGTATGAAGAGGAGGACGTCAAAGTATGGGATCAGAGATGGGAGCCTTCTGGAATGATTGTTCGTCACCTGTCGAAAGACTGGATGTTTAGACCTTATGCGAATATTCGATTTGTCGCTACAGCTGACGGAGGTGTCTCTTATAATGTGCGACCACAGAGTATTGCTATCTGGTTGAGTGCTGTATTACTGGGTATTTTGAATTGGTTGTTTTCTGGGTTACATTTCCAACTCTACCAGTCTTTGTTTGTGTTGTTACCCGTTTTGAATTTTTGTGAGTTTTTTAAGTGGCTTATAGAAGAGGTTAAAACGATAGTCGAGCAAGTAAAAAACACAATTACCCAATCCATAACCTGGCTTATGGATGTGGTTAAAGCAAGAGTAGAGCAATTATATACATAAATAACCCAATCAATAATCTGGTCGGTGGAAAGTGTAGGAAATTATGGACACATTTTCTGTGCATTACTTTTTGTGTGATCTCGTGAGATCGATATCTTGGTGAATTATTATCCATAGGTAGGGTTTGTAAACAGTTACAGAATTTTGCATGAAAAAAAAACATGATTCTTCTCTTAAGTACAATGATCTCTTTATTTTGCTCCAATACTTTTCAGACAATCCTGATTTACCCAAAAGGTGATTCTCTTGGAGACGCGAGCTCGCGCCTTAACCTGTTTCTTGTGTTGTGTTCCTAAGTAAGACACTTTACTCTCCAGGTGCATCCAAGCACACAGTAGAGAAATCGATTTTCCGCGAAACTGTCGGGGACCGAAACTGTTCTTAATGCTAGGTAATCTGTAATGCACTGACCTTCTGCTCATGGGGAAGTAATAGCGCTCCTTGTTGTTTTCAAGGCAAGGAAACTCTGCCAGGATAGGCTGCTCGCCACCCAAGTTGGCGATACCTTTAACTTTTCGGTTTATAAGGTTAATCTTGTAGGAAACCTTTCGCAGTGTTTCTACGCAACTTTTATATGCGATTGCCGGAGTAGTCGATGCAATTTTGTGAATTATTATCTTTTGTCCCGCCTGAATATGAAACATATATGCCTAATTCTCAGAAACAGGTTTTGCGTTAGTTTAGGTAGAGTGGACAAGTCACATAGTGTTAATGAACAGTGTTTCAAGTTATGTCGCTTGCGCTGGTATTCATGATCAATGCCAGCCGCCATTAATGTTGACTATCTAGGTCGTGTCAATGTAAGTATTACCTTTCTGATGTTTTTCTATGATAATAAAGTGTCATTTGGAACGATAACTCGATTTTAGACTGATCTTGTTTAGGGTCTGACTATTCGCCATTTGATGTGACGCAGCTTTCCTTTTTACTTGGTTTTTTTTTGGTGGAGGGGGTTGTCTGGGCATCCTGAGGTTTTCCTAAGATCGTGATTACGGCAAGGCCGGGGCTCCATGAGTTCCACCGCGAAAGAACCATCCAAGGATTCATTCATTGTTATCAAGACAATTCACTTTCCTTGGAATTAGTTACCCTCCATATCGCGCTTCTTTAAAAGAAAGCCATACTAGCCATAATTGTGATGCCTTATGACGTCTAATCTTTTTATATAGACCAATCTATGAAATATATTGTATCTTCCTAGAATAATATTTTCTGGGAGTTAGTTTCGGAAGAAATGTTTACTTTAAAACATTTTATGGAAATGAAAACTATGCAGACATACTCTGGACTAGACCCTCCGGTTCCAGCCACCAGCAAATCAGTCATTTCTGAAATCAGCTCGCTTTGCCAGAGACGAAAAAAAGGAGCAACATTGAAATGCGAGTTAAGTTTTCAAAAAAACCGGAAGTCATTTTGAAGTAGAGTGATAGCATTGCGTGACGAATTGAATTTCCGAGAAAGACGAATGAACTTTACTCAAAGCCAAATGGTCGCCATACTGCAGTAATCGATTCGTATCCATTGAAAGTTCTTTGGCAGAACCAATAAAAATGGCGAGTCAAGTGTGGGTAATGAAGTTTCATCTTTTCAACTATGATAACACGTATAGATTGGACTCAATAGAAACATTTTTGCTCAGAATGGGAGACGATCTCCTTAGAATATTGGTGGATAGGCGAGATTTCGCCTTCCTGAAATGTCGGATGTGTGTGAAAACATCATTCCTCAGCTACAGATAGATTATGCCGTCCTTGTTGTCCATGCACATGAATCCCGTCTCTCTCTCAACGAGGACAACGCTGGTATTGGCTACGCGAAGATATACAGAGCTTTGCTGCGAGCGAGTGGTAAGTCGACTGTAAACATTGGAATGATTGTTTTGGCAACTTATCCATATTTGCTTGGGATGAACTGTTTAAGGGGTTTCTTGTAAAAGTGATAATGAACGTAAGACATCGGGTTTCAAGAGGAAGTTTAGATATCAAAGGTGTTTGTGCATGTTCTGTAGTTCCATACTCTCATCTTATCCTGCCGGCTACAGGGAAAAGGAGAGAAGAGTAAAAGTGGATCTGTTGCCACTAGATGTTAGTAATGAGAGTAAAATGCTTAATACCTAAGCACAATATCTGATAATAGCTCATTGTTCAGTTCGTCGTTAAAAATATCCTCGAAATCCATGTTTACTCAAACTTGCAGAGACATCCTAAATGCATGGCCTATTAAGTTGAATTAACCATGTTAAAAGTGCTCCAGGTTACAACCGTTTTCATTATACTACGAGCCTCAGGCTTGTCATGTCATATGATTCTTGCGAGGAACGTTACTAATGTTTTTTTGTTCCACTCAGAAATTGAAATTCATTGACTAAAATGATTTCAGTTGAAGCCAAACGTGATGAACTTTCTAATGTGATTTGTAATGTGTCAATATTTTACTCTATATTTCTCGAGTATGATATAAAAACCTAATTCGATGGTTTAACACGAAAACAACAGAGAAAAAAATTTTTAAGTGTTCTTTGTGCCCAAGAAAATGATCTGTCGTGCTTAAAAATTCGTTTCTGTGAAGGTGAAGCCTAGTTAGTTTAGTGCGGCCATTTTGTTGCTCCCTATTAAAGCACCCAAAGGCAAGAAACATTCTCCCCCTAAACCACCCGTCAAGCTACTTTTTGAATAATATTTCATTTGTTCAAAATGTTCCAGTTCATTGTGGAGGTAGCCGGGGACTCCAGGCAGCTTCCAAACCTCAGTTTAAATTGTCAAAAGCAATAACTTAAAATAACATGATTATGCTAATCCATCAAACTCCAATTATTTCAAGTGAACTAAGGCCGAAAGGAAAACATGACAAAGATGAGAAACGAACAACTTGTCAACGAAGCAATAAAAACGCTTATCAAATGATCTTTTGCAAAGATATAAGGTGCAATACTGTTTTTTTTTAATTCAAGGAAAGAGTATTGATCATCTATGAAGGGAAGGATAACTTCGATGATGAAGACGAAAAAGGAAAGGTTTTTATCTCACGCTGGGCACGAGAGAAACAGGGGCGTAACATTTTTATTTGTGAAAAGTTCTTAACTCTGTCAAAACTACTTTCGGTGCAGAATCAGTATTATTTGTTTAGTGGTATAATGTGTAACAGTGTGTTTTGTACTTTAAGGAGGCAAAGTCTTGATCATCATTGGTGGCGATGATGAATACAGAGATAAAGACGAGGAAGAACAGGTTGCTATCTCACGCTGGGCACGAAGAAAAGTGGTGTCACAGTTTGATGAAGAGTATCTCGATGGAAGTAGAAGCTTCATTTTTTCTTGGAATGAAACGCACAGAGAAATCCACGAGGACGCACTGAAGCACTACCTCGACCCTAGTAAGAAAGAACAGAAGTTCCAATATGTGCCAAAACCAAGAGCAGAAACAAAACCAACACAAGACGAGGTGTGGCTTATGTTTTTTTTCCACTCATTTTAAATCTACTATGCTTCTGTCATGGGGGATGGAAGTCATTGGTAAAATTTGGGAACAAGTGTTCTGAATTTTTGCCGAGGGAGAAAGCTATATGCTTGTACCTGGAGATTTGGCAGAGAACGTCATTTTATATTTGTGAACTTGAGCAGATTACCCCTTTTAACTACTTTTCCACCCTTTAATTAGGTAACTAGAGGTAACAGCTCATTAGAACAGAAGTTCCAGTATCTACCAGAATCCAAACCAAAACCAACACAAGACGAGGTGTGGCTTATGTTTTATTTTTCACTTATTTAAAATCTGCTATGTTTTGGACAGGGAGGATAAAAGTCATTAATGAAATACGCGAACAAATATTTTGACTTTTTGCCGAGGAGCAAAGGTCCATTATAAAGAGGGTAACATCTTTGCAATTACCAAAAACCCAAAAGCTTCCTAGCTTTCTTTTGCTGCGTTATTTCTTTTTAGGGTTTTCTTCTGAAATTTCCCTCTGACTGACATATTTTGATCATGATTGGTATTTTTATTGTACACTGAACATTTTAAATCATGCGAATGTTATTCCCTGTCACAGGGGTGGCTGTGATATTGAGGGTCGACCGTACCCAATAATTTCATAAAATAATTATTTTATCCTTTGGCGGCCACTTTAGGTACAGACAGAATACCTGCTTCAGTAGACTCCCAGAGGGAACCTTGCTGCTTGAAACGCGTATGCGTTATGGAAAAGTATGGCAGCCATCTGTAGAAGCCGTAGAAGACTTGGAACGAAAATGGAAATTAGTCCGTGATGCAAACGTGCGATTCATTGTTAATGATGATGGTACGGTCAATAGTCACGTTACCAGACAAAAAAAGGTTTTTGGCAAAGATTGATGCCCTCAAGTCGGCGATGGTTCTGCTGCTTGGCCATTTTCTATCGTAAAAGGGCATGTTGTTGCAATTGTTGTGACGACTGTTGTTGTGATTGTTGTTGCGATTGTCGTTGCGAATGTCGTTGTAATGCATGCAATAAATAAGTTCCATGTTTCTGTGTCTGTGGGCCTGTTTAGTAATAGATTTTAGAGGACGTCAAGAATAAAAATGAAACATTCGGCTGAGCTGCAAGCTCGTATGCCACTTTTTAGTATTTACCACTATGACGTTTTCTGTAAAGTATAATTGAACAGAGGCACGACAACATGGAAAAAAAGTTGTTGATCGTGACGTCTGTCCTCCAACAGCTAAGAAAAATGCGTATATGATCGCACACCTTATATAATAAGCACTTAATGACTGACCTCCAGCGAAACAGTGACTTATGTCTCCCGGACAGCCTTTATTCTTTCGATACGAAACCGAGGGGAACATTGAGGATCGAGGGGAGACAATGGTTACTGCTTCGCAGACATTCCCAGCTCTTAAGGCGGCTAGTATGTCGGCCTATACTGTTTGCGTAAGAGAGACTCTAAAACAAAACCAATATTCAGACGAAAAGTGAAGCTTTGAGGGCAAGCGTGACAGTTTGAGGAAAATTTCTCAGCGAAAAACACGATCAGCCGATAAACCAGTAAACCAGAAAAAAGGTGTTTATTCATTTCATAACCCCTCCCCCCTTCCCCCCCCCCCCCTCCTCCGTTACATTGCACCGGTTACATTTGTTCATTTATAATTGTTTTTAATGCTCCATGCTTAAAATAAGATTAATTTGGCTGTTTATCTAGACATGGTTGGGCTGAAGGGTGAATAGTTGTGTAATGCAAGCGTTATATCTTAAGTGTAATTATGATGCGAGCGGGTAAGTTGTTTTATTTGCTGACGCTTCTTGTAGAATGATGTAAACTGTGGCCTTAACTTGGCGATTTAAACAGGAACTTTTCACTTCAGCTTTTTCTTATTTGGATTTGACCCTTGGGTTCCAGCCACCAGAAAATCATTTCTCAAATCAGCTCACTTTACCAGAGATGAGAAACAAGGAGCAACACTGAAATGCGAGTTAGGTTCTAAAAAAACCGGAAGTTATTTCTAAGTAAAGTGAGAGTATTGCGTGACGAATTGAATTTCCGAGAAAGACGAGCGGACTTCACACAAAGCCAAATGGTCGCTATACTGCAGTAAACAAAGTTTTGTGGCAAGCAACTGATTCGTATTCATTGAAAGTTCTCTGATATAACCGACAAAAATGGCGAGTCCAGTGAGGGTAATGAAGTTTCACCTTTTTAATTGTGATAACACGTATAGCTTGGACTCGGTGGAAACCTTGTTGCTCAAAATGGCAGACGATCGTAACCTCAGACTATTGGTGGATAAGCGAAAATTTCGCCTTCATGAAATGACGGATGTGTGTGGAAAGACTATTCCAATGCTACAAATGGATTATGCCGTCTTTGTTGTCCATGCGCATGAATCTCGTCTCTCTATCAACGAAGACAACGCTGGTATTGGCTACGCGGAGATCTACAAAACTTTGCTGCGAGCGACAGGTACGGTCGGTCGTCTAACATTAGGGACCTTTAGCAAACCACGACGGCGACGGCAGCGAGTAGGTGGCGAAACAAAAGATCTAATGAGCAGAACACTCAGCTCGTACGTTTTCGAACTTTGTACATTTCTTAGCCGTCCTCTGCAAATAATAACAACGTGAAATCCTCAAAATTACCGAGGTTCGAGAAAGGAAACCTCGACGGCAAATTATCTAAGTTTCCATTTGGAACTCAACGCTCTTTCATATGCTATGATGAGGTTAACTTGCGGCGCTGTAAGGGATGGTAGTCACATCCACTCATTCGCGAAATTTCAACCGAAAATATCTCTTCATTTTAAATTCGACGTCTTCTTTGGCGTTGCCGTCTTAACTACTAAAGGTCCCTATTTCAGTATGATAACGATGCCATACTAGTATAAATTCTCATTTGAACTCTTGTCAGTTTTCTTGCAGTAAGTGCCATGATATTTTTGCTTGTCAATCAATATCATTCTTAAATTGTCGGCCATCTATCCAATTACTCAATACTAAGGCTTCAAATGACGAAAAGCGAAAGACGCTAAGATGAAAATATTGCTGTTTTACACATGTTTCAGTTAAATACAAAACGACGCGAACGTAAGATCCGATTAAGTTTGGCTTTTGAATAAGCTGGAAATACATGGCCTGGCATCAGAATAAACCGTTTTAAATGTTCATTACTATAGTATTTAGAATTTGATGACTTTGGACACGGATTTTCGATGCCGGGTAAATGCTATTAAAATAGTTTGGGTTTGACTGATGCAGGAATTTCAGATCAGAGTCCATCGTTACACACCAAAAAATTTCTTTCGAGGAGAACGCTTTGATACTTTGCGGGCTTCCTTTCCTCAGATGTGGCATTTATTTTCAAGAAGAAAATCGTCATCTGCATCTCCAATTGTCTTCTCACTAATCCTTTTCACCGACTCATCTGAACTGAGGCCAAAAATAACCACCTTTCCATTTAGGAATTGTATTTTGGTAGAATCTAGTAATGTTTCGGATCGATAAGCATTTAAAGGAAACAAACGACTACAGCGGTGCAAACTCTTTGTGAAAATGTTGATTAGAGCAGAGTGACAAGTGTTCATTCGCTCATACTACCTCTCCCCTATGGGTTGCCTTGAAGAAGTGCAAAACGTTTAAAAAGAAAATTTGTCATCCATTTAAATCCATGATGCATGTGTAACGGTGTGTCTTGTACTTCAAGGAGACAAAGTGTTGATCGTCATTGGTGGCGATGATAATTATAGAGATGAAAACGAGGAAGAACGGTTTGTTATCTCACACTGGGCACGAAGGAAAGTGGCGTCACAGTTTGATGAAGAGTATCTCGATGGAAGAAAAAGCTTCGTTTTCTCTTGGAATAAAGGTCACAAAGAAATCCACGAGAAAGCATTAGAGCACTACCTCGACCCAAGTAAGAAAGGAGAAAAGTTTCAGTATGTGCCAAAATCCATAACAGTAAACATTGCTTCTGGAACCGTTGATGATTCAGACGAGGAAGCAGAACTGCACTTCTTAGAGTTTGGTAAGAAAGAGCTAAAGTTAAGGTATGTGCCAGGACCACAACCTCCTTCCACCACAGATGTTTCAGAAGAGGTATGCGCTTTGATTCAGATTGTTTTAGTGGTCATGATTTGCACGTTTTTGCTATCGACCAAATTTGTGTCAACAAGCAATGCGTGAATCATTAGACTAATTTGAAGCTTTAAATCACGCAAACTATACCTGAAACCAAAAAGAGCTTTCCTTGTGCTGTCTGTGACTTCCAAGCGCAGTTACTTATATGTTCACTGAAAATACACTGTATGGAAAATTTATCGTAATTTTCTCTGACAGGGCAGTTGGAGTTTAATTTATATGTTGTGCGAAGACGGGACGACGAGCATACAGAGAGTGACAGGAACACAGACAGAAAGACAGACAGACCAAATGTATAGCGCATATAAGGACGGATAAACAGGCAGGCAGGCAGGCAGACATAACTGCCAGGCAGGCAGGCAGGCAGACATAACTAGAAACTGAACGAGAGAGGAAGTCGACTGGATGCATGCTTCATTTCCTGTGAGAGCTCCAACATTTTTTCAGTTACCAAACTTGTGATTCTTTTGACTTCCATGATATTTTATTCCCTAGATCCTTTTAATCTTTAACTTCTCGATTCCCGGGTACCCTTATCACCTGACTGCTTGTTTGTTTGATTTTTCAATTGATCTTTTAACTATCTTCCATTGTTTCCCATCTGTCGTTCCCACCTGGATTCATTCTTCCTCATTTCTTTCTTTCTCATTTGACAGAGTTTTTTGTTTATTCATCCATTTATTCACGTAGGACGTAAGTGATGACGCCAAGAACCCTCTTCTACCTCGTAGTGGAGACGACTCAACCCGAGAGAAACCTAAGAGGAAAGAGGGAAGAAAAAGTAAGCGCAGAATCCAAATCTGGAGATAAATTATTTCTAGGGGCAAAACCTCTCGTTCTCGAAGTTGCCTTGCTTATTGCACTTACGAATTTTTAGGGATTAGGGTATCAATTTGAGAGGTCCTCTGACCCTGTCCTAACTGAAGATAGGAAAAGGAAGCGCTGGAATCAGAAAGTTATTTCGCAAATATTGATTTGATTTAGCTAACAAACTTATATCTTAAGGGACTTAATGCAATTGATGCTTTTATGCAAATTATTTTGTTATCTTTTTTTCTATCATAAACTAATCCAGGCTTCTATTGAGCAAGGGCCGAAATCCTTAGTAAGGTTTTTTTTCAGTTATTAATGAATCTATTATAATCTAACCTTAATTAGGGCCTAGGCCAGATCCTTTCAATGCTCAGCCGGAATTTCTCGAGGGCACCATTCTGCTGGACACGGTCCTGCGTTTTGGAAAAATCTCCTACAGAGAAGAGGATCTGAAAGCCTGGGATCAGAGGTGGGAGCCATCGGAAAAAGTTGTTCGCCACTTGTTGCAAGATTGGATGTGTAGACCGCTTGGGAATGTTAGATTTGTCGCTACAGCTAACGGTGGGGTATCTTACATTGTGAGACCTCGCAGTTTCTGTTGTGGACTGCGTTTGATCCTTTGGGCGTTCATAATTATCACTATTATCATCATTATTTCTATTATTGTCTATTTCGTTGATCATTATTAATTTTATCGTTATTAGTATTTTCATTACTATTAATTATGGTTTAAATTGATGAGCCTCATTAAAGATAGTCTGATAGCGATGAACGAGAGAGAACAAGGACTGAAGCAAGCAGCACCGTTCAAACAAACTTTTAATAATGAGAAAAAATACATTATTCCGTCTCTTAATAAACATCACTTGGAAACAATTTTTGTACACCGAAGAGTGGTTGCGCCGTGGGTCGGAGAAGGTTGTAGTTACAATCAATTTTAGGACGATATTGATGTCAGCACAATCTTCCCTGCCCTTTAGGACCTCAATCGTGTTTCCCTTACTCTTTACTGCGGTTTGTTACATGCATGTCGCTAACTGACAGGTATGAAAATATTACATCGAATGGGTGGGGGCTATTTTAACAATTCTCCTACAAAGAAGAGGATGTGGAGGCCTGGGATCAAAGCTGGGAGCCATCGGAAAAAGTTGTTCGCCACCTGTTGCAAGTTTGGATGTGTAGACCGCTTGCGAATGTTAGATTTGTCGCTACAGCTAACGGTGGGGTATCTTACACTGTGAGACCTCGCAGTTTTTGTGGACTGCGTTTGATCCTTTGGGCGTTCATAATAAGTTGTTTAAAGTTGTGCAGGAATTGCCTTCTTTGTATGTTTAAATGGTTCAGTGAACGAATTAAGCGATGTACATGTCCAACAAGGGATTGCTTTTTCGGATGTTTTATTACTTGTATGGGAAATTATCAAGGTGTTTTGAATGGTTCAGGGAACTAGTCAAGCGATGTCCATGTCGAACAAGGTATTGCCTTTTTCGGATGTTTTATTACTTGTATGGGAAATTATCAAGGTGTTTTGAATGGTTCAGGGAACTAGTTAAGCGATGTGCATGTCGAACAAGGGATTGCCTTTTCCGGATGTTTTATTGTATGGGAAAATATTGAGGCGTTTTCAATGGTTCAGAGAACTAATCATCTAATGTGTATTTTGAACAAGGGATTGCCTTGTTTGGATGTGTTAGTGCTTGTAAAGGAAATTTTCAAGGTGTTTTGAATGGCTCAGAGAACGAATCAATCGATGCAGAATCACTTTTAGATTTATGCCTCGTTGGACGTAACTTTAAAAATGACCATTTCTTTATTAAGTACGAATTCGGGATTGATATCATGTAGCCATGAGTATTTTCTCGAGTTTCATAGCCTATCTCAAACTTGAAAACACGAAACGTACTTCTTTGTTCAGAAAAGTAAAAACTGGCATATTAAAGGAAGTGTGTCATGATTGTGAGATAGCGAACGCGTGTGAAAATACATCACCGGCGTTCGTCCAATCAGAGACACGAACGATAGTACTTCACAGTGTAAATCTCAGTGTTTATGAAATAATTTAATTTACGCCGCACTGAACCGTTGTAATTAATGTTAGAATAGTAATCTATACTAAGTGTGTATTGCCAGGTATGTAAGCAATTTAATAACTGACAGACGTGTAAACAGGATTTTCGTATTTTAGTAATAATAATGATAAAAATAAAGGTCCTCAATTGACTCAAATTGTTGTGGCGTAGTTCCATCAATCTTGTAGACGCAGCGGCTGAATGGCAAGATCTCTATTCAAGCATCCGCTCGATGTTCTTTTGAGGGGGGGGGAGGGTAGGGGTTAACTTACAATGATTAGCTACATGGTTATGCACTTCAAAGTGGATGGCTTTTATGAGTGCAGATAAAGACTCAAAAAATATGGCTACCTTTGTAAACTGTCATTAGGCGGCTGATAGGAAACTTAAATGTTCAGGGAAATATTTGCTTGATGTGAAAAAAGGACAGTGGGTTTCCTTTATGAATATGAAAAGGGTGGTGCTTTGGTCAGATATGAAACCTGAAAAGGTGAGGATATGCACCAAACCAAACACACACGTGTACACGAATGAAACTGTCTCCTCTATTTCTTATAACTGTAAATACCTCCATCCTGCAAAACCAAAAAATTACAATCAACCTTCAGGCTCTAACACCCCCTTTCCCCTCCTCCCCCCCATCTTCTGAACGGTGACACGTAAAGAACAAAGGTTAGCACAAACAGAACGACAACCTCTGTGTAAAGATTATGGCGAAGAGTTGATATCGCGCTTATTTAGCAATTTCCTTTTCTCTGCCTTCGTGCTAAGAGTCTTTTCTACCATTGCTGGGAAATTTATAAGTTCCAGTTGGTAATGTATCACTGATGCCCGAAACTGAAGCTCAGGGTAATTCCTCTCCCCCAGGGTAATGAAATATTTGGACAAAATACAAATAGCCTCAGTATAGATATTTTCAAATATGGTTATGCCGGCGGCTAGCATACTTCTGAAATGTGTTTAGTTCTTTTGCTTTTCGCACCTTTTACTGCAGTGAGCTTTCTCCATTTCGGAGAATGCACAGTGATATAGCCCAAGACGTTTCATGACACTTGATTGTACTCTCAATGCCACCCTGTACCTGTTGCTTTGTTTTGTCGTGTGTGACAAAAAATGGCTCTTAGCCACCTCTGTTTCCAGAATTGTAAGGATTTTAAATAGTTAGATATATACGATTTATTCGTATTTTATCTCTGGTTTCATCAAAGGATTACATGCCTTTGGCTTACGCGTCACCAAAAAGTTAATGTTAAATCCCGGGTAACGCAATATTCTCGGAAATCATTTTCGTGGAATGACAAACGAATGGACTTTGTTCGGCTGCATTCAAGACAGATTGCCCTTCCTGTTCGCTTTTTAACTGTTACGAAAGAAAAATACCATGGAAATGAAAGGAAATTCTACCAACATTTATCTTTTTAACTGCGATAATACTTGCAGTTTGGATCCAATAGAATCCTTGTTACTAGCCGTGCAAAACGACGTGAAGATGCGGTTTGCTGTAGACAAGCGCATTTTTCGGTTGCGCGAAATGTCAGAGATGAGCGAGACAATTATTCCTGAACTGCAGATGGATTATGCTATTTTTGCTGTTCATGCCCAAGAATCGCGTCTCTCAATCAACGAAGACAATGCTGGAATTGGTTTCGCAAGGATCTACAGAGCTTTACTGAAAGCAACTGGTGAGTAAAAAAGATCGAGTTCATAGGGTTTTCTACAATATCGTGTCAAGCCATAAAATCATACCATTTCCTAATTTTTGACGATTCATAGTCAAAAGGCTTAAACGTCTTTTATGTCCCTGATTAAACCAACCATTCTAAGAATTAGTGCTGCGTAAAACTTATGCCTTAATTTGTTGTTCGTATTTTACTCCGAGAGGAACACAAAGCAATCAATCCAAACATACAATGGTCTGTCAGTCTCTCAAGGTGGTCGAATTTTTCCACTTTTACTTTTACTTGGACAATGAAAGTTCGCTTTTCAAAGCTAGTTTCTCATTGTTATCACTCTCGCTTTGCAGCAAGCGACTGGTAGGTCGACTGTAATCATTGAAATAAGTACAGTGATGTTTGTGCAGCGAGAAATAATCAAAATAATGCCTTCCTCTGAAAGTGTGTGCAAGCTCGAGATAACAAAGTTCAGATCAGAGTTCACCTTGATACGAACAGTAACTGACGTTAACAACGTAGCCTCTCAGCCTCACCGTAATGATTCTCGAGAGAAGAAAAAAGGCCTTCATCTTCATAAAAAATGAAGAAATGTTTTAACTTCACGTGTTACCAGTTGAGACACGTTATATGCCAAAGGAGTTTCCTCTCGGTCTCTTACCCACATTCACTTGTCTTTTTTTTATTTGTTTTGGTTTTTTAACGAATAAGTTATTTTTTCATGATACTAGTAATTCTGGTAAGCTTGCAGACAGTAGCGTCAAATATTTACAGACAATTTTTCTGGATGAGTAACGTGGTATAAAAAACTGTCATTTCCAAATGTTCCACCTTGTGTACTTTTACCCAAATAATACTGCCTTTCTTCCAAACGTTCTGTTGGTGGGATCCAGTCGAAGAGGGCAATCACGTGCAAAGTGAGACATTAACGATTATCAAACCTTGACCAATGTGTGAACTGCCCTTCAACAGTGAAAACCACTACCACTTCAGTATCAGTATAACTCGTTTAGAATAGTAAGGTGTAATACAGTGTCTTGTATTTAAAGGAAATAAAGTATTGATCATCATTGGTGGGGATGATGAATACAGAGATGAAAACGAAGAAGAACAGGTTGTAATATCACGCTGGGCACGAAGGAAAGTGGAGTCACAGTTTGATAAGGAGTATCTCGATGGAAGAAAAAGCTTCATTTTTTCTTGGAACAAAAGTCACAGAGAAATCCACGAGGAAGCATTAAAGCACTACCTCGACCCAAGTAGGAAAGGAAAAAAGTTCCAGTATGTGCCAAAACAAAAGCCAACAACCTTTCCTCCACCAGTCAATGATTCTCCAGACAAGGTTTGACCGTTTTTTGTCTTTATTTGTTTAACCCTTTAACTCCCATGAGTGACCAAAGCAGAATTTCTCCTTACTATATCGATACAACATTAAGCAGACAAGTGATGAGAATAAAGAAACAGATTAATTAGGGGATTATTAGTAGATCCAATACCAAAAACTCCAAACTAACATCACTAGAACTATATAGCAGACAGTTGGGAGATTAACTAATGAGATCTTGGGAGTTAAAGGATGATCAAGCATGCATCCGGCTCAAGACACACATAATGTAATATCAAGAGGAGAGGTAGCATCTAGTGCCACACAACGATGAGATCGAAGTTCGTTTATGGTTGTACCCTCTGATGGTAACCTATACCCTTATTTCGACATTTGTTTATAACGCATCCACCTTGAATTATTTACAAATTGAAAACTTAGAGAAGTGGAAGAGAGCAATTATTAGCTTACTACTCCTTAGATTACTATTCGGGTTGTGGAATTGCATTTTAGAGTCATCAAGTCTATTCATTGGTGTCCACTCTTCCATTGTTCTCAATGTAAATAGTAGACAGGCATGTTGCAATACAGAGTTAAAGTGTTTAAAACCTCTAAAACATGTTGAGTCAAGATTCCTGTATTTGTTTATCAAGCCAATCTGGAGTCCCATATGTGGTTTATTAATTCATTCATTCACATTCTTTCGTTCCCTCTAATCTTGTTCCTCCTAAATCCTTTGTGCTTCTCATTCAAGTTTGTTGAACGCTTTCTTTCATGTATCCTGCAGAACGGTATTTCTGGTGATGATGTACCTCCTCAAGGAGGAAGAACCCAAAGAAGGCCCACAGGCCAAGAAAGAGAAAAATGTGAGTCAACTATTTTACTTGAAGAATCCATTTCTTGTGATAAAATCATTTCTCAGAGGCTGAACACTCATTTTGGAGGCAGTGTACTTTATCAAACGAATAATTGGGTTCAAATTAAATATTTACTTATTTTAATATTTACTTTCCATACCTTGTGACATTGCATATCAACCATGGTTGTGAGCTCTCCGACACAAACTCTACGCTCTACACCAGTCTCGAGTCCCTAAAGGGTCCCAAAAGTCTTAAAGTTTAATTTTAGAAGCCACAAGCTCTCATCCTTTGTCCCAGTTCCCAAGCACCAAATTGCGTAACCTCAACCTTACCTTCTCAGTATTAGGCGAGGGCTGAGACCTTCAGTAAGGGTTATTTTTATTTATTTATTTATTGATATATTCAGAAATCTATTTTAATCTAGCCTTAGGGCCAAGGCCAGATCCTACTGATTCCCGACCGGAATTTCGCGAAGGTACCGAACTGCTGGACACACTCGTACGTTTTGGGAGAATCTCGTATGAGAAAGAGGACGTGAGGATCTGGGACCGCATATGGAAGCCGTCTGGAACAACTGTTCACCGCCTGTCGAAAGATTGGATGTTTACACCTCTTGCAAATGTTAGATTTGTCGCTTCAGCTAACGGTGGGGTCTCTTACAGTGTGCGACCTCAGAGTATTTGTAGTTGGGCGAGCATACTGTGTTGTTTAAAGTTAGTCTGGGATTTCCTTGCTTGGATTTGGTCTTGGATACTGTGGATTTTAGTAGCAGTATGTGAATGGCTTGGAAAAAAATGACGTATGAAAATCGCTGTCCATAAAAATTATAAACATTTGGGCCTAGTTAAACCTGATTAAACCTAATTAAACCTGATTTCAAATTTTATTGCAACTCATCAAGTCAAGTTCAAACTACAGTCGAACTTCCTCTTTAAGACATCTATTCATTGTGGACAGCTTCATATATTCCGATCGTATTCTAGCATGCTTTCTTCTAAAACAAACCTCTGTAATATGCAATCTCTTTAATACGGTAAAAGGGGACATTAAATCTCAGCTCAGAGTTGCCGTAATTATGTAAAACAACCTCCTGTTTTCAGTTATATGCTAAATACTAACGATTGATTTACCAGAGATGAGCCTTACAAAAGTTAACACTGTTGCAATTAGTAACCAATTAAGATAAAAAATTCTAAAGGAAAACAAAATTCGAAAAGAAACGAAAACTATTCATACACTTGGCAGGAAATAGGTACTGCTTATTAACGATAAAATAAATGCATTTGTAGGCCTGTTTCTAGATACAGGACATTTTGAAATTCGAAGTAACGTCATCATAATGACCCAAACGAAACGGACACCCTTCCAATACAGCTATTTTTCATATTTTTTTCGTGGCCATATCAGCTTTACTTAGGTTTGATTGTGTATGCTCTTTGCTTTGTCCTTTTGTGTCCGATATTCGAGAGCTTTACCTGTACCTCAAGATAGGCAACGAAAAGTAATTAGCGATGGGCGATCTCTGTTTTATTTGTTTTAAAATTTTACAGGGTATCAAATCACGTCAAAATTTAAAAATAAAATCATGGTTTCTGTAATGGATAGCCTAGGAAAGGATAATATAATTGTCGAGCGTTATGAGAAATAGAAACAGTTTCTGAATATGTGAAAAATGTATTTTGCTTAAACAGTTCTGTTACCTATATTAACACTTTTAACGGCTCAGTTTTACCTTCATTCGTCATCTAATTTGTAATTTGCATTGTTATTTTATCTGTTAGTTATGTTTAGTAAAGGTAATCACATGATTTCGAGTGCAATTTGAAATAAATAAGCCCGAGTAAATTTTTTCAAACACTAACAAAATTGCACGAGCCCGTAGGGCAGGTGCAATTTTGGTCTTTGAAAAAAATTCACAGTGCTTATTTGTTCCAAATTGCACGAGAAAAATCATGTGATTGCGTATTAATAATATACATGAAAAAATACGAGATAGCTTATCATAATTATGCAGAAGCAAAGCGCGCATCAAATGCAAAAATAATTTATTCAAACCTTACAAGTGACACCGTGCGTTCGGTCAAAACAACCGCCTACGATCAAAACAATAATATACCACGATATTTTCACATCTTAAGTATAGGTAATCACATGATTTCGGTGCAATTTGGAATAAATAAGCACGAGTCAATTTTTTCAAGGACATACAAAATTACACTGAATTAACCCTCTTCCCCATTGAATTACCTGAAAACTACATTTATCTTAACCAATCAGACCTAAGTAATTTTTTCATGTATGTGATTTTAATCGTAATTAGCTGGATTTAGTTAGTTAGGAGATGAAGAACCTCGTAGGATGGATACATTTTCAAAAACTGTTTTATTATTTCTTTTTTTATTTTTATTAACTGATTTCCTAACGATTGAGTGCCTTGGAAACACAGATTTTTAATATTTTGTGGAAATATCTGTTGCGTGTTTTCACAGTTTAAATCAGTTAGGATTTCATCCCTTTATTCCTATATTTGTTTGCATACCTCAGTCCAAGGTTCCAAAATCCTATTTTCCCAGTAAGGAATTAATCAAACCAGGGGGAATGGAAAGTGATGTCGACACTCTAAGCGGTCGAAATGTCTCTAGTCTGTTTGATAGTAAAGTTAAGGTCCAAAAATCTAGCATTTTATATCATCCCCTTAACTGAACGCCTCCAAGTAAGAGAGCGGGATGGACAGCATCGACCTCGGATATCACGACCTGATTTGTTATGCTCTGATTTCGTGTTGTTTATCGTGCTCGTCCATGCATGCGATACTGACAAGAGAGCGACCGTTTCCGAGACATTTTCAACCAAAGGTCATATTCGCTTGATTAATTGTCTTATCTTTCGAAGAAATCGTAGCTTTTAATTGCAATAAGCTTCCTCTCTTTCGAAAGCTGTCGGTGATTTGGTGACAGATATATTGTGTTACAAGTGACTGAAATCTGTATTCTTGAGTGAACTTGTTGTTTTGTTCGCGAGAAAGCTAATGAAGACGTTTGAGGAAAAATGACAAAAATTGAAACTCTTCGCCTCGGGTAATTAGCCGCTCTTACCCTTCCAGCTGCAAGTATTTAAATAAACTAAAAATTTAACTTTCATATTTTTTTTAGTTACTGGTTTCAGTTGAGGATTTGAAAAAGTAAAAATAAAAAGAAAAATGTTGTGTCCACGTGCAGTTGCCGTACACGTCATCAAGAGGTTCGGTTACAAATGGGAGTAACGCAACATTCTAAGAATTCGTATTCCGGGAACGACAATCAAAGAGACTTTGTTCGGCTGTGTTCAAGAAGGGTTTGCTTTCCTGTTCGTTGGTGAAATCATTCCAAAGAAAAGTGCCATGGATACTAAAGGAAAGCCGGCCAACATCTATCTTTTTAACTGCGATAGTACTTGTAATTTGGATCCAATAGAATCCTTGCTACTAACCGTGCAAAACGACGTGAAGATGCGGTTTACTGTACACAAGCTTAATTTTCGACTGAGTGAAATGTCAGAGATAAGCGAGACAGTCATTCCCGGACTACAAATGGATTTTGCTGTTTTTGCTGTCCATGCCCATGAATCACGGCTCTCGATCAACGAAGACAATGCTGGAATTGGTTACGCAAGTCTCTACAGAGCTTTAAAGAGAGCGTCTGGTGAGTCGAAACGATTGAGTAGATAGTGTTTTGCATCAGATCTTTTCAGAGCGATAACGATACACTTTTTCCTTTTTATGACGATATATACTCTCTGAAGAGGTTAAATGTCTTTTCAGTCCCGGATAAAAAAACGATACATCGATTCTAAAAATTGTGGCTGTGTGGCATTTGTAATGCTTCTATTTATTATTCGTATTTTTGTTCGTGAGAAACATTAACTGGCGTTTATCTCTTAAGGAAGTCGAGTTTTCAATTTTATTTTCTTGATGAAAGAAAAGACGCGAACCATTGGTCCGATTAACTTTCAAAGCTTGCTGCTCAGTATTAACTCTCTCGCTTTCGTGGAAAACACTTGGTTGTGTCTACGTTGGGACTAACCAAAAGCGGAAGTTACTTCCGACCTCGCTTCGAGTTTCACTTTCACAAACCGTTCTATGATTCACGGTTTCTCGGAAGGAACTTGGATGTCTGAAAATAATAGAGAAAAAATTGTATAAGTATTTGTTAAGGCATGCTTAGGAGGAGAAAAAGCATTGGGTATTGCTATATTCAGATATGGATATCCGATAGATGTGATGGTAGCTTTTTCGGTAAAATTACGTGCAATTTTTAGTTCAGTGATTTTAATGATGACAGTGATACAATAAATTAAATAAAATTATTTTTTTGCGCGTGTGTGTGTTCAACTGGGAGAGAGGTCTCTACCCTCAGCATCGATCGTTGACTCATAACAGTTTTCAAATTAATTGATTCATTTTGTTATCCAAGGTGGCAAGGTGTTGATAGTCATCGGTGGAGACAACAGCTACAAAGATACAGACGAGGAAGACAGATTTGTGATCTCGCGTTGGGCACGTAGAAAAGTGGCCTCGCAGTTCGGGGAGGAAGATCTTGACGGAAGACAGAGCTTCATCTTTTCCTGGGACAAGTATTACAGGGAAATCCATGAGAAAGCATTGCTGCATTACTTTGATCCCAGCAAAACAGGAAAGAAGTTTGAATACCAGCCGAAACCAAAGCCACCACCAAAGCCAGTGCCACAGCCAGAGCCGATTCCTCAGGAAGTATGAGAAAATTGAATGAGCTTTTTTGTATAAATAAAATAATTATTTGGTGTCATGAGAAAGGGGTATAGTTATTCACCAAGAGAACATCTTGGTTAAACAGTCAGCAAAAAAATATCGTTTAATACCATCGAGTGATTACAAAATGTCACCCATAATCATAGGGTCCTGATCAAAGTCAGCAAAAAGTTGCTCTCGTCTTGTCATAGACTTCTAGCAATCTAGGTCCTCATTTATCACTACTCGCTCTTTAGAATTCTCATTTCGTTGGTTTGCTCGATTATTTGCTTTCCCTATCCAATAATTTTTTTCCTATCAGCTTTTAGAGCATGGAGAAACGAAAGTTGACGTGGAAGAATCAGGTCCGTATCCAGGTATAATAAGTAAATGTAATCAAATTACGACAGTCATTGGCAGCTAGTTTTGGAAACAGCTGAAGGCGAAACTTTTGTAAAACTATGCGTAAATTTCCGCGTACCCAGGTGTTCGTAATGATAACATCGAAGTGCTCGATTCATACGGTTTTTACACTTGTTTAAAATGAAATTTTATATACATGTAAAATCTACCGTATAATTGGCATACGAAAAAAGAATTCGAAAAGCTGGTAAAACATTACATCAATGGCTCACAGTACTTTCAAATGCTTCTCTTTTTTTAAATAATCGAGGCCAACATGAGAAAAATCAGACTTTACGCCCACTTTTAAAATGTTGACAATGTTTTCTGAACCAAGACAAACGACCCGTGTTTTAAAATTCAGTTAACCTCCATCTTGTTGTAACCTTTCGTACATCATTCCTCTCTAAACTAACCTTTGCTTCTTGATTTGGACCTTCAGGCCCGTTGCACTACCCAGAGGGCACTGTCCTGCTAGAAACTCTGGTTCGCTATGGTAGGATCTCTTTCAAGGACGGTGACGTTATGATCTGGCACCAACAATGGAAACCGTCCGAGAGGACCATACTGGACATAGCACGAGATTGGGGAACAGTCCCTGAAGCTAAAGTGCAATTTAGATCTCTTGGTTCCGGTAATGTCACTTACACCGTTTCTAAGGTTCAGCCGCGTCTTTGGGCGAGCTTGTTTGAACGGTGTAAGAAGCAACCACAGATCGCTTTTTTAATTCTTCTCAGTGTGGCGATGCTGGGCACTTATTGTATTTGGAGGTTAGCTCCGGTTTATAACCGACCGAGAATGCCTGATCAGTAGGGACAGTATTAGAGTACTTTTAAAACAGTTTAAAGATTATGTTGTGTAGATGTTGAAATATTATAACAGTTTTTCGTTTGAACTGTCAGAACCCCAGACAGATTTAAGTCTACATTAAAAACAGTGCACAGGAAAATTAACCTTTCGTTCTTCTAGATAGCTAAACCTAGAAAACAGATCTTAACTTAGAGGGTTCCTAGAAAAGATTTGGTCAGATATACAAACAATCTGATTTGTCGACTATTTCCCACTTTTGTTGCTTACTTTCATCCGAGGTTATTATGTTATATGGGGTGAGATTAGCTAAACCTGGTATTCCTGCGAACACAAACCAGATTTACCAACACAATGTACTGGCTTTGGGAATTCATGAAGTTATTCTTTCAAGTTTACTGCTCAGCACAGTGATGAGCTCCGACAGAATCGGCTGTAAGGCCTCTAAGCTGCCTGTCCTTCGAAATTTTTGTTTCATGACTTCAGTACTGTAGTATACCTTTTTCACTTTATTGAAAAATTTAAAATGTAATTTCGAGTGTAATTGGTAATTTTCAAGAGAATATTGTCAGTTTTAAGTTGTTATGGCAAAAAACAATTCAATTAGGATTACTAAAAACGGTTTTTGTTTTGTGAAGTCAAAGTAAGCAATCAGCTGATTTCTTTATGACTTGATTCACGGAAGTTCTACTGTAGCTATTATAGCTAGTATGCCTTTATTTTTACCTTTGGGGAAAAAATAATTTTCTGTTGTTGTAGTTTTTTTTATTATCATTACTAACCAACTGTTTTCAACATTAGATATTTTATCAGTTTTTTCTTTCCTGTGATAAGTTATCATTAGGTGTTCACATCATGATCATCGACTATGTTATCCAAGTTGTTCAAAAAACATAAAACAATGAAGGAGGTCTAAAGGAAGATTAAAATGGACGTTACACATACAATGGACATGATTTAGCATTGCAATTTCTCTTCTTCTACCAATCCCATCCTTGCCTTGAAAATCCAAGCAACTGTTTACTAACATAGTGTCTTAACATGGCCGTGTAATATTTACATGGGAATAGTGATGCTGAAATGAGATGAGGTTTCATGATAAGAACATATCCTGGGCTAAGGTTTTGTTCAGGAAATATTTATGCATTGTTCAATTGACCGAAGAAAAGGCCAAAGAGGGAGTTATGTTGGCTGCTAATTCCCGTTGGGGTAACAGAATGTCTTAAAGCATAACAATCATTGTTTATCGTCCATCGCGAGGTTCAATGTATATCTTTATCCTTTTGAGACTGAAAGGAACTGTTTAATTTTGCTCAATCCGTTTTTCGTTTTATCAACTAAGGAAAGACAAGAAGCAGAGTTTTTCTCTTGTTGAAGGTTTGGTTGAGCACTTTGTGCGCTGAAGTAAGAAAGTATCACATCTCGGAGTGAAACACTCTTTTCTTTTTTTGAGACTGCATTGCGTGACAAAACAGATGAAAAACAACGTCACAAGATTACCGTTTCTGGGAAATCTGCTATTCATAGAATCATCACCCTGAGATAAACGACACTCACTGATAACATAAAGTTGAGCTTTTGGCGAAGAAATAGTAGTCATATTATGGCGGATAAGTCGAAGAAAACCATTTGTCTTTTCAATTGCGATAACACCTATAAGCTAGATGTGGTTGAGGCGTTCCTGATGGAAATGAATAAGAAACATGGCTTCAACTTCGCGATTGGGAAGCACAACTTTGAATTGCAACAATTGGCTGATTATTGTAAGACCAAAATTCCTCAAATTCAGATGGATTGTGCAATTTTTGTCGTACAGGCACACGAGTCGCGTCTCTCGATCAACGAAGATAATGCGGGGATTGGCTACGCGAAGATCTACAGAGCTTTGTTAGATGCCACAGGTAAGTTAAGGGAGAAAAACTGTTTCATTTAACGGGCATGGATGGCATAGAACTAAACAACAGACAGTTTATCGCGTTATTAAGTGTTGAACAGGAGATTCGGTAAAAGAGAATATGCGCAAATACTTTACTTTCTCTTTCGAGCCGTTGTTGTCACACACCATAAGGCGGAAGCGGTTTAGGGGCTTTTTTTCAGCATTTGATCCATTTATCCTGTGAAAACGAAATGACATGTTCGTGATACAACATTCGAGGTCATATTTTTTAAAATAAGGAGAAATTTATTTTTACGAAGGATGGGAAATGTGATAATATTCAAAACATTTGATTCAACTCGCCTAGTAGGTAGTCTAGGTATGCGAATGCTTATGAATAAAGATTCTACTTGCAATTCGTACGGGACTCAGTTTATTTGTAACAGAAGCAAAAGAATTTAGATTCTTTTTTTGGCATTTGATCAATTTATCCTGTGAAAACGAAATGACATGTTCGTGATACAACATTCGAGGTCATATTTTTGAAAATAGGGAGAAATTTACTTTTACAAAGGATGGGAAATGTGATAATATTCAAAACATTTGAATTAACTGTAGTCTAGGTGTGTGCGAATGCTGATGGATAAATCTTCTAGTTGGAATTCGCACGGGACTCAGTTTATTTCTAACAGAAGCTAAAGAATCGCATTTGTCATCAGGGGAAAAGAGGGTATTGGTTAAATCTGTGACATTATTAAAACCGCGCAACACACTGGCGGAGCGAAATGGAAACAAATATACATGTAAGACACGCATGAAAAAGCTTGGTACATACTGCAATATTCACGCTTGTGGTAAACAACTCGGATGAATTGCAAATAGCAAGTCGGCGAACGACGCTTCCTTTTTCTTAACTATCTATTACTATTAACTATTGGTTACTAAATGCTGCCAATTCGATACAACAACGATAAATTTAAGTTCAGAGGAAGCAATGACTGAAGTCATGGGGGAATTAATTTAGCTTGATTACTCATTGTTAGAAGAAGCGCGAATGGCCGAACAAAAATTCATTTATGAGTAACGTAGAAAAATATAAGGGGTATTTTTCTCGGAAAAAAGACGGATCTAAATTTCATTTACGGTCAGAACTTCGAAAAAAAGAGGGAAAAAAATATCGATGTACTTTTTCCTATAAGATCTATATTTGATTATTTGATAGAATATATATCTTTTGAACTTTTAGTTTATTTGAGGAAAAGGTTAGTTTACAAGTGTCGCAAAGAAAATAGTTGCAAAACAGAGAAGAACTGCAAATATCGTACACTTAAGTAATTATTGCACGCTTCATGTTGTCTAATCTTTTTTTGAAACATTGTTTATCAGACAACAAGGTGTTGATCGTCATCGGTGGCGATGATGAATACAAACAAGATGAAGACGAGGAAAGACAGGTTGTTATCTCACGCTGGGCACGAAGGAAAGTGGAGTCACAGTTTGATGAAGAGTATCTCGATGGAAGAAAGAGCTTCATTTTTTCTTGGAATAAGACTCATAGAAAAATCCACGAAGAGGCGCTATTGCATTACTTTGATCCAAGCAAAAATGGGGAAAAGTTCCAATACCAACCAAAACTGAAACAAAAACAAGAACCAACAACTCACTACGACGAGGTATGACTTAATTAAGCGACATTCACTAATGGTGAGTTATGGAAAAATGTTTTAGACACTCTCTGAAACCAATGAAATAAGCCAGGTTTGTTCAGATATTATAATCTCGATATTTGGTTGGTGAGAAATGAATTAGTGCGATGTTCCTATACTAGAATAGTTGAGATATAAAATTTCAACTACGTTTGCAAATGTTTACGCTGGACCAAAAAGTCACTGATAACGCCGTCAAAACAAAAAAGCGTCCTTGAATGTCCTGAAAGAAAACTGGATAGTGAAAAAAAAAATACAAATAATTATGATAACGGTAACGAGGATGATAGGTATAGTAACAATTATAACACAAATTTCTTGGTCACGCAATATTGTTCTCTATTATCAAAGCTATAGTATTGTGCTTTGTGCTAGTAAGGCTCAGAGGTATAAAATGGTAATTGAACTTAGTGGAGTGCAAGTTGAACTGAAATCATATGCGTGATCGGCATGATTGCAAAACGGAACTAGCGCGCAGCACGAGTTTGATTTGAAATCACAAGTATGATTTCAGGCCAAAGTTACACGACATAAGTCCAATCATCACTTTGTTACATTCTATTTTGAAATTACAATTTTTAAGCGCCAAAACTGATACAGGACTTAAGTCAGTACAAATTCTTCATTATCATTCATTTTTTCTTTCTTTGTCCCAAGCTCGTGACAGGATGAAAACACCTTTCCCTTTTTCTTTAACGAGCTCAAAACTAACCATCTCTTTTATTCTATTGACTACATCGTCGTTATTCAAATGCTGTTAGAAAGAGAATTAATCCGTTTTTGGCAAAAAGAGGAATTCTCCACCCAATGGCCTATTTGTCTTCCGTTTCCCTGCAATTTGATCGGTTATACGTAAAAAAAGCCATGACATGTGATTGGTTATTTTGGTTTTAATGTTACTTTTTCATCGGTTGGGGAGATGTTTTTAGAGGAAAACAGTGCGAATTGAGAATATACTGCATTACTGAGAGCCAATTAGTTTACAAGCATCACCAGAAATTTCAAAATGCATGTATTAAATTATGTGGAGTGCAAGTTGTAAGAAGGCTAAGAGAGATGTTATATACACGGCATCTGGTCATTCATATTGCAGGCACCGCTTGGAGATAGCAAGGAAACACCTTTTCCAAGAGGAAATGCAAGGCAGGAAAAACCCTCCGTTGAGGTATGAGATTACCAAGGCTAGCCCACCAAGGTTAACCCACTTACAGAATTAGCACCAAACGACTTAAAACCAAACAAAAAGATTTCTCCATTTGGTGAAAGTTTAAAGAAAAAGTGTATGTTTGTCTTCATATGCATGTTCGGGTCGAAAGGAAATGTCTGGAGATTGAATCAGACACACACCAAATCTTAGGAAAAGATAACTACAATTTAAAGTACAATTCGCCCAAGTGGGAAGCAGGGATATCAGAAGTTTACGTGAGAGGAATAAATAGGGGCCGTAATTTGATATGGTTTACATCAAACAATCTGGTATGGCCAAACGAGAATGGAGTCCTTGAACCACAAAACTTAGTTTAGAAAGTAAGATTGAGCTTTATAAATACAAGGGAAATGATATGAATGGTTGAATGAGTGGAATGAAAACTGGGCTTTTATCTTGCAGCCGAAATTTGTAGGCGAGAAACATCATTATGAAGGAAATGAAGCAAGTGAAAGGACAGGAATGAACGAAACTAGTGAGTTAAGACGTTCCCAAAATCAACCTTATTATGGAGGTAATAGCGTTAGTTTGCTAACTTTCCGTTGAGAATGGAACTAATTTTATTTTCCTGAGTTTTCCTGAACCCCATTCTAACATATCGAGTGTGGAATACTACAGGGTAGTTTAATATTATCAACTGAGTTGATAACGTAAATTGGCCACCGATGAGTTTCAAAGCTGACGTTTTGAGCATTAGCCATTCGCTCTCGGACGAATAGCTAACGCTCGAAACGTCAGATCAGATACTCTCTACGGTGGCAGATGAACGTTATCAACTTGATATATTTAACACTAAATTAGCCTATTACACTCTCCCATCGAAGCAGCACCACAGTTTCTTTAGAAATTCAACCCTTAATTCGAATGTGGAATATTTTCTGATTTAATTCTCAGTTGTTATTGACCTGTCTTTGTTTATCAAAGCTGCAGCCGTGAGAAGCGATCCTCATTACCCAGAGGGCATTGTACTCCTGGAGACACGTTTGGTTCATGGCGAGATTTCATACAAAAAGTGGCACATTAGAAAACGACAGGGTGCATGGGAGCCTTCTAACTCACAAGTTTCGAATGTAAAATCAGACAAGTCAGAAGGAAGTTTTTCAGTGCAGTTTAAGAGTAAAGGGAACGGTGGGGTTAGCTACGTTTTTATCCCCACACCTTGGTGGCGCAGATGTTTTGATTGCTTTAGGATGTGTTGTTGTTTTTGTAGTTGTTGTCATTAAAATCAGTAAGGACTTTGCGGCAAGAAAGGGTGTCCTCTCTTGACTTTCAATTTTCAGATCTTTACCACACTGTCAAATCAAGGAATCTGCTTGTTTTCGCCACCTGCTGTCGCTTAATAGCAAAACTTTGCAAGAGCTAATTCAGATTCCCTATACATCAGTCCCCGAAAAAATTGGACGTTCACCGAGTTATTTATTAGAAATCACCGAATATTTACGATTTCAATAGCCTTAGTACCTCCGAGCTCGGGCTTCAATGATTAATTAACTAAGTTTTAATTTCTCGGGTTTTTTTTTTAGTTTGTTTTTTTCTTTTTTGGTAAGGGAGTTTCTCCTCTAACTGTTACAAAACAACCGCTTTGATAAGAAGACAGCTTGATTGAAAGATATTTACTCACAGGCTATCGGTGACCTCGGCAAAATTTATTTGACTTTGAGAAGAGGGGACAGTCAGAAGCACTAAATAACGCTCGATTGTTTTTTTTTTTTTCTTTTATTACGAAGCTTTATGGGGAAAAAACGTTTTGGTTTACACTCGAAACGAAAGGAAAGCAACGAAGTATCTTATGTCCATTGAACAATAGGATTAAACAACCTGCAATTAAAAAATGCAGTACCATTAGATAACCTCTGAATGTTATGTTATGTCTGTTATGAGACTACTTTTAGATTAAACTGCTATGTTCTAAATTGTGGCAGGAATAAACATAGCTGTTGTGTGGAAATTTTCATCGGATGATATTGAACTGTTTAAAACTGCTCTGCAAAAGAAAAAGTTTATCAAAATATTTTCACCAAAGGGAAGGTCACCATACTCGCTTAAATGCTGACTTCATCATTTTCAGCTGGGATGGGAAAAATAGCAATCTTTGGATTGATTAAAGATACTTCACTCATAGCAACCATTAGCACTGTCGAGATAGAAGAAATGGCGGGACATATCTCCTAGCATTGGTTGTATGGTATTCCAGAAGAAATTTTAAGTTTTATTTGGATTCAGGTTTGCAATTATGTGTAGGGTTCCAGGAAGTCACCTATTTTCTTGGTCGATAAAATTCCTTTCCTTGGTTGAGACAGCTCCTTTCGGGGGTGGGAGAGACACTTGATTCGGTCTCGGAACGAAAAATGTTTACATACCAAAATAATAAACTGTGACGATAAATGGAAATTTATTGATGCACGTATTTCCGAAAAACTACTGAACTTCACTCTGTATTGATGTATTGAGGGCATGTAATCTCACACAACTACAGTTAGCAGTTACAGAGCCTTTTATTGCGATAAAAATTCGAACCTGTTTCTCCTTCAAGGCTATATATTTAAAAAATAGGGAAGCCCCTATTGTGCTCTGTTCTGTTGTAAAGCACGCAGGAAGCGGTTAGAGCACGAAAGAAGTGTAGGGAGAAACACGAGACGTAGTCGAGTGTTTCTCCCCACTTCTTGAGTGCTCTAACTGCTTCTAAGTGCTTTACAATAGAACAAAGCACAGTCAAGGCTTCTCTATTTTTATTTTCTCTATTTGTTTTATAATAAAGAATCCATTCAATTCCCCGCGCATTCTAATTTCACTTTTCAAAATCAATTTTAATTCTAAAGCGAACCACAGTGTCGTCAGGTGCTCTATACTCTCCTAAAGCACGCTATAATAAGCCAATCATAATCATCATTAAAATGGTTCAAATAATCTGATTGGCTGTACAAAACTAAAGCTGTCAAAAATTTCAAACCTTAAAGTTCACATTCTGCGGCAATTGTTTACAAACTTAAATAGTTTGGCAGGTCGAATCTAACACAGCAAATAATGACCTACAAATGGAAGAGAATTCTGAATTTTAGAGCTTTAAAAAAGTCAGTGGTTAAGTTTTAGAAAATTCAGTCAGAAATTAATTCCATGGCCAGTTACCAGTGCCCATGCACATGGCGTGAAATACCATAGACGAATGAGAATCTGCCGAAGGGGAATATTACTCCCAATCTTATAGAAGATATTAATATATATATTTAACGAATTACTTCTCGGGTAGACTCCAAAGCTGTAAAACCGTAAGATCTTTCTCTCCTTCCAGTTGAACGTTGATTTGTTATGCGACGAGGACAAAATAAAACCCAGAAGACTTTAACCCATCATGTTCGGTAAAACCGCTCTCCATTTTACATTCGTTTGAACTCTTTTTCCAAGGTTATCTTAATACCAATCGATAGCGGCAATTCTGAATTAATGTCGTCCCATATTGCTCTGAGGGTTCTTACAGTGGTAATCCTCCTTTTCTTATTTAATTCTTTCATCAGAGCCCCCAATCTTCCTTGGTCAGTCCACTGGTACTTATTATTTAGGCGGGTTAAAAATTGGCCCAGGGTCTCCCCAAAGCTGGACGCCTCTAATTGACAATGGTGGAATGGCAAGTAAAACGGGAAAGGGAAAATAGAATATCTGGTAAGAACTGAAGCAAAAGACTTGGGGGGGGGGGAGGGGAGGGGGGTTTACAGGATTTTGAAAACGGAAAGGGGGTTGCAGAATTTTGAGAACGGAAGGGGGGCTTGCAGGATTTTGAGAACGAAAGGGATTGATCGTCTCTAAAAGAAAGAAAAGGGAGCACTCAAGAAATTGAATGCCAATAAGGGGGATCATTAGAAGAATAGAGATTTCCCCCTCAACACACTCACATAGTCAACTAAACGAAATTAAGACCATACAATACCATACAAGTTTTATTGTGTCACACGCTAAGTTTTTCAGGTGTGACATTACAAAATGAAATGACACACCACCTAATTAACAGGTGTTTCACATAAATTAAAATTAAATTTTTAACATATGAACAAAAACTTGAGAATTTACAAAAGCAATTTAAGTCATGCTAGGGAGTAACAACGATAATCATATATACTAACAATGGTACAACAATACTGTAAAAAGTTAGGTTAAAAGGCCTGAAAGGTCAATTTTCTTGAATCTGTTCTTGAATAAAGATAATGATAATATGCTTCTAATCTAAGTCAAACCAGAACAAGCATAGTACTTGCTCACCTAAAGGTAAAAGCAAAACAGTTGTTAAAAGAATTACTCTCTAACACTCGGTTGAATTTTTCTTTCTTTTTTTCCTGGTTGAGCTCCTGGTACAATTCTTACTCTCGGGAACTTGCCCAGTATTGATCTTATTCACCACAGTTCAACTTATTTCTTTCGACATAAGTCCACATTGTTCTACTTTGCTATATTCGCTGATTGAAAGATGATGTGCACCAGCTTATAAAGGTGACACCGAAGATGACACTTCTAAACTGTCAATCTTCTTACATCGCGATCGCTCCGTTTCAGCCAGCGAATCACGTTAGAGTACGTGCGACAGTTCCTGCATACTAAGTATACACTTTCGTATTGTTTACTGAATCACAAAATCATCTTCTGCCTTAAATTTCTTAATTTTACGTTTAAGATCGGCCAGAACGAAGACAAGATTGATAATATAAAAATTATAATCAACCTATTGGCAGAATTGTAATTACGCTTGAAAAGATAGTTTACGAGAAAATAGCCGTAGAGGATTGTTATATAACAACAGAGTAAACAGAAAATTCGGAGAAGAAGGGGCGTACTTAAGGTACCGCCCTTAAGAAAACTATGTGTTATTCGCATAAGTTATATAATTACAAATTCAGTGCGGAGATGAAAAAACATAAGCTATTTACAATCAGAGTCACCTTTTTAAGAAGAGGTGTTGAAGGTAACTTAAAATTTACGAAATATTCTGAATCGTGAATTTGACTTAGAATTTGACCAAAAAAAAACCAGTCTGAAAGTAATCAATAGTATAAGAAGCAGGAGTTTCCAGGAATTCCTGTGCGAGGTTAACTTTTACCAGAGAGATTTACAACTAGAAAATTGACATAATTAAAAACATAGCTTATTATCACAAAATAGTACAACAAGATCTTATCACCGTAGAAACGGAGCAACTGTTTCAGTACCAAATTCACAACCGCAATAAGAAAAAGGTGAAAGAAATTGTACTTAGATGAGATCGCCAAAAGGAATAAGAAATATTCAACCTGTCATATTATAATTTTTGTATCGAATGGCTGAAAGTAATATAATATTTACATTCTTTTTCCCAACACCAATATATGGAAACCCTTACAATATTTCAGATTAAATATAGTTCTATTTTTATCGTTTAACACAGTGACCTATTTCATCGACATGAGTTTAAAGTCATTTCGCTCGGGCTCATTGTCCCTAAAGCCATCTAAACCATTTGGATTCTAAACCTAAATTAACACCACACAAGCAAGAGAGGGTAATCAGGCAGCCAGAAATTTCCAGCTGGAGAAAAACTTTCCGAAGGGGTCTATTCTGGCTAAACCTTAGCTTTTGATGTTCCCAATAAATTAAGTGTTTAGTTTACGTTACCTTAACCTCAACCAGATTACTATTTGACAACCTAGAAAAGTATTTTAGAGATATATATGCTTCTGGCATACCACTATTTACACAAGGGAGGACGGAGGGGGTTATGCGTTCTTCTCGCTTGTTTCAAATTATGAATTAACTTTTGCGCTTCAGTTCTCGAATTCATCGAGCCCTCTTTCTATCTCGTTACCTTTAAGAAACGCATGGCAGACAAGATGAAACATCCCGGCCAACTTTTCGTAAACATATTTTATCATGGCGTAGATGACCGACAAGTTGGAAACCTCTCTCGTTATAACGGTCACAGCTCCTGTCTCCTCCATAAGGTAGATTTCCACTTCAGCTTCTGCAACATGTTCTAGCTTCTCAGATATATCTGGTAACAATTTATCCGGTGGTTTCCACTGCAGGCTCCCTTCCCTCTCCTCGTCTCTGAAGGAGAAGCTGCCATTTCGCACTTTGGTTTTCATCACAAGCGTCCCATGTTTGGTTTTGCCGTTCATTTGCCCTCCCTTGGAAAACCCTGAAACATTTGAAATATCTGTTAAGCAAACTATCGCTTGAACGTGTTTTGTTCACTAAACATGCGATAAGAAAATTGGTTTTCTTGAGGTAAGGATTAAGTAACAAATGTAAACTTACTGATGGACTACAGTCCTTTTGAGAAAGGAAGTACATTATTTCAGACAGCATTCAAAAACCGAAACTTGCGTCCGCCTAAGTTAATACTCTCACAAAAGGAAGATGTTGTGTATATCGTTCACACTATTTTAAATATGTAAGGACCTCAATCAATCCTCTGGACGAGAAGAAATATTTCACACGGGCTGGACCCCTAACGCATTACCATGGAACGAACATTGTCTTCTATACTTTACTAGCTAATGAAATCAAATTAAAAAAAGCGCAAAATCACCTCTCTTAATCGAACTAAATTGAAGTATCCACAGGATAAAGACATTTGAAAATCGATAATTCTGGAAAAATCGAACTACATCTGACAGAAATTTCATCGAAGTATTCATAAAAGTAAAGAAAAACTTGTGTCAACTCAAAAGAAAATCAACCTATCAATAATATAAAATTGAACACATCGATACTCTCAAATAGTTACTTCATTCCTCACCAGCATGATCATCCTCATTTACCATTACATAGTCATCTTCTGTTTCTGTTGTCTCCCTCGAAGCGATTTCTCTGGTACAGCCTTCCGAGAGTCCATCCCCGTTAGGATCTTTACCCTCTGTGTCCTTCTTTCCTTCTTCTTTCAATTTATCTCCTTTGTCATAACATCTCGCTTCCGACACAGACGTTTGTTTGTTTACTTCTTCCTCCACTGAACTGTGTGCTATATCCGTTGCATGTGGATGATTTGTAAATTTCTGACTCGCTTTCGCTTCTGGCTCCTCATTCACTGGTATCTTATGAAGAGTTTCCTGAGGCACTCTGGGCCGATCATGTGGATGATCTGTGAATTGCTCGTGCTCTTTCGCTTCTAGCTTCTCAGTCTCGGGTGTCTTATGAAGAGTTTCCTGAGGTACTCTTGGCCGATCATGTGGATGATCTGTGAATTGCTCATGCTCTTTCGCTTCTAGCTTCTCAGTCTCGGGTGTCTTATGAAGAGTTTCCTGAGGTACTCTTGGCCGATCATATGGATGATCTGTGAATTGCTCATGCTCTTTCGCTTCTAGCTTCTCAGTCTCGGGTGTCTTATGAAGAGTTTCCTGAGGTACTCTTGGCCGATCATGTGGATGATCTGTGAATTGCTCGTGCTCTTTCGCTTCTAGCTTCTCAGTCTCGGGTGTCTTATGAAGAGTTTCCTGAGGTACTCTTGGCCGATCATTTGGCTTCCATTCAAACTTCTGTCCACTCTTACTCGGGTCAAAATAATGCAATAGCGCTTCCTCGTGAATCTTTCGGTAACTCTTGTTCCACGAAAAGATGAAGCTTTTCCTTCCGTCAAGAAACTCATCTTTAAACTGAGAAGAAACCTTTCTCTTAACCCAACGTGATATCACATATGATTCTTCTTCATCTTGATTTTTGTAGTGATCGTCCCCACCAATAACAACTATAACCTTTCCGTCTGGTTAAAGGAAAAAAAGAACGATTAATCATTCGTTGACTGCACAAACAAAAGCTTTTGAGAGTCAATCGCTTAAGTCACGCCACCGACTCCAACGTAGGTTAAAATAGAAATGGAATGGCCGTCTTTTGTTTACAAATTAAAACTGCTTCTAGGAGAAATCTCATCGTGCATCCGTCACCAGTAAATGATATCATGTCTTCCTCAAACATTTCTGGCTCGGACCGTAAAATCATTACGTATTTTTTCAATCACTACTGGCAAAATAGAACTATTGTTTGAAAAAAATAAAAGAATACGTCATTGATTTACCAGTGGCTTGGAGTAAGGCTTTATAGAGCTTCGCATAACCGATTCCAGCATTTTCCTCGTTTATGGAAAGACGAGATTCATTCGCATGAACCACAAAAAAGGCAACATCCATCTTTAGTTTAGGAATGGCCTTTTCAGCCACATGCGACATTTCAGAAAGGCGAAAACTTGTCTTGACGATGTCGAAGCTGAGTTCTTGTCTGATATCGCCTTTCATGTTAAGAAGCAATTTCTCCACCGAGTCTAAACTGTATGTACTGTCGCAATTAAAAAGAAAGACACGTTTGCGACATTCTGTCCTCGCGTTCTGATGTGGTTCATCATCAATTGCGTCTGAAATACTTCGCTCTAATTCGTTCTGTTCATCCATGTTAACCGCTGTTTACCGTGAAAATGAAAATGTCGTTGTTTCTGAGAAAAATGCATGACGGTAAATAGAACGTCACGCGAACAGACAGGAAGTGCGTGACACCGAGCGGTTTGGTTTCCTTCAGTTCGCGTAAACGGTGGCATTAACTAATTTTGTTCGTTGCGAGTGATTTATCTCAAGCAGGAAGTTAGTGAGTTAACATTTTATTGTTACAGAAGAAAGCGAACGGACAATCTGGTTGAGATACAAACCACCTATTCTGTCGAATCGTCTCAATTTTGTTGGATGTTCGATGACATAATTTTGGAAATTACTTTCTACACGACAAACCAAAAGGCAACCTAAATTTCTCAGTTATTCCAACTACTGTTGTGTTGCATAAAACTTAGCATGGTTTGTCCAAAAGTTGTTTCGATCTATTTCAAATTTTGAACAACGAATCTTGCCCGAACTAGCCTGAATTCTGATTTCGTGGTTGGAAACGTTTGTTCAACCCCTGAGTGCTCTTCAAGTGTATCGCCAATCTCCGAGCTCTGTTGATTGCTTTTATGCAAGGGAAATCCAATGTATTTTCTAGAATGGTTGAAGCCTTTATTAAATATAACAAAAAAATCATAAATGAAGAAAAAAAGAAATATTGCCCGAAATGTGTAACAAACGTGCACATTTTACGATTTGATTGATTACTAAACTGTGATAAATGTGATCAATCAAATCTAAATAATCACTTACTTACAAAAGTTTTCTTAAAAATTCAGTTCTTACATGAGGGACAACCTAATTATGGCTTCGGTCACGTAAACGGTAACGGAATCTCTTTATGTTAGTGAAGGAAAGGGATTTTTGTGGTGATCGGGCTCATTTTTACCCTCCAAAATTTCGATATGGGAGACATAATAGAACAAGACGCTGTTGAAAGCGTTAACTTGAGCTTGCTTGAGGAGTATATAAGTAGTAAAGAGCGAGTTATTTTTTCGGTGGTATGCGTGTAGGTATTGGAACCATTGCAGTCATGAGGTAAAGGGTGCCAGTTACTGAAACCAGTTACTGGGACCCAATGGCGAAAAGAAAAAATTGATAAAGTACTCAAGTTCAGAAAAACGTGCTAAATGTAATAATCATAAGGGCTGAAGTCACATAAATAAACAAATTATGTATACCGAATAACAAATCAGGTAAATCGTTGATAGGCTAAATGCTGGCTCTTTGTGAAAATCATCGGTGCATACAATTTGAGCATGACCAAACAAACAAAGGAACTTCTTACTCGGAACTCCATATGTGCTTTACGCTTGAGTCAACCCTTTCCCTTTTTATTTTGTTTTCATAACTAGATTTCCCGCGAAACATAATTCACGCATATTATAATTCGCACAATTTTCATCCAATAAATCCGATCATTCTTCCATGCTTATACTACTGGTATCAAAGATTCCAATTTTCAAGTCATACATGTAAATGAGCATCGTCTTAGCTCTGCTCCGATTGGTTTCTAGTAATAGAGAAACAAATATTCCGCGAAAACTATTTCTATATATAACTTTATAAAAACCTTTAACCCCACATAATTCAGTCATTCCATATACATTTTGAAAGTATTGTACTACGTAGTGCTTAGATGATATGTCTAACAGTACACAAGTTCCTTGAGAATGACTCTTACCATAAATATCTCTAGCATGAGTGTCAAACACTTTAAAATGTTCATTATTAGGGGAGTAAACAAAAGCAATTGTTGCCAAAATAAATGATCTGTATTTCTCTGATTTCAATGACTCAAAAGCTCTTTTAAAGCCTACACAGTACTCATATCCCTTAAATGTCCTCAATGGTGACCTCGCCATGAACTCTACCACTATAGCTTTCACTGTATTCCAGTTGGTAATTATCTTCTGATATGAGAGCATTGTTGGTAATTCAGTTAGCAGTAAATACGATTGTCTCGCTAGTTGTGACAAGCTACTGTAACGTTCATTTCCAACATGTATTACTTGTTCTAAGTCACTAGGGTTACTTATTCCTTTCATGTTATGATATATTCAAGCGCACAAACTCATTCCAACATAATGTTGTCCTTTACAGTGTGCATTTTCTCCAAATACAAAAACATATCTGCCAGACTATGTGGTGCTTTTATTGTTTTACCGAGATTATACCGGGAATTTCTTATTCACAGATATTTTTTAAATTAAATGTTTACAAACGCGGCACGAGACATCTTCCCCCCAATTGAAGGAAACAAAATATAACGAATAACATCAGATAATCTAAAATGACAGATGAGGCAGGAAATGAACCAAGCTACAGATGTCAAACAATGAAACTGATCTTCGATTAGCCGCCATGCAAACAGCTTTGAGCACTTATTATCAAAAGCACAAGACAGAATTAATATTACGTAAATGTATTCCTTAAAACCCATGTTTAATAGAACATCCTTACACTTTACAAAAAATCTACAGTCTACTTTACCCAGCTATAATTTGAAGATTTGGTCTCAAACGTTTGAAAATGACCATGCTCGTACACAGTAGTCCTTATTTACGTAGTTTTCTTGATGACCCTTTATGTAGATCATGTTACGGTAGACTTTAGAGATGCTTTTCATTCAAAATTGATCATACTCATATTGTATGCACCGATGATTTTAACTGCATAGAGCGAGCATTTAGCCTACTAACGATTTACCTGATTTATGATTCGGTCGACGATATGAGTAAGCCGTCTCGTAGCTCAATTATGTACTAGCTTGCTGAATGCAAGGAAATCGCAATTCCTCGTCGGATGTTGAACCTATTCTCGCCAAACAAAAATATACGTCTTAGCCATGTCTAGGTTGAGTTCTTATCTAATACCGCCTCCATGTCGAGGCAGTTTCTCCACCGGGTAAAAACTGTACGTTTGGTCGCAGTTAAAAAGTAGGACACGTTTGCGACAACCTATCGTCGTTTGCGACATCGCTCTATTTCGCTCTGTCTATCCATGTTTAACAGCTATTTTCTGTGAAACCGGAATAACGTTGTTTCTGAGAAAAATACATGCCGGTAAACAGAACGTCACGCAAACAGACAGGAGGTGCGTGACACCGAGCGGCTTGGTTTCCTTAAGAAGGCTCTCTTCCGCTCACAAGACGGTGGCGACAATTAACTTTGTTTATTCCGTGTGATTTATCTCTAGCCGATACTTATTTATTTATTAAGGTACTTTTAGAAAGAAATGCCAGCCAGTGGAAAGTCATTGAAACGTCAAACTTCCAGACAGGGAGGAAACTATTTCTGAGAAATAAGTCCTTAGTCGTAACGTAATAGCGTACTATCTCATCATTTCAGACGATGCTTATCATAAATTCACGGCCACCAAATAAATTGAAGCTAGTGAATTGTACTATATGATCGATGAACTGATTTGGATAATTTTTTTTTGAAAAATCATCAGCGGACCTGTCAATTTCCCGAGGATCGAGTTCTACCATAAATCTTACTACAGTTTTCCCGACATTGAAGCACTAAAGAAGGTCTGAAGCGAATATTTAGCTGAGATTGCAAACTTCGCTGATAACCTTCTAGTGTCGCCGACGTCGGCAAATGCAGATAATTTTCTCCTTAGTTAGGGAAATGATCTTTAAATGTCTTATTCACTATCTACGTTATGTACAACAAAGCAATCTGAGCTAAACTAGAAACGAACGGCCGGAGATCTGGGGTCAACTACGTCATTTCCTAGAATCAAAGTCCCACGAAAAGCGTAAAGCGTTGTATCCTGCAGTCAGTTTAGAAGAGAAAGAGTGTTGCAAAATCGTCTCCTATTTCAAAATGGGAAGTGAAGAGTCAAAAATTGTGAGTATATGTAAATTTGATTCTAAAGACTTAACTTTAGTAATGATGCATGGGAATTGCCATGGAAGCAGGCAATGCGCCAATTCCAATTACTTTCGAATTCCTTGCGGCGCTTCGAATAAACATTCAATTGATGTTGAAGTTCGCCTTGTTTCCTTTAACAAAACATCAGCTGAGGAGTACGGTTACAAAGATGATGAATCCAAAAACTTCAACATCAATCGCAAGACATTATCGTTATTCCATGGCCACAATGAATTTTCTATTGTCGCTACCTCAAGACATATTAAAGGCGACTTCCGTGAACTTTCTAAGAAAAAACACCTCTGTCAATGTGCTATACTATCAAAAATTGGATCAAAAAATCGATGGGTTTCCTTTCTTCTGAGATGGTAATTGCCGCCGCTCATGAAAACAGCCCCTTGAAGCGAACAGATACAACTTGTCACCGGAACAGGGATTTTAATTCAAGTTTGATAACACATCAACAAAGTAAGCCTCTCTCTCATTCACAAAAGTTTTCAGTAATACACAAGTCTAGAACAAGTCAATTTTAATTTGATACTGACGTATCCTTCCCAATATCTTCCCAGAACAAATAGATGCGGTAGTATTATCTTAGCAAGGAGATTGCCCAGGAACACTAACCTGTTTTCGTTGAAAATTTTCACATATTTAGAGATCCTAACAAGTTTCTATGATGTTTTGCATATTTACTTATTTTGTTTTACTTCAATAAGGAATACTCAGGAACAGACAGCGTGGATCCGAAAGTGCGCGAACAAGGTCGGCTCAGAGCCCAAGAGGAGCACGAGAGGAAAATGAAAATGTTGCAAGATGAGTTAGAGAGACTGCGTTTGCAAGCGTTGCGTGACGCCGAAGAAATTACTAGAATTGAAGACGAAGAACAAAGAGAGAATTTGGATGTCCAACGACGCGAAGCAGAGAGGTTAGCGAGAGAACTAAAGGAAGAGGAAAAAATGCTCAAATTAAAAGAAACACTGATGAATTACGACTTTCAATGTCGCCCACTTATCAGGAAAGAAGCCTTCCTTGATTTGCAGGTAGACGACATTGAATTAATCCGCATTGCCTTAATCGGGCCAGCAGGTTCCGGAAAGACCAGTTTCATAGGTAAGAATAAAGTTTATTCAGGCAGAATGAGAAGTGCTTTGTTTCATCTTTCATATTGCGATACGTCCAGCCAGGTTCTTGACCAGGATTTTCAGGCCTTTCAGTTAACTGTTATTGTTAATTAAAAGTAAACTGGATGTCTTACACTTCACTTCATAGTAAAACTTACAGCGTTGGAAGTTTTAACTCACGATGACTTCGTGATGCGTTACAACATTACTTTTTTTGTGTCAATTTTCAATGCTTTTGTTTTATTTTGATTTTGGTTTGTTTATTTGCTTTCAAGTAGAGCTCACAGAGTTGGATGCGAAATATAGTAATTATTATCTGTACGTATTCATCCCCAATTCCATCTTCTTATCAAAATTTTTACCAGGAACACTACAGCGAGCCATCGGAGAAACTCAAAGCGCTTTCGAACATGGACTTGGAGGAGAAGGTACTATTCTGCTCCATGAATATTACGTGCAAAAATATATTCGGATGCTAGACACGAGGGGATTTTTCGCTCAGGACGAAAAGCTTGTGGATGAATGCCTGGACATCCTGACAGGAAGGTAAATAAACGTAATTTTATAATCCTGCAGCGGGGAAACGTGTGAAAAGCTTGGCTCCGATGAAAATCGAAGACAAAGCATAACATTTATATAAGATATGTCAAATACTTTAGTCCGCACGCGGTTGGTCTAAGCGCGTTCCACGACCGAATTTGCCCCAGCTACAAGGGGAAAATACCAACCGATAATATAAGTCTTCTTTTGAAATTTCATTCAAGATGGAAAGCGTTATGCTGTTGTTAAAGAAGCAAGGTCACGCTTGTACTTCCGTGAACATCATATGCTCCTAACTGAGCTTCGCTCTCCGAAAACTGCTTACATCTCGGATCGAACACTGAACCTCCGCAGACAAATATCCGAGATGTAGGCTATTGTTAAAACATGAGACATCAACACTGCAAACCATTAAAATCCTACCCATTACAATTTCCCCAAATGTGATTGGTGCACTGACTGCTTAATTTTTCACTAACCATTTTGTAGAGTTGTAATCGGACAGTATAATCGGATACTTGACTATAAGCGGACACCTGTAATCGGACAGTTGAAAGAGCCAATCATACTTAGTCCACTCAGCTAAATCCACCAATCACAGAATTGATCACAATAACCATAGCAACAAGTACTTATCCTGGGGAAAAACTGGGGAATTTCCACAATGGAAAAATATTTACCTTGAGATATTGTTTCTATTGGAGATATTTGCTCTAGATGTATTTTTTTTTCGAAAATTGTACTGGTTATGATTAATCGGTAACAGGACTTCGTGTCGTGCAATTCTGTCCGTAATCATACTCGTGATTAACGAATCGGACTCCCGCTTCACGGTCGTCCGATTTTGTTGATCACTCGTTTGATTACAGACCGAATTGGACTCCATTCAGTCCTATTACCATTATTTATCACGCAATGCTTTGGAATGAATGATCATGACGATGAAAAAGAATAAACAGTCAATATATTTGGTGCGCGGTTTGGCCAAACATTTCTCAACTAAATCTAAATTCGGGCTTAAACGAAACAGCTGTGGAAACAGTACATAAGCAACTAAATCTTGACCCCCTTTCCTCTGAAATATCAACCCCTCTTTCTGTCTGTGAAAAACTCAATGCAAATGCGGTTATATGCACATACTGGAAATTTTTTCAGTTTGAATGCTGCATGATCAACTACATTTTTTTTTTATCTCCGATTCTCATTCATGGAATTGCCAAACAACCTGCGCTATTGCAGCCTCGAAGGGAAGTTTCGTAAGGGCCCTTAGGTTGCAAAAGTTATATGTGCAAGTTTCCTAAAATTAAATCCTGTGTTGATTCATTTGTGAACAGAATTCGCCCTGGAGAGGAAATTGAGAGAGAACACGAAAAATCTGAAAATCGCTCTAGCGATGGAGGGCAGGACCCGATGAAGACAACAAAGAAGACTTCTCCGCTCTCTAAATGCGTACACGCTGTAATTTTTGTCGTAAAAGGAAACGACCGTCGACTGGAAAAAGGCATTTACACTGAGCCGCTTAGGAAAATCCGGGCTCACTTTCAAAGAAATGGTAGGAGCTCATACAATCATATAATCAGATTATGAAAGCAAAATTTTAATAATAATTCATTACGTAACTTTATGGCAATTATCATGTTTAGTAGAAGTGTCTTGTCGGAGAGGACTGGGGAAAATCACCGGTAGAAACTGTGCAACTGCAATATATGTGAGGTGCCCCCTCGCGTTGTGCATGGTTTTGTCCAAAAAATAATAATAATTAAAAACAAAACAAAGCAATCTGTCAGCCTTCTCCGCTGACTCAGTCATTATCTACCAGTAGTTTTGTGCAAATTTATAGTGAAGTGCATGTATTTACAAATTCAGACAAACAACGCAATTAGTGCTTGCCACCAAGAAATGTTTGGACAAAATTGTAAAATTGTTTTTGCAAGTATGTCATTTTGGTGTTATTAATTTGGGCACCTTTTTGAAAAGGTAATAGCGAAAGTAAAATGTTTCAATGATTTGCTTGCATTTTAGCTCACCTAGTTAGTCTGTCATGCTACGACCAAAGATTGAGGGTACTTCTGAGACAAACAGGGTAGGAACTTTGATTAATTTGCTATTTTGCACGTGACATAGATGCATCACACCTCATTTCATCTATACCAGGTCACGCTCCTGTAACCGTAATCACGTGTCTGGACAAACTGAAAACTGAAGAGGACCAAAGAGATGCGTGTTACTTGGCAGCTAGGGTAACTGGCGGTCCAGGAGAAAGAACTCACCTCATTTCTAACTATACAAAAGAAAATAACTGCAGGAGTCTTGCAGTAGAAAGAAGCGCTCTTGACATTTTGGAGTCTGCCTTAATTTCTGCTGAAAGCTTCATACGAGTACACAAGCAGAAAGAGAAAAATCAGATAGAAAGGGAAATAATGGCCTCAGGTACTAAACTAATGCCTACAGTAGCCAGGAGGTCTGTATCGGGAAAAACTGTGCCCTCTGTCTTAAGCACCGCCCAAGGCCTCAAGACCTCGGCCACAGTTTATCCCAATGAAGACCGACCTAGGCTGGTGAACCAATCAGATTGCAGGATTTCAGAGTTCGTTACTGAACCCTCTGATAAAAAGTAAACAGTTATATCCAGCACTCATGAAGAAAATGGCTTTCATGTTTCCTTTCACAATGCGAAAATATATCTTCATGAGACTATTCCCGCGTCAATTAAATTTGTAACTGGGCGAGCAATGTTTGAAAACAGCGTCTCAATCACACCAAGGTGAAACAAACCTATCTGTTTCCCGTTGAAAGAGACATGTAATGGGTTGTTATACGTTCTTAGGATGGGATCAACCATTAAACAAACAAGCAATCACATTGAAGAGGTAAAGTGAAAACCGCTAACAATGACTAAAACAACAACCATTGCTTTCACTTACTCTCTCTCATATCATTGTTGGGTTTTGCATAGAGGTTTAATAAGCACACACTAATTTCAACGGGAAGATATGTATTTGAAATGCATAAAATTTCATTACCCAGTGTGCCAAATGAAAATACGCCAATGGTTGTCTACTGTTATTTCCAGCCTACCCTATCCAACTGAATATTTTTAGGAAGAAAATAATAAGATAGCTAGTTGCAATCATTCCACAGAACCAAAAAGTGGAGCAGACAGTGTTGAGAGGTTCTTTGCCCGTCTCATGCAAAAGCACCACTGGACCGAACAAGGGAAAGTAAATTCTGTACTTGACCACCTGAGAAGACAGGAAATCAACACTGTCATGGTCCTTAAGGAAATGTGGGAAGAAGTCAAGTCGGACCTGCCATTGTCAATGGGCATGAAGAAAGTTTTAGAACAGGAGATGGGACGTATTTAAAGTACAACTTTAACAAAAGAGCCAAACGTACTTATTTTATCTTTTGTTAAGCGATAAAATTGAGGCACATAGGTAGGTAGATAATCTTTATTTACCCACGGACAATTCATCAGCCATAAAAACATTCAAACATATAAACATGCATTAAATGGATAAGATACGATAAAAACTATACTTAAAGCACAAACCTAACTAAAGCTGCTTTCCAAGAATGCCGTGCCTGAACGTACTTCTTTAATTAAACGCTTTAATAACCCAAGGGACTCTGCTTGTCTTATGTCACGGGGAAGTCTAATCCAAAGAGTGGTGCCACTATAGCTAAAGATATTTTTGTAATAGTTTGTGCGCGGCAAAGGAACATTAAGCTTATTACATCTTATTTAGAAGCACTATAAGAGCTTCGTTACTTTGGTGTTGGGAATATAAATGGAAATAACATATTGGCAAAAACCACTCAGTTAACAAAAATATTGTAAGCAGTTGATAATTTCCTATTTCAATGACGCTTTTACTTTGTAAGTAGAGTAATTGTTACCTTTTCTTTCTGAGAGAAACTATTCCATTTAAATCTACAAAAGTTTGTACTAAGCTGTTAGTGATTGAAGCATATTAGCCAATCGCGAGTTCGACATGAAAGCGGATGTACAATTCTACGGTGATTAAAACTCGGCGTGAGGTATTTCAATTATCTTGCGGTAAGATATATTTTAATTAAGATATCTGCTTGATGAATAAGAGAGTAATTTGATCTGGAAAAAGTTAATCTCGTACCGGAATTCTTGGAAATTGCTACTTTTTACACTTTTGGTTCTTTTCAGGCTCGTTTTTTAGTTCAATTTCATGTCGAGTTCTCAGTCAAGAAAACACATCTCAATTTAACACTTCTTTCTTTAAGGAGATGAAGATGTATACAACTTGTACCTATCATCTTCCGCACTGAATCTATTATCAATTGACTCATATGAACGGCAAATAGTTCTCTTAGGGGCCGTACTTGGGGTAAGCCTTTTCTTCCTCGTATTCCTTGTTTATTCTGTTGTTATGTAACAAACTTCGAGGGTTATTATCAGCTTTGCTGAAAGCAATGAATGAGGTACTGTGGTGAAGCAGATGTTGACGGATGTTGTCGACCGTGAACGGAAGTTATCTAACGTGGACGGAAATTGTATTCCGTAGACGGAAGTTGCATTGTGGACCGTGAACGGAAGTAGTCTCGCATGCTACCCCTCGCCCCCCCGCCCCCCCAGAAACTCAGGTGGGAAGAAATAAAATATTTGTATGGCTTAATAAAAATGACAACCTTAAATCACATTTCCGAACTTCTCAAAATGCAATTCGAATCAAGAAGCCGAAATGTTCACACCTGGGTAGCCCGTAGTGGGTTCACTTTAACACATGCTGTGATCACGCACAGGAGCATCAGGGGCAGCAATATTGGTAAGCCACGCATCTGCGTTCGTCCTCAGTTGGTATAAAGTAATCATTGTTCTATCATTGTGCTTGTCCTCGGGAGCTCTTCAACATACAGTCTCACTAAATTTTTTTTTCGAGCTCCGATATTTCGGTCCGGACTTCAGGCTCGCTCGAACATAACCAGCGATACCAATCTGGTCAGTACAAAATGCAGACTGCAGACTGCAGACCGGGTACATAATGCAGACTAGGCTCAAAATGCAGACTGAGAATTTATACTGTTTTTTCGTCTGATACGTGATAACATTTCATCTTACAACTAACCGAGCGTCACGCAATGCTTTTCCGCGACCATCTTTCACTATTATTTGCACTATTGTGGAATATTCCTTGCCTGTTTCTTTATCACAATCGTTCTTAATATAATTTCAAGCTTTCACGCAGTCTTCTCACTTTGCGCGCGAGTTGGTTGGTGTGATGTCTGTACAGAATTTACCAAATTAATAAAAGTGGTTGCAGATGTAAATTGAATATTTATCACATAAACTCCGGTGTTGTACAAGGTTGTCTGGCCCGGAGAAAAGCCGTAACAACATGCGTGAAAAAATATCGTATTTTTCCACGTGTGTTGATATAGCCAATCAGCTGCTTACACGTCACTTGCCTTTGGCGCCATCCGGTCAGGTTGATGAATGAACGGCCAAGCCTTCATGATTCTCAATACGAGTTGTTTGTCGGAGCTTTCTCAAATTATGGCGTCTAAAACAATAAAAAATCCGTATCGTTGATAGACGGTGAGGTTCAAACTTTCCTAGAAGGGGAATAAAACCAATATATTAAAAGAAAAACCGAAATTTGTGTATTCCGTGGCTTTGGTGTTAGCATTTCTTTCGGCTGAGAATGAAAATCGACAACAGGAAGATTTGCTTCTGGCCGATCTTGGCCGTTTACCTGAAGACCTTCATCTATCGGTAAGGACAAAGTCAATAAATGAGAATTTTGTAAATTGAAAATTACGACCATTTTTGTTTTTGTAGTCATGATTCAACGCATTTTTCCATCTTAAGAGTCAACACCAACGCACTCTACGATTGTTATTCGAGGATTGTCGACTCATTTATTTTCATTCATTAATGAAATCGACTTTTCTTCCCAGTAAAGGGCTATTGTGTTTATATGATAACAAAATAATACATGGTTGCTTGAAGATATGGAATTTCTCTTCTCGTGTTCAACTCGACATCTCACTCGTTCGCTGCGCTCTGCAACACTCGAAGAGAAATTCCATATCCACGCGCGCCCATGTATTATTCTCTATTTTAAACGCGCAATATTCGAGAAACAGTTGACAGCTTTGCACGTGGTCCATACGTTTCATCTTTTTAACCGATATGTATTCATTTTGTTGACCAAAATGCGGACCAAGACCAAAACTGTTCACGGGTGTACACGCACTGATTTTCACATGTGTTCCTTATATTGTTATTGGCTTACATGAGGAACTGGCGATTTTGATAGGGAAAAGCGAAGTGTTGCTTTCGTGACTGGTCATTTATTTACTTTTCTGGTGGTTTTATTTTTCATTTGTTCGGTGACTACGCAAATATCAATTTGTGAAAATCAGACTACATGAAGGCTTGAAATACTATTAAGAATGATTGGGGTCGCTTTGTTTAAAACAAAAGATATCATGAAACGGGCAAGGAATATTTCACAATAGTGCAAATGATCGTGAAAGATGAGGGTTATTAATATTTTGCTTCTAGAGCAACATTTGATGCCTGATTATACCCACCCAGTCCACCCTCCGCCCCACAAACACACCCACACACACCGACAAAAAGGATACCGTCTGCCTAATGACCCCTGCCCATCCCACCTCCAGCCCACACAACTTTTTTTCTAATTCCCATCACGACGAATACACAAGTTTTGTTATCACACAACTACCAAAAAATAAAATAAAATTTATTCCATAATTCTTGAAAGTTCACATAAACCGTAGTCAACCGTACCTATAATCAACAAGTCCAAGAAATCAATACAAACTTAAGCCATAACATGAATAAGCTGGCTTCAAGTGCCCTTTGATCTTCTCTTTAGCTATCTTTTTAATTGAAATTCTAATCCACGCAACGGTTTCTTTATCATGTTCATGTTCTGTGGGCCTGCCTATACTAGGGGCAATTCGCGAATGAAGCTCAAAAATCAGATATTGCATAATTTGGCGATATTTACATCTAATGTTTTTAACAACAAATGTTTCAGACAAATGAAACATACAAGGCTTTGAAAGAATGTTATCTTATGAGCAATATCCCGAAGAGAAATCTCGCCTCTGGTTGTCATCTTTTAAAAAAACAATTGATCAACCTTCATGGAGGACTACTCGACGTAACTACAAACATATACCTCAAGTCGTGTGCGTATCATCCAGATTCCGAGTGCTGCACTTGTTCTCAAATTAGTTTGTATTATGTGATCTAGCTTTTCAAGGGCCCACCTGAGAAAACTATCTTTCCGGGTGAGTTCTCTTGTAAATAAAAGTAGCTTTCAATATTTGTGGGATTTCAAGAATGTGCCCAAGAAAGTCTCAACAAATTAAGGGGAAGTCATCAATGTTTAAAATTTAACAAACTATTGAAATGCAAGCGCACAAACAATTGGAGACCAATAATCTAAAGGAGGGTATAGTCACTACGCTTTGCGCATGCGTAAGTTACTGGCCATGTTACTGCTCCGTCCGTTTCATTTCTTTGCACATGCTAAGTTACTGGCTGCGTTACTGTTCCATCCGTTTCGCTTCGCTGAAAATGTGTTGAGCTCCATGCGTACGAAACTTTACTCCAAAGATTGCTTGAATACTGGAGTATATGTCATTTCTGTCATAAGCTTGTATCCCTTATGAATCCTTACATATATTTGAAAAAAGATTTCCAAGAAAACAAAGTTGTTCACACGTTACTACATATCCAGAAGGATGGAATTCCAAGCACAACCCTTTATTGTTGGTGAATCTGCGTGCTGTGTCGGAAACCCCTTGAAATCAGACTGCCTCTAGCGTTCAGATAAAGTTAGAAGGGATTCTTTGCGGGGGAAATACTGGTGATCACACCACAACAAGTCAACAGCACAAATGATAAACACTCCAAAAGGTTTATTTTTTGGAAACTACATCAAAAGTCTAATTCATTTCAGATATGCGTAATATCTCAAAAGCTTTCCTCAAAGAGGCAAGAAATGAATTATTTTTTTCTCTAGAAGATCAACCAAGCCTTAGTTCGCTTTCAAACGTAAACCGCTGTGACCGATGGCAAGCGCTTATTTAATCATGATTTTGAGAACTGAGTGCAACCATTGAAATGCAAACGTTACTTAATTAAAAATCTGTGAATAGCTTCATTCATTGCCTCAGAGAACAACATTACTCGAATTTCGCGCTTCATGTAACTTTTGGTACTTAAGTAAGTATCTCTAATATACGATTAGTTTACCTTTACATTTAAAACATCAGATTCATCAGACATTAACTGTATTGAAATACTACGAGGTAAGAATCTGAATTTCATCGACGCAATAACTTTCCAAAGAAGTATATTTCGCTTTGAAACTTCTAGGTCCTTTCATTAACTTTATAGCCAACAAAAATGAATCAGAAATTCTTAAAGCAGTGATACTCCATCTCCACTATGTCATTTTACTTAAATGGATATACCAGTCCTTTACCAAACATTACCCAAATCTTACTATATCGAGTACTCTATAAAACGCCTTGAGCAAGTTTTCCTTATATCACAAATTATAACCATTACAATTTCTTCGAATGTGATTGGTGGATGAACTCCTTTATTTCTTACTAATAAATCTGTAGAGTTGTACTTGGACAGTGTGATCGATCAAATTAGTATACTCAAATCAATCCATCGATCACTGAATTGATTCGAATAACCATGGCAATGGCTTACCATCCCAAGCTGGAGACACTATGTTTAGAGCTTTTCAATGTTCCTCTCCATGAGGTAATGTGTTTCAAAATAAGAATAACGAGCCCCTCTTTCAATTAATCCACTTTATTTTTCTCGGAAATTGCAATGGTTAGGATTACTTGGCAACAAGACTAAGTGTCGTCTAATTCGGTCCGTGATCATATCTGTGATAAACAAAGCGGAGTCCCGCTTTGCGGTGGTTCAATTTTGTTAATCTCGCGTACGACTAACGATGACCGAATAGCAATGGGCAAATGGTTGGCAGTCCTATGTCTAACAGACAAGGCATAGAACCGAACGAAAAACTCCTCAAAAGTATAATACATAAAGCTAAAGTCCCTAATATTACCAAGTGTATCAGTTCTAAAGCCTTCTAGCGGATCCCCAGCATAATAATGAGGGGTTTTAAACCTCACTTCCTAGTTTTTTTTTCTGTTTTTTTTTTCTTTTTGGGCGAAGCAAAGATATAAGCCCAAACATTCAGGCATATAGGGTCCTTGAAGAACTCAGAATGACCGTTACCTAAAATCAACAATACGCTGAGGTCAGACAATCCTCCTACAAAAGATCAGCCAACATAGGAAGGTCACGTTCATTCAACAATTCGTACAGCTCACCCACGCTTACGAAGCGCTGTCTGGTTATAAAAGATAAAGCTGCTTCCATTGGGTTCAGTGTACGCTTGTCAAGAAAACGAATCTCTGATGGAGTCAGTCCAAGTCCTTCAGCAAGCTCCATCCACTCATCGCCACCTAAATCAAAGGGGTTTTTTATCTGTTTGTTTGCTTGATTCTTTTTATGTTCTTATAACAATATTCCGAATACGTATCAAGAATTATAAATTGCATAAATAATATTTTTTTCAACCAAATGTGACCTGATCAGGTGAACGCACGGGCAAGGTAAAATGGCACCCTAAACAATAGGCAGTGCGTGGTGGCTTCAGAGCGGCGTGTCCGATGGCAAGACTTCGTAAAAATTTTTCCTTTGTAGAAAGAGCACGACAAAAATAAAGGTGCGCGTCAACAAGAACAATACGCAGTTTAAGTTAGCGAAAAGGCACGGCAGCGAGTGAAATGGCACCCAGTTAAAGTGAGCAAAATGACACACTAACTGTGTCCGCCTATGAATAACTATGATAAACAGCCTTTGAAGATACATAAAAGATTTTCAATTAAGTCTATTGTAAAAAGAAGTGTAAACTTGGAATTTAATTTTAGAACTGACATTTCAAATTAAAAATGCACATGAATTAAAATATAGTTGTGCTTGCAAGAAATTTCTTCCAAAACTATTTGTGAAATAAATAGCAAAGCTTACCAGCTAAGCTGATTGTAAGGTCCCTCGCTTTAATGATTGGCATGTCTTGAACAGGAAGGTTTTCAGGAAGTAAAGGACCTAATAATGGAAAAAGAAACCTTTTGTTAATATAGGAAGATAAATAGTTGAAAAATCATCAGAAATATACATGAAAATTTGTTTTAGCGTAAACAAACACCTTGAACCCACTACTAGTCAGTCTTTCTTTGGGACACGGCTAGTAAGTCTGCTAACGCATAATAAAGAGACATCAAAAAATGTAGTTCGTCAGGTCAAACATCCGCTTCAAATCAAAAATTTGTAAGAGTTTATGTTTTCTTCGTGATTTTGATTTGATTTCTGCAGCACTCTCACGTATCCCATAGTTTCATGGCAAGATAGGTTTCGCGAGATAGGTAACTAACCAGTAGTTCCAGCCGGTGCAATCTCTCTTAAATGTTCGAAGACATCAAGCCTCTTTAAATCTTTTGCTTTCTGTGCCAGACTACGGATTATTTTCTTAGTGTCATGGTCTGGCCTTTCAAGAACGTCTTTGTTTAATTGCAGGTTCTCCTTCAGTTGATGAACAATCTCTTTGGCGTCGCACGACGCTGACAGGAGGGATTGTTCAACATTATCAGGTAGGCAAATTTCGGTGGTTGCTTAGAAAAAACAAAAGGAAAAGATCAGTCATAAATCAATGATAATTAAATATAAGTTTTCACAGCATACGTTCTTCGGAAATTATTGACGACTGCTTCGGAGATTTTCAGCACATTAGTAATTACACAATATCCCAACACGATATCAGCAAAGTTACACGAATATAGCTTAGAACCTTTCCATATCATTTATTCGTATTATGCTTGAATAAAATAGCGAATATTTTTAGCTGTTATATTCATATAAAAAAAAATCCCAAAGGGGAAGTATGAGATGCACTCACCGGTAGTTTTACCCAGATTAGGCAACATTTCACCACTTTTGGACTCAAAGTCCGGGGTATCAGGACAGGCTCCCTCCAGCTGCAGACTCCCCTTTAATTGCGGCGAAATAGTTTGGTCGTCTCGCTGTTGTGTTAAACGGATTTGTAGAACCTCGTCGGCAGAAAAAGTTTCCTCATCGTCTTAAAACAAATAAAAGATGACAATTTCTTAGCCATGCACTATTTGCTTCTTCTGGTATGTCAAATGAAATGTATTTTTCAAACAAAATGAATTTTTTTCTCTTTCCGTTATCTAGAGAGAACCACCAAAAAACTTATACAGTAATGTTACCTTCAACTGACGCTAAGTTTCCGCCATCACATTTATCAATAGTCAGCTGTTGGAAAGAAAGAAGGAGAATTAAACATCATCATGGAAATGCAACATTTCTGAACTGTTGTACGCTTAATGAGGAACATTTTGCTTGATATTCATTACAATAGTTACCTTAGGCAAGTGTGATAGGGTGATTACTTGGCTTACTTTAAGGAAACAAAGCATATTTCAGATCTCTAACTGTTACAACTGAACCCAACCACAAGTGCCTTTATCATCTCTATGGACCCGACTTCTGCCGCTTTCAGTAAGCGTTCGTGGTCTCATCTCATCTTTTGATGACAAATACAACGTTTCCAAGTTTTCTGTTAATCTTTACAAAAAGGAAGTCACCTCCGAAAATGGTCACATGTTATCTACAATTATTTACCTGATTTCTCATAGGAGAAAACCAAGGCTCGAAGTCTTTCACCAACACTCTGTTCATCTTAGCAACTGCAGATCTGGTGCAACCTATGATCTTCTTTCCGCTGCACAACTCTGACTCGGGCCAGAAGTGCAAGCATTCTTCTTGCTTGCAGCCTTTTGAAAGATGTGTGCGGCAGTAGCTGACGACACCTCCTTCACAACAAACAGGGCACAAGAAACTCACTTCATATTTCATATTCTGTAGCCAACAGAATTCCCTTCGCATGGACTCAAGCATCAATTCGAGTTGCCTCAGTACTGCACAAGCAAAGGGGTCATGGTTACTATTTACAGGCGAACTAACCGCAGACTTAGAAGGTTGTGCCACCTCGTCACCGCCATTGCCTCTATGAACAACGACTTCAATTGATGACATATGGCACAGAAGGATTACGGAGCAATTTACTTCTTCAGAACGATAAATTCTGACAAAATTTTGGTATAGCTGAGGTTGCTCTGGGCTGGCACATTCTTGTTTGCACCACTGTAAAACCTGCAGCACCAATCGGGGAAACAAGCCAGGTGGAACTTGTCCAGTCTCAAATTTAAGAAAAAGAGAGGGAATTTCTGCAGATGCAATCAGCTCCATTATTTCTTCTGGTGGGTGTGACATTAACATGGAAGGCACTAGGTACTGCTTACCACGTGAGCCATCCGAAGAAGGCCAAGAGCAAAGTAAACTGAACTTCTCCATGATAGCAATGAGACTTTGGCAAGTATCCTCTTTGCGATATAAAGGACCCCAAACATGTTCTAAAAGAGGTTCCTCCAAGACTCCTTCTTTTTCAAGCCTAAACCAGAGCTCTTTGAATTTTTTCTCCTTGCTGTCAAATGGCCGAATGGTAATAACCTCCTTAAAAACATTGATCAACCACTGAGTGTCCAAGACTACCATTTTACTCAGCTCTAGAGTGTCATCAAAGTGTATTAAAACTCTTTGATCATGCAAAAAATTTAGTAAAGTTCTAAATTCTTCTTCGTCAGAAACGTTACACACCTCCCGAGCAACTTCTTTTGTCTCTTCAAGGGAAATCCACTTGTTACCCTCATCTTTCTTGGCTTGCATTTCTTTTTCAAACTTAAGCCACTTGATTGGAACTGCTTCCTTCATGTGAGGTAGCTCCTTGGCGACGGCACGAATTTCCTGGCGCAGGCGCAAGACTTCTGGACATTCCAGTTCATGGCCAGACTTGGTATTATCCACAACAAAGACATCATGTAGGTGGATCTTGTAAGGTTTGGTCTGTAGGTAACCAAATACCATCCTGCCAAGCTCACGAGGATCTCCTCCATCACAAGGTTTGTCAGCGTGAGTGCAAACTAAAAACACCGGTGGAAGTTCAGGCAACAAGTCAGATTTCATCTTTTTAGAGTTACTTTTGTCCTGAATGGCGAGAGATGCAACAGATGACATCCAAAAATCAAGATAATCGGCATTTGTTTTCAAACGAAAGCTGTCCTGTAATTTCGTGAACATTCCTTGCTTCATAACTGATTTTGCTTTATCGTGCAGGTGCCGGCTGAGGTCATTCACCAAAATGTATATTGCCCTCGACGTAAGGAAGAGTGGGTGGGTATTGTAGTAAACTGTCTGTCCGCCAAAATCCCACAAAACGGAATATATATCCTCTTCGCGTTCTAAGTCATTATCATCTCGCAAGAAAGCTTCAACTAAACTTGCAACATCATCTGGCACAGTTCGGATATCGCCAGCAGGGCTTTGATTGCTGATTGTGTGATCGTGTGACACAGAGATGGAATCCGAACCCCCAGGTAAGTCTTCACCCTCAGAGTAGGAAACGGAGTCATGGCTGATTGTGTTAGTTGCTACTGAAGCTGCAGGTATGGGATATATGTCCCCTTCAAATTGTGAAGAGCTATCTACCATATTCTCATCTCGTGCACATGATGAAACGATATCTTCGCGCTCGCTTATCTCGACTGATTCCACCGGCACAAGGTGTTCAATCAGATCAGATTCTGGACTCTCTTCTTCGAGAGCGCTTTCTTCCTCACTCAAAGTTTGGACGATCAAGCGCGCTGCATGATGCTCATAAGACCATGCCCTCTCAACATTTCGTTGTTCGTCTTTCTCTCCTGGTTTCCAAATCTCAGTTGACACTTTGAAATGAGAAGGATCAACGTCTATGCCTACGGTGCTATCCTCCTCTGGATTGAATCGCTCTCCTTTGAGAGATTTCGCCAAGCTGGTTTTTCCGGAGCGGTCCTGTCCAATTAACATGATTGGCACGCGTTTGATACATGTCCTCCCCTCTGACAGGGCCTTTTTGTAGGCCCTTAAAGCCAAACTTCCTCGTGCACGAATCTCTCGAGGCACCTCGTCTATTTGTATGTATAACTTTGGATTAACGCACATTTCAAAAAAACGATAAGCCTTACCTTATTCAAGTTACAATGTTACTTTAATTTATTATGGTAAAACACTGGCAAATACCTGAAAATTATTGGAATGAAAAAAAAGTTCATTGATCAAATGTATTGGTAACATAGCTATAATGAACTCGGAACCACTAAGCGGCAAATGGGGTACAAAACATCAAACTTGACACCGTGATCTGAAGAAAGCAATGATGAAGTGATGAATACGCTCAATAAATCTAAGAAAAAATGACTTATCACTGCCAGACTGCTAAAGAAAGAGGCAAAAAAATATATCTGATGCTTGTGCGGAAAGTTTTTACATTGCAAAAGAGATTTCAGTTTCATGGGAATATCTATGGCACAGTTATACTACATGAGATTACGTACCAAAAAAAAATTTGGCCAACAATTCACAAATCTCTTTGAAATTCGGACGTTCCATTAGATCAATATCCCAGCAGTTGCTCATCATACCATAGATGACGGCATTACATCCTATAGGACATTCCATTCGATACCCGCTTTCGATCTTGTCGACTAATTGGTCTGCGGGCTTAAACAAGAACCCAATTAATTTAATTTGAACTCCCATGGAAATAACCTTCAAGCAACCATTGCTAACCACTTGCATTCCAATTTTTACTTTTCTAAATAAATCCATACTAAAAAAAAATACAACAATAAACCTTCCATTTGTCTATTTCTTTGAACTGTTTGGACTTTGAGCTTTGAGCTTTGAACTTACAAGAATGACTTAGATTTTCTTTCCTGTTTCGTCATATTGGGGTTTTGTAACGTCAATTGAAATGCAAATGAAAACAAACTACACGATTCGAAATCAAAAGTTTTAACGTTACCAACTACGAGAAAGCATAATGACCTTTGAAGGTGATCATATCTATTGATCAAACTCAACACTAACCATATCCGAATACGGATTTTCACCAAACGAAAAAAGCACCCATAATAAGACGCCATAACTCCATACATCGGACTGGGAGGAAAATTCCTGCAGATAAAACCAAAACCAACAAATCTGGATTAACTATTCGCTGATACCTGGTTTCCAGTTATGATATGCGCGCTTTGTTTATATGGCAAGATCTTCAAAAGGATAATTGTTATGTGCGACCTAACGTCCGATAGCAAACATATCATGAAACTTTTCTCCGTGACGGACGAAAAGATATCCATCTATATAAAACATTATAAATTATTGCAAGCAAAAAATAAAATGACAACAAAAACAACAACAGAATTATTGATTCAGAACAAATGTATCTTTCGTTATTCTTTAAATTGTGCTACTTGGGCAATTAATCGAAAAGTACGCCGTACCCCCCGCCTGATTGCCTCTGGAGCTGTCCACTTGTCAGAAGTATTTTTCCGCTCAGAGCTTAAAGATGGCACCTGTGCAAGTTCAAACTCTGACACCTAACAGAGAAAGAAAGACGACAAAACACCGATAGCATTCGTGCATATGCAGGAATTCTTGAAAAGTGACCCACACTGCTTCACAATTTTGTGGCTTCGTCTGAGTTGATCAGTTTGAAGCTGTTAGATTACAGAAAGTAAATAAACCATAGCTCTCAAAGCCTCTCTGGGCAGAAGACAACTTCGGTGATCTGACGTTTACATGTAACTTGTGGAGTCTGAACAATGTTTCACTCTGATGATTTTAGATATATGAAATTCATATATTTTCACTGCGGTGAAGAAACGAAATTGAGAGATCCTCGCAGCTAAGAACACTACTGAACTCGTAGTTGAAAATAGGACCTGAAAAAATTCAGGCCTGTACGGGATTTGAACCCATGACCTCTGCGATACCGGTGCAGCGCTCTACCAACGGAGCTATCAAGCCAACTGGATGGTTTATTTGGACCCAACAAATTGACCAGCTCCTAAATGGCTGTTGTGGAAGTCAAGCTATTTCCTCATCTGATATAACAGTATAGCTCCACTTTAGCTGACTTATAACTGACAATACACAATCATACAAAATAAAGGGGGACTGAAAAAGCTGTAACCAACTATGCCCGAGATACTTGTTTTCATATTTGGAAGTTTTATAACCTATTAATAACCCTACTTTTGCTGTTCCATCTTCGTGGATTAGAATATTCCTCGCCATTAACCCCCTAGAGTAAAAATATATAAATATTAAAAAGAGGCGATAGTTAGGATGCGAAGAGCTGCAAATATTGATAGAATATCCCAGTTTATTTGACTCTGAGCAAAACAAAAACTCTTTAGCTCAGAATTTTAATCATTTGGGCTGTAGGTTGTATTACTGGTGAGACGATTCGTAATGTTTCTAAGCACTTTCTCTTCTCGAAGATATCGTTTGCGTATTGCACCATTTCTACTTTAAGTTTCTTAAATGATCAATTCAAAGACAAAACAGTTTTAGTTAGGAGAGTTTTGTTGAGGGTGTAATAAATCAATAAAATTTGGTGTTGAAGGCCACTTGTGATGTTTTGATAGGTTTTCAAAACATCAATTATGCTCATAAATCCTGAAAAGCACTTGGTTCGTTTAATTTCCCGGACTTCTGTTCAATTCAACAAACAGATTTCATGTTGCCCTAAGTCTGTCCAGTTATAGATCACAGATGAAGTCAAAATGTGGCAAGGACGAAAACGTGGCACACAGGCGCATCTGAGTGTGTCATTAATGTTCTTACCACATTTGGACGTCTTCTGTGATCCATTAGAACCACGACAACACAGAATATTTTTGCTTTATACGATACCATGGGAAAATGCTGTTAATGGTGACGTCACCTATTCATCTGTCCTCCAAAAGATCACAAGTGAGAACCAATCAAAATACGTATACGATTCGATTGTGTCTCTTATTTCCCTTTCAACTAAAAATCCAAACTCCCCACAATTTGTCATCATGTGTCATCTTTTCATGCCTCAGTGTTCTAAACATTTGTTGCGAGAAATTTTACCTGTGAACCACATGTTTGGAGTGTAAATACCTCATACCATCAGCTACATCCCTGCGAAACAGGAGGTTTTTATAATTCAATTTTGATGCAAAAAAAACTGAGAGATAATTTTAATTGAAACTTGCCATTGGGCCACTTTCACGAGTAACTTTTTTGCCGTTTAACCCTTTCACCGACATGAGTGACCGAGAGAGAATTTCTCCTCACAGTGTCAATGCGATATTAAGCAGATAAGTGATGAGAATAAAGAAAAATAGCAATTAGAGGATTTCTAGCCGATCCAATGCCTAATTCTCCAAACTAATATCGTAAGAATCGCATGGCAGATAGTAAGGAGAATTACTGATGAGATCTTGGGAGTGAAAGGGTTAATGCATACAGAATAAAGGTCGCTTTGTGGTCTCTCTTGTTCTGCAATTTTGAGTTGACATAAAATCACTTCCCCAAAATAGGTTTTGTTCGCTTGTGTTTTTTTTGTTTTTAGCAAGCTTTCAGAGCAAGACATATAGCTAACACTTAATATTTTCATCTCTGATAAGGAATAAACAGCTACTTTGCTCACCGCAAAGAATCTTTTGTTCTCCGCAAAAAGAGACATTTATTCAAAAAAAGGGAAAAACAAAACAGAAAATAAACAAACAAAACACTATTAGTACAGTTGCGGACACATCAGCCCTTGATTTGATCCTCCACACAGGAAAAGACGCCTTATAATCAAATCATTTGCTCGTGACATTTAGAGTAACCATAGATAGTAAATATGAAAAAATAATAATAATCTAGCCTCTCAATAAATGTTTAGTGAGGTCAATTTCCTTAAGCAGCAAGTCCCACAAGATCATCTTCCTGGAGTGTACCTGTGCCGCTTCTCGACAAGAATTCCAATAAATTTCCCTAGAAAAAAAGGTGGAAAATATTTACCATACTTCAAAGGGAACACTAATCCAAAAATGATAAGTAATATAATCAGATGAAAAAAACCTCAGTTAACTGACTTGATAGCCGGCTCTGTATGGCTTTTGGTCCAATAGCACATTTCATCCTTTCAGAAACATCATATCGGACCTCTCTTTATCATTATTAATAAAAAAGTTCGGATATAACGCGTGCTGTTATTGCTTGAAAGAGCGTGCATTATAAGAGTATAGAGCATAGAGCTGAGCAAAAGCTGTCACGCCATGTGCCAAATTGTATTGCATGTGTACGACCGTTACTGAGACTTCTTGCTAGCTTTTTTTCGATAATTGAAAGTGAAATTTGGGAACAAGCAAGCCGGCAAGTAGCAACAGAAGAACCAAAAAAAATTTTGTAAACATACCAGGCGCCGTAAGTTACGTTATCAAAACGTGAACAGAGGCGAAAATCCTCAAAGGGAAAACAAAATAGAGAGTCCGAGTTTTAAAGGTTTTGACGCTCAGTTAGATTGTAAGCTGACGTACGGTAATAAAAATGAAACACAGCTAACACTCGTACAGTATATAAAGTTTTCTGTTCAAAAACAAAACAGAAGAAAACAGGAATGATGAAAAATATAGTCTAACTGGCATAACTGTTAAAATTCATACTAATCATGACGGTGTCAGAGCGAATATGATCATGCTGAATTCCATCGCGGCTAGCTCATCACGGTGATCTCCGGTCATCACAGTGAAGCAAGCCACAGAAACTACATCGGTCGCCCTTCGAGTGAAAAAATAAGAGCTTGCTGATATCCTATCTGATGTGTTGAGTGGAAAGCCACATCAGTCACTGCAGCCGAGATTTGCGGCGCTGTCATCCCGAGCGATCTTCATGTTCCGGTGAATTCGGCTGTCATTCATTCATAAAACACTCGCCTTGAACAGTTTGTTGTCTACCTTGTCAAGTCAAAAAACTCGCTTGTTTTTATGAGCAATAATTCGGCTAAAGTTCACTGAACATTTCAATTTAAGATTCTGTATCAGAGACTTTTAAGTCTCTAAGTCATTTAGTTTTTAAAAAAACTTCAAGCAAAAGTGTTAAATTCGACCTGCCGAACTACTTTGGTTTGTAAATTATCGCAGAATGTGAACTTTGATGGTTTGTCATTTTTGACAGCTTTTGTCTTGTACAGCCAATCAGATTATTTGAAACATTCTAACAGGGATTCTGATTGGCTTATTGTGGCGTGCTTTATGCGAGTATAGAGCATGCTGACGACACTGTTGTTCGCTTTGGAAATAAAGTTTGTTTTGAAAATTGCGAGTAATGCTGGGGGAATTTCACGGACTCTTTATTATAAAAAAAAACAGAGAAGCCTTGACTGTGCTCTTTTCTATTGTAAAGCACTTAGGAAGCAGCTAGAGCACTCAAGAAGTGGGAAGAAACACAAGACTTAGTCGAGTGTTTCTCCCCACACTTCTTTCGTGCATATTACATCAGCACAACCTTACAAAATTCGGTGCACTATTAAAAGAAGTTAAATTCCCGAAGTCTGTTGATTTTTAACTGTTGTGGACATGTTGCTGAAAGCTCAACTCAACTGGCATGCAACTTTTCGATCAAAAGCAAGTTCTCCCATGGCGTTAAAATGCTTACCTTTGCACAAAACTGTGTCACAAGGTAAAGAGGGTTTTCGGCCGAAGACACACCAAGTATTGTCACAATATTTTTATGTTGTAAATTCCTGCAAAACAAAAAAGACAAGCACAGCTGCCTGTCAGCCTTTCTATTTCTAAACAAAAAGTTAAGAATTAGTTTGATAAACGCCTTAGTTATTAAGTATTTTATCAAGAAAAAGTAACATGAGCAACTGTTCCTTCAAATCTTTCTTTTAAAAGACCATGCGAACTATGAAAAGTTTTGAAATAAAACCTGATCGCCTCCGTATACACAGCCAATGAATATACAAGAACTTCCTTTGATACACTTCCTCACGTTAGTTACCATGACGATATAATTACGTTCTCTTGTAGTAACTTATTTACCTTCACAAGTGGGTGGGGTTACGGAAAAAGGTTCTCAGGACAAGCCAGGTAAGAGATCAACGTGCTTGAAATAATGCACATTGAAGATAACAAACTCGCTAAAGAAGCAAAAAGCCCCAGCGCTACAACAATACAATGCCACGCCTTACTTACGTCATGATGGCAGCCTCTATCAAAAACGCCTGAACATCTTGATATCTCTCTGCTGAATATATTTTCACAGCCACCTTCTGATCCAAGTATTCAGCTTGAAAAATATCTGAGGGGTTAATGAATAATCGATATGAGTCTCCATGTTAAGGTAAATTACCTCAGTTTCCATGCACCTACAGCTAACTGCTCAGTGTTTCATAAGACTCTTTTTAAGATTCAGGTTAGCAGGGTTGAAAGTCATAAAGAACGGCAAAATATTTTTAGTTGTTTTCGGTTCGTTTTTTCAAAGCCGTGTTGCGTGATGAGAATTGTACTTCGGCTAAGATCTTTTCGACGAGGTCCTGAGGATAGCCTCGTTCTATAGGGCGAGTTAAAACTTCTCTCTTTTCTAAAGCAAAAGATTCCTTAACAACGTTTTTTTTTCAGTGAGTGTAGCGCTTCTCCTTTTACAAAACCCTTCTTACCACGGACTCACTTCAGCGAGTATGCATTACTTTTATTGTCGTCAGTGGTGGCCAATGTTTCCTTAAATAACTGATATAGGTAGCAAAACCGGTTTTGGAAACGTACAGCGGCTTTCTTCGTCAGATACTTTGTAGGTGCTCGTGTGGATGCGAGAAAGCTAACGACTTTTTACTCGCAGAAGTAGTCCCTACAAAGCCCAGAAAGGGTGCGCTTCTACGCTTGAAGCTTAAGCAACATTATGTACCCTCACGGCAAATGTCAATCAAATCGAGAGTGATTATTTATACTTACTCCCGAAGTCTCCTCTTCTTATGCAATCCTTGGAATAAAGGCAACTGCGGTCTATTTCCCACCCACCTGAAAATAAAACAAATTTGGTAGAAATTCTACTTTTCGGTTAACCTGTGGCACGTTAATCGCATCCAATGATCTCAAACTGCCCACTCACTACAACTTGAGGTTACGTACCACTTATTAGCGTTAGTGTTTACTTCAACTTATTGCCCAACTGTGTAGAGTACGTATAACCCGCGAATAGAGTACAAATATCACGCAATAATTGGACAGTTTTATATTTCGTACTGTAATAATTACCTGTTTAACCGGTCAATTGGCCATGCTACGCTTCTCTATCTACTTCGCTTTTCCTACCTTGTAATGGATGCGCATTAAATAAAGCAGATAGGGAAGCGCAGCGCGCGCAGCTTATAGGTTAAACAGGTATTTTACAGTAAAAATAACCGACTGCACAATATATATATATATATATATATATATATATCTCATCAGACGTTTTGGTGTGTAGTATCGCTGAGTATTTTTATGGGTTGTGCTTGTCCAAATACAAACAACCAGTAAAAATAACAATAATATGGAAAATATTTATACGCTGCTCTTTTAGCAAAGAGAGATGAATTTTTTGCAAGAGGGTCTAATGACTGAGCCTTCCTCCGTGAGTAAGCCAAAGGTTTGAGGTTAGAATAACTGGGAGATTCGGCAACAAAAAAATTCCTCAACCAGTTAACTTTTTTACAAGGAAAATGAAGTGGAGATTACCCATATTACTCAAACCTAATTTTTTTATAAAAATTAGCAAAAAATATTTAGGCAAAATCATCCGTTGAAGGTAAAACATTTTCCCGTTACCAGAGCCTACGATAAAAAAAAATAGAGATTCCAAAAAGTTGTCACCTCAAGGGCGTCATAGTTACTAATCAGCAATTATTAGATCAATAATCAGATCTTGCTTGGCTGCTTACCTTTATAAAAGGAACTTCGAGAAACACCAGTGTTAAATGTTCCACTATGCAAGGGTTCTGCTAGCCTCGTGCAAAGTCCATCCGTTGTCCTTGAATAATGCTAAGAAAAGCCACACCGTAATGCAAAGGAGCGAACGTTGGGAACAGGTCAAATGAACAAAACGTAGTGAGAGCACGTGTTTTTTTTTTTAAAGAGAGATTCACGTGTCTGGAGCAGTGTAGGTTGAATCAATCAAATATTTGCCATGTCCTTCTATGCTTCGTTTGGTTTGTTTTGATTTGCTCCGAGCTTCGTTTGCTCTGTTCTCAGTGTTCTGCTCTGCCATTCGAGGCACAGTGACTCTAACATACAGTAGAATACTTTTCTTCGTAAAGAAACAAGCCGAAAGATTTCAGTGAGAATGAATTTGTAAGAGAGGGGGGGCATTTTTTTATCTCAGGAGGCGATCTCCCCAAGGTGATGGGTGGCGAACTCGCAATGGGGCGAAAACTCCAAATACTCGAGGTCTTTCCGTAATTGAAATGGAAGTAAATTAAACTAATTTTGTGATGCCATGACGTCATGGTAACTGCGCCTGGTGGTTAACATTTGCAAGAGTCTTGACCTAGTTACCAAAATATCATTGAAGTCCTATAACAATTGTACTGGAGCACTGATTTTAATCCACCTTAATATAAATACCCTTCTTACCTCTACAAATTCAAAAAGACTTTCAAAAACAACTTCATCGTCAACTGTAAGTTTTCCGTCATCCGTCGTCCTGATTCTGTAGTGTTCAATCTCGTTAGCATAGCTGTGAAGAGGAATGCAGGATATGTAAACTTGTGAGCGGTAGGCTAAGATGTCGAAACGGTGAATTGATGTGTTGAAGCTACAGAATGCACACAATAGGGGTCATCAGTAAAGGCATTTCCATGTAAACTGCCAAATAGTTAATAGGAGGAAAATTAGCCACTGCAGCACAGGCATAAATAGGGTAAGCCTATTACACCTCTTACGCAAGTACGGTGACCTATTTTTTTCTTTTGTATTTTCCGAAACAGACAATCGTAGGGAACGTTTAAGGAAAGTTTAAGAAAAATCGTTAGATAACTATTTCTTCCAAGGAATCACCTCAAAGAGCTAAGTGATGACTACGTACCACCTAGGGGTTAGCACGACCAAATTTCTAAGAACATTACGTAACGAGTTCGCCAGTGACACCTTGCGATGAGCGAAGCGTTTGTCTCTTCAGAATTCAGAGTTAACTTTGTAGTTCGGTAATTACGATAACCTACAGACATACCAGACCGAAAGAGTATAGTCCCCCTGATATTTTTCACTGTTCCTTATCAGAAACGCTCCTTCTTCGCGAGGGTTGAGGAGCCTCTCAGCCTCTATTCTGCTTATATTTCCATGAAACCATCTGTGACTTTGATCAAAAATCAACGATAGCTTCCAGTTACGAATTGATAATCTAAGCTGCAACTACGGGTGACTTCTACGATTCAATACATCCATCAAAAATGTACAAGCCGGCGGGTGGATTAAAAAAATGAAAGGTTTGAAAAGATCATGCAACTTATCAAGAACAATTAAGTTAAAAGAAATCGCAATCCGGAAGGTAAAGGAACTGTTAACATAGATACAGTTTCATCTGTTTACCCCGCATTGCGAAAGAGTTTATCATCGTCTTCGTTGGCATCACCATCTTCTTTGTTATCACTTCTGACCTTCATAATACGCGTAACCCCTCTAGTGCGGCCATTTTCACTCAAATTGAAAGTTCGTGCTTAGCACCTGCCACTATTGCCAATCACTATATTTTGGTTAACGCTAAGCCTTTGCGCGGTCAAGAGAATTATTTGATTATCAAGCTGAACTATAATACAATCTTCAAAGTCTACAACATTTTAGCAAACTTGGCGATTTGCAAACATTGAGGTCTAACTCTTCCGAGGGCATTCAAAAAAATTAACTTACGGCATGGGCATGAATTCCACAGGGCTTAGTTCCTTAACAAAGTTGTAAGGAATGAACCCTCTTCGTCCATTACAATTAACTACTCTATACCAGTTGGGGTCCTAGAGAAAACAGACAAGAGACAGAATTAACAATATCCGTCAGATAAACCCAAATTGAAATTACCTTACATCTCTAAGATATCTTCCGAGATATTTATATGTTATTGATTACAAGACTGACTTTCACTGATCCGAGACCTCAGTAACCAACTGAATCTGCCGACTGGTGTGCTCAGCTAATAAAGCGCCGAGTAACGGTGAAGGAGGTCAAGGCTCGAGTCTCGGAGGGTACGTATGAACATCATTAATGCTCTATCCTTGTGTAGACGCCTGTTAGACAGACTAATCCGTAAGCGCAGTAAATGCAGGTCATTTACACTCATAGGTTCAACTTGATAACATAAAACTATATGAACAAACCGAAACCCCATTTCATCATGTTATCCACTCGGCAGCCACGCTCGTCCCCAAACTTCCGAGAAATTTTCAACCCGAGAAAGGTGAGTCTCACCGGAAATTAATACTAGAAATGACCCATCTCACAAACAAGAGGAAGCACGAAAATATACCTTTTTCCACGTGAGTTCCATAAGCTAGCATAACGCACAAAACAGCCGGGGAAATGCAAAACAGTTTTGCAAAGTTTTTATATGACTCACCCTAGTAACACTTTCAATGACGAGAAATTCTCCCTTTCTAAACGGCAAGTCCTAAATCAAAAATTAGATCTGTCAGCCCTCAATCCCATCCGTGATTTGTTTCCATCACATCCTGAAATAGAACTTTGAAGAACTAGCTAATTAGCTTTGTCCCTTTTTGTTCATAAACGAAAGTAGCTACAGTACAAACTGAAATTGTAGGCTCAGTTTTCGGCTAATCAATATTTTCCTTGTTAAAAATCGTAATGAACTGATGAAACACAGTCTCAAGAGAGTTTTTTCTTCTTTGTGTTAATAACGGATTACTTTGTGTGTTCTAGTTTGCAAAAGAAAAATAAATAAATGTTGAGTAATCAGTGAGCATTGTAACATCACCACTCCCTCAAGCCATAGTTAGTACTACTAACTATGCTCAAGCACAGGTCAATTTTTTGTAAAATCATTTAAAAGCTTACCTCTCTTGTTCTACGCCTGAAATCATATTTTCCTACCACTCTAGTTCCAGGTGACAACACTGACCTCTGTATAGATGAATGCAACATCAAAAGTATGTGTTAGTTTCGAAACGCGTAACTTGTGTACTTTTCTGTTAGGTTTGTTCCGGTCTATTATTTCTTCGTTGGTTAATGATTATTACTTAATAAGTTTTTTAATTTAAATCAGTTTCATTTAAGCACATGTACAAGATATTATATTTCATATTTCATCGCTATAAGTTGCTGTCGACGCCACTAATTTTCTCTGCTATTCATGTGTGATCCGCTATTGGCGATTTACCTATAATCATTAGGAGCTAGACCAAAGTAAGTTTTTCTTTATTTCACATTTAATATATTTCCTCTTTTTTTTGATCCGTATATCGATCTATTTCTCGCTTTCAGTTCACTCTATAATTGCTTCATTTTTAATTAGGCTAGTGTTACATTTCTCAGGGATATTTTCTTAGTTTAGTTTCTGCTGCATTTTCTTTTAGTAGCGATCTCCTTATTTTCGTATGTAATTTTGTTTACGTACTTCACTTGATTAAACCGTGATTTATATTGTGCGTTCGGATTGTCTTCTCCACTACACCAGTAACTTTTGAATGTTGCAGTATACACCTAATTGAAAACTTGTTTTCTCATAACAAGTATAAACCATGAACGATGCGATCAAAATGCTACAAAATTGCCTTTATTGTATGAACAAATGTTTATCATCTAATTAAGTACAAAATTGATAAAATAAAAAGCCTCCTCTGTGAGTGTAATTTCTGTCATTACCAAGCTGCATCTACCGTTGCATAAAAAAAACGGTTGCGTTGTACTAGCTGACTCATCTAAGTAGGTAAACATTTTTCTGGCATTTTATGGTACTCCTAATACCAGGTAAACTGAAAATCAAGTCATTATTGAAATGCATCCAGTGCTTGGCCTGATATCAACACCGTCAGATGAACTCTATCAATTAGATATATTACTCTTCAACCCCAAAGTATACCAGGATACCTCCCTTTGGTTACCATGATTTTTCACAATGACAGGTAAGATAACCACTTACTTACCACAGCAGCATTTTTTTCTGGTGCCGCATTTTTTTCTGGTGCAGCAATTTTTTCTGGTGAAGCATTTTTTTCTGCTGCAAACAGCTGAAAAGGAAGAAATGAAATTCCGTTTACCTCTGAAAATTTAGCGCTTTCTTCTGAAAATTTATCATTACCAATTCGAGTCTCTAGCAGACCCGCTCAGGTACCTCGCATCCAAAAGGAAAGACGTAGTTACTGGCCTCTGAAACAGTTACACAAATGAAGCAACATGTATTACCTTCCACGCCCTTAAGGGTTCATATTAAAGTGCAGATAAGGTTAAAGTATATTTTGGACTGATATGCGTCCCACCTAAAATTATTAACAAGCTTACAGCCTAAAAATTCGCAAAGCATAATGGTGGCATCGCAGTTATTTAGAAGAGGGCGGACCCAGTTTGGTATAAGCAATAATGAAATGCGCTTAATACAATTAAGCAAATATCAAATGGGTAAACAATTCAAACGCGAGTACACACGGAACAGTTCACCATATCAATTAGGGTGATCGCTCCGGATTTTTTCAAAAAGTATAAACCATGAACGGTGCGATCGAGTTGCTACAAAATTGCCTTTATTGTATGAAAAAATGTTTATCATCTTGACAAGTACAAAATTGATGAGATAAAATGGGAAAAATCTCATTTCTGTGATTACCAAGTTGCATTTGCTGTTTAATAAACAAATTGATGGTGATAGAATAACTGACTTATCTAAGAAGGTAGACATTTTTCGGTGTTCCTAAAACCAGGTAAAAAATTGAAAATCAAGTCACTATTAAAAAGCGTCCAGTGCTTGGACATGTTAACACCGTCAGATGAGCTCTAGCAAGTAGATATAAACGGATATATTACTCTTCAACCTTTATGTATACCAGAATACCTCCCTTTAGTCACCATGACTTTTCACAATGACAGGTAAGATAACCTCTAACCTAACACAGCAGCATTTTTTTCTGATGCAGCATTTTTTCCTGGTCTAAATGGCTGTTTTAAAAAAAAAATTCTGTTCGCCTCTGAAAAATTTAGCGCTGTCTTTTTAAAATTTATTATTGCCAATTCAATTCTCTAGCAGACTCTCTCTGATACCTCGCATCCAAAGATAACACATATTTACTGGCCTCTGAAACAATGACACAAACGAAGCAATATGTGTGTATTACTTTCCACCCTCATAAGGGTTCTTATTTTAAAGTGCCGATAGGGTTAAAGAGTATTTTGGATTAATATGCCTCCCAGCTAATATTAATAACAAGCCTAAAGTCTAAAATTCGCAAAGCGTAATAATGGCATTGTTATTTTAAGCGATGATTTTGCTTCAGATTTTGTGCAGTGTCTAGGAGACGAGGAGGAGAGGGCGGACCCAGCGACGAGAAAAGAATATTCAAATACTGAAATTCTAGGCGGGGGCTGGTTAGATTGCGTAACTGAAATGAATATTAAAATTTCAACTTAAAATTAAGCTCATAACCTTATGGTAATCACCAAATAGACCAAGATAACTAATAACTAATTCTACTTAGCCGAACAAAAAACGAAAAAAAACGAAACACGTAACAGTTTACTACATTAATTAGGGTGATCGCTCTGGACTTTGTTTTATTGGAAGGTGGGGCCTAATTAGATCGTTATAGTTAAAATAAACGTCAAAGGTTGCATTGTAAATTAAGCTTTTAACATTGTAGGTAATCAAAACTTAGTATATATTAAACCAGCGGATGGCGTTGAAGGGGCGCTCTGATTGGCTACTCAAACTCCGAATAACCCTTCTTATTCAATTCGGCGCAACTCGCGCGGGATTTGCGCCCAAAAATACTGTAATCGTTGCAGAAATAAATTAATTAATGTCATCTTTTTGTGCAACATTATTTCATTGTTCAAGTTTTTACTAAAACAACTATTCACCTTAGTGTCGGTGGCCAGCGGTGGATATTTACCGGGACATTTCGCAGCTCGGTTAACATCCATCACTAGTCACCTCAAATTCGGTGAATGGTTGTTACACATACAAAGACAGATTCCTATCTTTAGCATTAACGAATCACAGCCTCAAAGAAACAAAATCGACCCGAGTCTTTCCAAACTTCCAAAGTTTAGGCCGTGGTTGTTTTGAAAAGCGGTTAGGTATATGCAATAATAAAATGGGCTGTTCGCTCTAAATTTTGAGTTCTCTAAAGAAAACCCCACACCTTTGCCGTAGCTCCCCACCTGAAAATCGCAAAAAAGTTATACAGATGTAAATGCGCGCTTTGTGAACAGAAAGTTACCTACTTCTTCATAAATTCCCTCCTCTACAGATCCTGGTACCTGTGGAGACAATTAAGCCAAAGTCAAATGGGTAAACAAATCAAACTCGAGCACACGGAACAGTTCACCGTAAATTAGGCTGATCGCTACGGATTTTGATTTATTAGCAGGCTCACTTTTTCCTTCTTCCACTTCATAAAGCAAAGACACACACCGTTGCCCTCATCATAGAGTGCTTTTCGATTGATTTTTATGAAACCAAAACCAAATTTATCACAACAGCCAAACAGTACATAGGAAATTATTACAAGAAGCCAAGGAGAATACAAATTAAGCAAGTGAATTGTCTCGAGCGCCAAAAATACTGTAACATGAAACTTTGCCTATTGTTATGGTTTAAATTTTTTAAGACAATGATCCTTTTGTTGGCTGGCCTTAGGGATTTTTCCGTCCGGTTTCGCAAAATTATACTCGAATCAAATCGGATTCAGTCGGCAAATTGTCACTGATGACATTTTTTCCCAACGGTAGCCTACTTTGGAAATCAAAGACAAACCAACAGGGGGTGGGTCAGTAAATTTCAAGAGTACGCCAACTGCTTTGACTAAACTTTTGTCATACCGCGCGCGCATGTTTCGGCCTTACTCAGCCTCAATGTACTTTACTCTTATTTTAGTCGTCAAGTAAAATAATTAATACTTAGAATACAGCTTGTTGTATTATATAACGAGTCGTTGCAGAAATAAATTAATTAATGTCATCTTTTTGTGCAACATTATTTCATTGTTCAAGTTTTTACTAAAACAACTATTCACCTTAGTGTCGGTGGCCAGCGGTGGATATTTACCGGGACATTTCGCAGCTCGGTTAACATCCATCACTAGTCACCTCAAATTCGGTGAATGGTTGTTACACATACAAAGACAGATTCCTATCTTTAGCATTAACGAATCACAGCCTCAAAGAAACAAAATCGACCCGAGTCTTTCCAAACTTCCAAAGTTTAGGCTGTGGTTGTTTTGAAAAGAGGTTAGGTATATGCAATAATAAAATGGGCTGTTCGCTCTAAATTTTGAATTATTATCACAGTTAACTGATTTAACTTCTCCAAAGAAAACCCCATACCTTTGCCGTAGCTCCCCACCTGAAAATCGCAAAAAAGTTATACAGATGTAAATGCGCGCTTTGTGAACAGAAAGTTACCTACTTCTTCATAAGGATCCTCCTCTACAGATTCTGGTACCTGTGGAGACAATTAAGCCAAAGTCAAATGGGTAAACAAATTAAACTCGAGTACACGGAACAGTTCACCGTATTTTAATTAAAATTAGGCTGATCGCTACGGATTTTGATTTATTAGCAGGCTCACTTTTTTCTTCTTCCACTTCATAAAGCAAAGACACACACCGTTGCCCTCATCATAGAGCGCTTTTCGATTGATTTTTATGAAACCAAAACCAAATTTATTACAACAGCCAAACAGTACATTGGAAATTATCACAGGGAGCCAATGAGAATACAAATGAAACAAGTGAATTATCTCGAGCGCCAAAAAATAGAACTTCACCCTCTTTAGATTCCAGCTAATTCAGGGTAATTTTGGAAAAGAAATCTTTGTTACAAATAACAACACATCCGCATGAGATAATGGCAAACAAATTTTATCCAACTTTAGTAAATAAATGAATGACAAACCTGTTTTTCGTTATTTGACGGATTCGATTCCTTGGTTTTCTTTGCTCGCCGGAACAGACCGAGAAACTTTGAAGTCATTTGCAACTTACAAATGCTTCGGATTGCTTCTTGAAAATCGTGAATTCAAGCGGTGCCCATCCTGGTAAATAAAATACATCAATAAAAGAAATACCTCTTTTACTTACCGGGGAAATCTTGGCTGAAATGCTGTAATGAAAAGCAATTGAAAATCTCTTTTTATGGAACGCATTAGAAAGGAAGATGAACCAACACGACGTCAAATTGTACTATGCTTGGCCTACGAATAATCTCGCACTTCTTTGTACTTAGGGATATTATTAGAAACTGAAGTGAAAAAATTCGCACGGTACGCACCACATGAGTTGTAGTGGTGTGTAATATCGCGAAATTCAAGAAATTCTAGGCCAACTAGAGCGTTTATCATTCGATGGGTCTTTTCGTTGGCTGAGAGCTCGCCGAGTGACTTTTGTGTAAAGCTGAAGGGACAAAAATGGATTTTTACAAAGGTTTATTTGGAGAGATTTTTTTTCTCCTCGTGGAACGTGGATGTGTAAAATCCGAAAGAAATAAAAAGTAATGAAATACTTCACGTTGGGACTCAATGGTTTAAAGGCTGTATACAGTCGTGTAATAATTCTCTTACCTGGCAAGCAAGACCTCGCGCCGAAATATAAAACCTATCCTCCGAGCAGAGTTAATAAGCTTACAGCAAAATTTATATAATTCGATCTTATTCCCAAATGATTGCACTGCGAGTCCACTGCTAATTAATTTTTGCAGCCATCATGCCTTCCCGGGAAATAGTCGACAATTTTGGTCCTCTTCCTTATTGCTCTTTATTGCTTCAGAGGTCGCTGACTTTCTCATAACTTGTTTTTGCTTTGCTATTATTGTTTTCGTTGGAAAAAAGAGCTCAGCAGCTTGTTAGTGACTCGCTCTCAAATTTTTCGAATCCAACTCTCGCAGAATATATTTAGGATTTACCCTGCATAAAAGGTGAACACTTTTTGGCAATGCGTTATGCGAGCCCTCGACTGCGGATAAGCCTTCGAGCACCCATCATGCCTGTCTTCGCTCGCCTGAAGAACTCGAAAATTAAGAAAAGAGCTTTTCAATCAAAAATTCTACACTGATAGAAAGGCTGGATCAGAAATGCCTTTTCACTGTTCAGTTACACTGACATCGCAAACCTTCACACCCTTCAACTAAAAACCTTATAGTCTTCAGTAGTCCGCATTTATTGGTTAAAACTGTCAAAGATTACAGAGCGAGTTTTCTGAAATCTCAAACAGATCGGATATAAATGTTAGTATACGATATTGGTAACAGTGAAGATTCTAGATGACCTGAACTGAATTGCGGTAACGTACATACTCGGAACATTAAGTTCAAAAGTGGAGTGGAGATGAAATGATTAAATCGATGGAGCTGATAACCAGCTTCGTTTCAAGAGTAAGGAACGTTCTTAGTGTACTCACATTTTCGCGCAGTGATATAAAGTCTACGTGTTGAGAAAATAATACGACTGTGGCAATCAAGAAGCAACAAACAATCAACTTCCGATGAGGTGTGACAACATGTTTGGAATGAGTAATATTTTCATTTTTATGCAAATTATTCCGACACAAAGCAAATCACAAGCGGCGCCACTCCAGTTGTGAGCTGAAACGCATCTTACGAAATAACAATCATGGCAAAATTACAAGAGTTTGTAGTGGAATATTTACGACCGCTCTAAGGAATAAAGAAATAAGTCAAATTCTCACAAAAAATACCTCACCTTACTTCCACAGTGCATTGCTTGTTATCTGACCGCTTACTACGTTGAAGGGAACCCATTTTAGCGAGTTATTTATTTCGAGGTTTTCTAGTAAATTTATTTGAGCGAGAGAATGTAAACGCGTACATCTTTCAAAGCTCATTAGGCTAATATATTTCCAGTAAAGAACTTTTCGTGTTTCTTAAGCATAATGCCACTGGTATACAGTTCTTAGGTAAATTAAATTTTGTTGGGTATATTTCTCTATTTTATGAAACGTGGCTAGTCCATTTTACTTTTGTATCTCGTCGTTCATTTAGTGTCGATTGAGTGTTTCATGCAAATTCTTCATTGCTTTCTTTCATTGCTTTCAGTGCTTACAAATTAGTGCCCAATTGTAATTCAAGTTCTTTGAGTTAGTTTTGAAAACTCTTTAGCCAACGAAAACCGGTTTAACGAGCGTGAGAATGGAAAAAAAGGTCTTAGTTTAAGAGATATAAACAAACGAGTGTAGTCGGAGCATTGAAAATAATACGTTCCATTGCGTTCGATTACCCTTATATTTTTCCTTGTCCCTAAGCCAAGGTTGGCTGATAATTTCAGTTTATCTGAGATAAACTCTGCAACATTCTCGCGATCAATCTATCGTACACTTCTCCCCTACATGCCACTCAGACACTTTCGCCTTGTCCAAGTTTTTCCAAACTAAAAATTACCAGCAGAATGGATACAATGAAAGATGATTAAATTCAGTCCAAGAGACGAAGCTTCCATGAAGTTGTTCAGCCATGTTTCCCCGGGAATCGAAAAACAACGCTAAAATATTTGAGTATTTGCCTACCAGTTCAAACTTACCCAATTTTGACAATCGAGCGATTCCCGGCGCCCCATCCTTATGATGAAATAAGGGAGCAATGAATTTTCGTGTCGCTTGAGACAGATGAAAATAACAATTATACGCAGTGAAGTGGAATAAGAATTTTAATCACTAGTCTACCTGTGGAACCCAAACAACAAAGTTGCAAAATTGCGCATTAATTCTGCAAAGCAATGTGTAAGGGCGGATCCCGATTTTTTAAAGGGGGCGGCTAATATCAATCGGCCATCAAAGGAAATGTTAAGTTCAAATTTTTACAACGGCAACCCCAAAACGCTGCAATAGCCCTTATGCATCTTTGCGTCAGACGAGCAAATTTCACTACCAAGCATCGTTTTGAAATTGCAAATTTGCATAGTTTTAAATTAATAAAATTTCCAAGGCGGTAAATTTAAAGAGAATACCCAGGAACAGATGAAAAGGATTTTGTTCACAAACAAGGCTTGGTGGTGAAACTTGCTCTTGTGACGTAAACATGCATAATGCACTTATCAGCGGCCATCCCGGGGGGTTGACCCTGGGGACATACGGGGGAATAGCGCGGGATTTGCTGACTTTTGTCGCCAATTTTTGGCCCGGGACGGGGGCATTGGACCGCTTTTGCACTTCCGAGGCAAGATACACGGGGAAAGACCCGCGGGATTTGTAACATCGCCGCTATCTTGAAAATGAAAGATCCGGACCGCGGGGACTGGGTATTACCGTTGAACGGCTTCCAAAATGGCGACGGAGAAAAAGGTAAGCGTCTCTTACGTTGTGTGCAGAAAACAGGTGGACTAGCTATTTTTGCTTACTGTATATATTATTGTTAAACTTTTATTAACAATTATAAAGGAAATTACGTTAAAATTTAGGAGTCCTTTCAAATTATACTCCCCGGGGGAGAGACAGTGGTAGCTTTTTGTGGAAGAATATTGGCCCTGGGTAGGTGGAATTTGCAAATGTCTTGGTGCAAATGCCCGGGGGTTCCCCGGGGTCAACCCCCGGGATGGCCGCTGATAAGCGCATAAGGGCTTTTAAGGAAGGACTAATAGGAACCTGCAGCATCGCAAACCCTCATAACGCATCAAAGTAAAAGAAATAATTACATTACTGCCCTACATTCGCGTAGTCTAAATGGCAGCACACGATACCACTAAGCAGAACATAAAATTAAAATACAAATTAAAATCTTTTAAAAAAATGAATAAAGGGGTAAGTTTCTAAAGAAACTGTGGTGCTGCGTCGGTGGGAGAGTATAGCAGGTAATTTAGTGTTAACAACTGGGTTGAAAACGTAAATTAGCCACCGTAAAGGGTAAAAAAGCTGACGTTTCGAGCGTTAGCCCTTCGTCAGAGCGATTGACGAAGGGCTAACGCTCGAAACGTCAGCTTTTTTACCCTTTACGGTGGCTAATTTACGTTTTCAACCCAGTTGTTAACACTAAATTACCCTCTTTTAAAAAAAACCTGTTAGTCGACCAAGAGTGAATGCGTAATCATCCGTCGAGGATGTGGGCCATAGATAATTTGTCACAAACCAGCCTTTTATCGATGGTAACTATATATGTATTCATGGCGACGACGGCTAAATCTGATAGTTGTTCGGTGGTCATTGTGTTACGAAGCCAAGTATGGATCCTCCGAATAGAAGAACACGACCTCTCCGCCTCGTGCTCCCCACGGGCAAAACAGCTAGAATTTTGAGTTCCCTAATGTTTGGGAAGAAGATGTTGTTTGCGCGTTTCGCTAGCAGTGTAGACACCGAGATGGATTCGTAGTTCGACGCTGCCTGACACTTCCAGTAGTTTATCCAGCGAAACAGTTCACTTTTAAAAGATGATGGCAATGGTATCAGATGGCCCCACTTCTTATTAAGTATTTGACCACGTTCCACCGTGGTTTCTTCCGACTTTGAAACCATGACCTGAGGAATTAGAGCGCATAGCTCGTAATGTGCCCTCTTTTCGTTGCTGAAGTGACCTTTGAGTTTTGAGCAAATGACGTCAAGGAAGGATATCGCTACTGTTCGCTTCCAATATTGTGCATCCGACTCTGCTGGTTAGTTTTCATGATGTCTTTGTCTTCTGCAAACACGTGGACGTCCTTCAGTCGATCCTGCTATTTGTGCTAGAGAACACCTTTGCGTACATACGTTGAAACCAAGAGTAGATCACTTTGCGTATCTCTGCCAGTATAGGAGCTGATCGCTTCTTCAATTTTCTGGAAACCAAAAAATTCTTCTGCATGCCTGCCTTGCGGAGCCGTGACGAGTGGCCGGTTCTAGCATCTCCTTAGCTCAAATAAAGCTGACAATATGTCCGAAGCATGTCATACTATGTCTCAGTCCATTTGCCATTGTCTTAGTTTTGGCATCCCAGTTCCATTCTTAGTTGTTTGGGTAAAACCGCTTGTCATCATCTGTGGGTACACATCTCTCATT